ATAATAAGTACTATTTTTTTCCTCAAGTGGTGCAATGGTTCGCACTGATAATATCATAAATAACGAGCTGAGAAAGGTAACATGATATACGATTGATAAAATTTTCCCTCGGCGTTGCACTTATTGACGCACTAATTAGAAGAAAAGTGACTCATGATTTGAGATATTCCTGATTTTTACGAACAATAAGTATGCATATGCCTTGAAAAAACAAAACGTTCTACTCTATCTCAATGATTTGTCATCGATTTTCCACCTACGGATTTACTCTCGGTAATCCTTTGCACCGATAGAAGAACAGACTGGGCTAGGTTAGTACACTGATCCCGACTCTGAGTGCACATCTATGCAGTAGTATGTATTTTGAGCTTAACTTTGATCTTGTGTTTTCTCCACGGAGGCGTTTGAAATAAATCTTCTACAAAAGAGAAAGAAGCAAAGTATTACGTTGTAAATCAGGAGAACATTCGCACCTGTCGTAGAATTCTGGTGAGCATTAGTTGGTAACGAGCAGCGTCATGCAGAGTACAGCTCCTCCTAGACAGCAAAGATAAATATGTCTCATATGAATTGATTATAGATGGTTTGTGAGAACATTTGCTGCAAGTTTTATATAAAAACATCAGGTGGTTGCTAACGATACGTAATAAGGATTAATCTTACAATGCAATAAAGAACACGATGAATGAAAATAGTATCCACAGAAAACTCAGGAGAGATTTGGGTACAATCGGCTTTATCCTTAAGATGAAATCACTCTTTATGATAGTCATGCAATAGTCGCACTCACATGTAATTAAAGACTTTATAAATAATATTTTCTATAGCAAATAACCTGAAAAATAACTTTCAATATCGTATTTCCATTAATTTTCCTCCTAAATGTTCGGTAGAATATTCTAATCTTATTCGCATATATTAAATAATAGACTAGGTCAGACAGGAAAAGCGAGCTATATTTTGCCATCATCGATACCGTGAAACAAGTACTTTATATTACAACGAAATTGTTGAAAACTCAGGTACTTTTCATTTATATGCAAATCTCTCTGTAACCACCGTCTTTAATTACATGACGCGCATACGTGCAATGAGCAGGTACATCAAATATGTGAAATAACGTTTTTCTTCATGCTTCGAATGAATACATGCCTATTCGGCTGACTGACCTCAATTGTAAGGACGATTATGTAAAAAATTATTAAAGTTTTAACGCATACATGTCAAGTTTATTTTAGGAAATTTTGACAGTAATATTTTATAATCTTGACTATGATTATTCACAAGTTATACAAGAAAAAAAAGGGATCATTCAGGAGAAATGTGTTCTTGCTATACAAAAAATTTTTGACATAAATGAACATTTCATAATTTGCACTTGTTTGCGATACATTTCCATACATAAACTGTTGGTAACGATATGTGTGTAACATTGCTTTGCAGTTTTTCTTTAACTAAATCAATTTGCTTGAATATATCGTCCTTTTCTCCCACACAGTGAGTTATACGAGATAGTTGCGTGTCATCGTTAACATCTTTCGAAGATAAAACTCTTCCGCCATACGCTTCAATGTGCCGTTTTAATTTATTATATTCATCCAAGGGTAGTGTTGATGATAGATAAATATGCTGATTTACAAATAGATTTGGAAAACGAACTTTCAGTAAACTATTCGGTGCAGATTTGCGCAGAATTTTAGTTCCACTTAGTCTAACATCCGCATCTGCGTCATCATCGGAGTCGATCTCGAGAAGTTTACGTTTGGTTGGTGAAGATTTCGTCGGAGATGAACTATTGTTCGTATCACCGAAGTGAAACTACAAGCGAGAGACATGGTAAAAGATCTTCATGTAAATTTTAATACATACGACATTTTCTTCGTCTTCGTCATCACCATTGTTGTTGTTGTTTTCCTTCTTCGATGGTTTGGATTTCTCAAAAAGTTCTGTTAAATATTGCAGATTGGTAGCTTCTTTCCAAGTTTTGTCTTCGCGTACTTTTGTTACACGGGGAAAACGAATGGATATTCCGTTTGCAGTGTGTTGCTTCGACTTGGAAAATTCAGCACCCTAAGAAGGAAGGAAAAAATTGATCGAATCGAGATGGAAGATGTCCAGTACAGTTATTTCCCACACGGGTGACTTTTTCGGATCAATGACAATAAAATCTGGAACAAGCTCTCGACTAATATTGCACCATTTCGGAACTTGATTGGGATTTTTCGAGATTTTCGTCATAGTCGGTTTGAAATCATCCTGAAGTTTTTCCAATGTAGCATCATCAAAACCATTTCCACATTTTGCTCTAGAAAGATTCAATGCATCCACGTGTGATCGGAAAATTTCGACTGCTTACACAGTGTACCATCGATCGCTTTCCGGGTCATGACAACCAAGTAGAAAAACGCTCATCAAACCCCCTTTCTTGCCTGTACCATAATAAGCACCGAGTACAACTAGGTCAGCTGTATCAGCCATTGTACCTTCCATGAGATAATCCTTTTTAACTTTGAGCCAATGACGTTTATTTGGCTCATAAGCTCCATCAGGATTCTAATATTCAAAAACTAGATCATTCGATTCATTGATGCACATCGGTAACATACTTTAAGGACTAAACCTTCGAGTCCTTCGGCAATGGTGAAATTAATCAAATGTTTCAAATCATTTTTCTTATTGATCGTCTTCAGATCGGAAAGAACAATGTGATTCTCAATAGGTGTCATATGATGAACCAAAATTTCTCGTCGTTCTTTCAATGTTTTATCTGCAACACCGAAGCAGAGCCATATGATTCATTCAAGTATCAGGTTACACTTACGTAAAAGGCTCTCTCCATTGTAATACAAACAGTCAAAGATGAAAAATGCTTCGTTTGCTTCTGAGAATTCTTTCTTTTTATGTACACCGAGCGTTCCAAATGGCAACGGCTTTTTTGTCCTAAAACTCAGTTACATATAGAGCGCATTTCTCAGAAAGCGAATTTACTTTCTGTCCACTAGAAGAATTTCTCCATCAAGTATCATTGATTCACCTTTTGGAAAGGCTTGCACGACGTATTGGCTAAGTTGATGGATTTTATGTTCAGTGACTGGTTTTAAACTTCGAGAGAAAAATTTAAATTGATTAGTTTTATCCTTATGCAACTGTAAGCGTTCGCCATCGTATTTGATTTCTGCATAGAAACCTTTTGGACAACGTTTGAATGCAAAATCAACTGATTTGCACGGTTCAGCTAACATTGGATGGACTGAAAGGATCGGTTTTCTCAATTGAAAGTCGAAAACAATCTTTAAGAACTGCCTACCTGGAGTCATCAGTTCAATTCGAATTGATAATTTCTTACTCAGCTGTGTTCCGTTCTGCACGGAAGTTTTATGTTCCAAATAACGTTTGATAAACGATTTTAAATCATTTGTCGCTTGAAAACTTTCGTAAGCATTCGGACCAAGACTTTCGATGATATGTTTCGGTCCAGCGTTGATTTTCTAAACGAGATTTCGCTGGTTTTTTCTTCGGGAAGAATACTAGATACGTACGAGATCTTTTTGAACAAGGCGAATGAACATACGTAAATCATTGACTGTGCATTTTTCAGTTATTTTACGTAATAATTGAATTTGATCTTGCTCACGTGTTACTTTACCTAATTCATGTAGGTAATGATCAACGTCATAATTGGATAAGACGGTTTTTGGTGGCGGTTTTACATGTGTCGTTGTTGAATAAAATTCAGCAATTGTCTCTGCCACATCTAGTTCAAAGATAGACAAAAGTGTATTTTCCTTCAAAAAAATAAATAATAATCTAATCGTACCACCGCATTCTTCACATTTTTGAATCATCGCTGTTGCATTTTCGTGAAAAATGACGGAAAAAAGCTTACATAATTGTTTAGCTTTTAAATTATAAATAATCGACTTATAACCTTTACTTGGAAGAAGAAGATGGAAAAGAAGACTCAAATTGCCTAGAAAGAAAACTTTTCTAATGGATTTTATACTACCAACTAGATGTTGTACCTTTAAAACTTTCTCCATCAGTTCCATAGGTAATAAATTGTTCTACAATCGATGTTTTAGCCAGATGTCCATTAGTCTCAGCAATTTTCGTACAAAGTGCACGGAATTGTCGAAAAGCGTTGTCTGGATGTTTAGGATCATCATTTGCTGGTACATGAACTCCATCTGTTGTAGTTTCTCTCTTCTTTTCGGTGTTGTCATCGTCTTCATCAACAATATCAATGTCATTATTATCAATGGTTGATTCGTCATCATCATCAGCATCGATTTTGATCGGTGCTACTGTTGTTTTCGGTGGTGGCGCTGGTGTTTTCTTGGTTGGTGTAGTTGCTGACTTAGCCAGTTTCTTGGTTGGTGATTTACCTGATGCTTTACCGGCTTTTGCTGCTTGTGTTTGTTTGATCTGCTCGAGGATAATCTCTCGATCAGCAGGGCTGATATTCGACCAGCCATCGAGATCTGTTGAACTATCGATAATCTTCGTTGTTGCACGAGCGTTAAGAAATGTTTCGAATATGCAAGGAACATGATGGTAAACTTTCATTGTATCGCCTTCAGAGAATGGACTGGGTGTGATCTTTGCGATACGTAGTTCACCTTTGGCAATCTTTGCTTTACATTTCTTACAACCAGATGTGCCTAGTTTGGCATAGTCAATAGAAAACCGATTGTCTGCCATGTTAATAGAAGAGATGAATTCAATTACAATCTGAAATGAACTTTATTTGTATACAAAACGAAAAAAATATTTATAAGACGACAAATATTTGTAATAAATATGAGAAAGCGCCAGAGGCTAAACATTGTCCTCTTCATTCCAACAGAGAGAATATTGAGACAAAACATCACGCATCGACTTTATTCATTCAAATAGAAACACATAAAATAGTATTGGACTAAAAGTAAAAATATGCTTGTCGTCTCTGTAGATGTAAAAATAATTCAATGGCATTGAAAGAAAAATTTACTAAACATGACTTAGATCATCTCACTGGTATCATTGGTCATTATCGAAGTCTCAACTAATTGTTCCTTCACTTTATATTCTAGCTAGATAAAGAAAAAACATTCGATATTCGATGTTTATCCACATTTTCGTGTCTTACTGTTGAATGAGGTGCACCGAAACAAGAAACGGCTTTGGGTACTGACATTTGGTCATGTAAAACAGCTGACATTGCTCTCCTTAATTGTTCCGATTTACAATGACGATAATGACCTCGTTTCAAACGAACTTGGTTCTTGGTATTTTTCGTTGGCTCTCGAGTTTGTTTACACAATCTTGTTTTAACTAACGAAGAACGACTCGAAGATGTGCTTGATGTGCTCGATAGCGGCCGACCATGTAGATCTTTGTACTACGAATAGAGAAGGATTAACCTGAGAATATTTTAAATAGCAGTTTAAATGAATTTGAACAAATCATGTACAGATACCACTCAGTATGACGAACTCTCGTACGCTGAACAATGTCCTTTCAAAATAAACTTAGCAATGTTTTCCTGTGACGGAAATTAAAATTTTCGGCTCGATAAACGCCGTTTTGCATCATTCAAATAAAGAAAATCATTATGGCCTATGAAACAATCAATTACTCACAGTACTGACATACCTCGCAATGTTCCTGGTTGCGGATGTTGATATTATCTGTATATTGTTGCTTGTTGACTATTGGAGTTAAGATTTTCTTCATAACACGTTTAAGTATATGATTAACATTCATCGATTCGGATGAAATCAATATTGGTCGATGAGAGATTATGTTGGGAACAGCATTACGTTGAGATTCCAGTTCTTCCATCATTCGTAGATGAACCATTTGTTTAACCAACTTAGTAATATGTCTATCACATATCGACGAATTTGATTGTTCGACGATTGGACCAGGAGAACTATTCAGTGACGATAGAGATGCATAAATCGAATTTGTGTGGTTGAACCGAAGTAAATCTTCCGGATAATAAGTTGAGAACAAGTATGATGAACTAAAAGGAAACTATCTTAGAAAAAATCGCCGATATTTGCATTGTTTTACTATAGATTTGGATTGATTTCCGCCGGAGAATTGAATTTCTTGTTAAATTCATCAATATGAGCAAGTTGCGTATCTGACCTACACATTTGTCGATTGACACAGAACGAACATATTTCATTTGGATCGAAATCAATTGGAGTTCGTTTTTCTAAAAATATTTCATAAATATCTTATTTGTCCACATAGGAATAAGTGTTTTCCCTACCATCTAATTGATAAAATACGTTGATATCACACTCGTAATGATATTTGGATACTGTTTCTAGACCAACTTGAAGCAAAACATTTCTCGTCCATTTACGAAATTCTTTTCGAAGGAATTTTCGATCCTGCTGGCATTGACTGGAGTAACATTCTGACATCTAGACAATTTTACTATTAACGGAATATGAATGGTAAATTCGAGTAAAGAATAGAAAGACAACGCATTCTACAGCGTTCGTCTCTCTCCTCTCACGAATACACACAAAAAACGACATTTCCGCCAATCGATAATCGACCCAAGCATACATACGAATACTCGTTTCAAATTCAAATCATTTAAAAAATGCACAGATGGCGTAAGATGGCTTCTCTACTTGCACTTCTCGACTTAAACGAACGAATATAGCTCGTTCTATCTCAAATCTATTTGCATAATAACTAACGAGATAGATCTGTGAAGGGACTGCGAAATTTTACAGAAGTATACTCTTATACAAAGAAAAAGAAGGGAGATAATTATAAATTTTAGTTACTATCATTGTTTCCAGTTCCTTTCTTTTTGACTTTCAGAGGAACTCGATCTCATTGAATCTATCGTCTAGTATTAAAAGATTTGATTAATTTAAAAGCATTTTAGATATGCTCCTTCCCACAGAATCTAATTATCATTGTCTGCAACATTTATCATAAAAATGAAACCCATATTCTTTCTTGTCATTCGTAAAAGATTCTGAAGACTATATTTCCGTGCTGAAAGAGGCTTTCCTTTTCTGTCACAAGGTAAAGAGATATTTTCCACAACACCGGTCACGTGACGTTAATAATAGTACATCATAAATCGAAATAGTCATTCATTAGATGCAGCGGATACTGACCTATAATCTACTTACTAGTTATTAGATCCATCGGTCGTCAGCTTGTATGTTCAATTTATTAACTGATCCAGTGATATTGTGGAATTTTCTTGCTATATAGAATAGGAACAAATGGTTATTACACATGAATTGTGCAAGAACACATTTTGAAAAGGCATTTTCGTTTGTGTCATCCATGGCAACTCTGATGAATGAAAAGGAATAATTAATAATGATGGGGAACACTCGAGCAATATGGTTGGGAATTTGAAGATATTTATGAGAATATTTTTGTTGATTTGAATATCGCTCGCAATAATAAGTCTAGTGGCGCTACAGAACTTCGAGTATTTTCCAAACACTGATTGGTTAACTTCTTATCGCGAAAAAAGATGGAAGGTGTGTCGTGTGGGTTTTACCTAGTGCATTCGTTTGGTTTTCATCTATTGCCCATCGATATTTTCATATTCTCTCTTTGCCATTTCTTATCTCTACACCTTTATAGAGAGTTCGTTTTTCAAGGACATTCGATGGCTAGATAGTGTAGATGAAAGCAGATTGTTTTACTTTTGTTTTCTTATTTATCTAGATCTACAGCGATTTTAAACATCGTTAGCACAAAAATGATTGGTTTTAGTTCCCGGTGTAATTCTGCACTCCACGCTGTCGGTGCCAAAAATCTTGCAGTAAGACGATGATTATTAGCGAATGAAAAAACCATCGTATTCGAACAAATTTTTAGGCTTCAACATGGCTTCGATGTGCTAGTTCGTCATCGAAACCTGTAAGTTTATTTTCATAAGCGAAAAACATTCGACAAATCGATTTTCATAGCCAACTGTAAAAAATTGGATTAATGGAAGAGCTGTCGAATCGAAAGCAAACGATTGGGTTGAACTTACTAATCCAGTAAGTAGCTATGCATTGAAAGCAGCCGATTCTAGTTTACATTTCTAACTAGGCCACGAATGAAGTCATTAGTTTAGTACCAAAGAGTACTCAAGCTGAGATGAACGAAGCTGTAGAAAGTTGCAAAGAAACATTCCGTACATGGTCAAAGACAACTATACTTCAACGGCAACAAATTATGTTTCGCTACCAAGATCTCATTAAAAAGAATATGGTTGGTGTCTTTGTCGGCAGAACTCTATACATATGAATGTGATGTGTTTCTAGAGACGAATCGCTGAAAATATTTCTCTTGAACAAGGAAAGACCGTAGCTGATGCTGAAGGCTCAACATTACGTGGTTTACAAGTGGTAGAATCGTGTTGTTCAGTAACATTTTTACAAACCGGTGACACAATGCATAACGTTGCTAAAGATATGGATATTCATAGCTATCGAGTACCATTAGGTGTTACAGCGGGGTTAGTCAGATTGCGATTTTGATAGATGAGAAAGCAAAACTAAGAGTTTATCTTTTAGTATTGCACCTTTCAACTTTCCCGCAATGATTCCACTTTGGGTGAGTTGTCTACTCATGAAAATTTCCCTGACTGTTCATTGAGAATTTTCACTTCTATGTAGATGTTCCCGGTAGCTGCTGTTTGTGGTAATACAATGTTAATGAAACCAGTAAGTTCACTGCTATCGGAAAACAATATGCTGTAAGTTTCATGATTTATTGATTAGTCTGAACAAGATCCCGGTGCATGCATGATGCTTGTTGAACTAGCAAAAGAAGCTGGTTTGCCCGATGGTGTAGTTAATTGCATTCATGGCCAACATGAAGGTAAAGAAAAGATTCTCTTAATATTCAAGTAAATTTATTCGATTGATCTTGCAGCTGTTACATTCATTTGTGATCATCCTGATATCCGTGCTATATCATTTGTTGGTTCTGACACAGCTGTAAGAATCATTTTCGCGAGATCAAAGTTTTTCATCATCGAAAATATATTTCTATAGGGTAATTACATTTACGAGAGAGGCTCGAAAAATGGTAAACGTGTTCAATGCAATATGGTATAAAAATAAAATATCTCTGTCGAAGTTGAATGTCTCTGTTTGATTTCAGGGTGCGAAAAATCATGGTGTTATTATGCCTGATGCAAACAAAGAACAAGCTTTGAATCAACTTGTTGGCGCAGCCTTCGGTGCTGCCGGTCAACGATGCATGGCTTTATCTACAGCTATATTTGTTGGTAAAGCACGTGAATGGATCCCTGAATTTGTTGAAAAAGCGAAAAAATTACGCGTCAGTGCTGGTCATGAACCGACAGCTGATTTAGGACCTCTGATATCAAAGAAAGCCAAAGAACGCGTCCTTGATTTAGTCGAGTCTGGTGTTAACGAAGGTGCAAAACTGATTTTAGATGGACGTAACATCAAAGTTCCCGGTTATGAAAATGGCAATTTCGTTGGACCAACAATTCTCCACGAAGTTACAGTAAATATCGATTTGAAAATATCGTCTCGTCAATGTACTTTTGTCCATTTAAGCCAAAAATGAAATGCTACAGAGAAGAAATCTTCGGTCCCGTGCTTGTTTCGATGTCTGTGGACACCTTAGACGATGCCATCAAAGTTATTAATGAGAATCCATACGGTAATGGTACGGCTATTTTTACAACCAACGGAGCTACTGCAAGAAAGTTCACTCAAGAAATTGATGTTGGACAAGTATACGAAATTCTTCGATGAGCTAATAAAACATCTAAAAAATGTGTTTTATATCATCTAGGTCGGAGTCAATGTTCCAATTCCAGTTCCTCTTCCAATGTTTTCATTCACTGGTTCTCGAGGCTCGTTCCGCGGTGATACAAACTTCTATGGGCGCAATGTAAGAAATTGAAAAGATTTTTTCTCGCTTGCTAAACTATTCTGTTTGTTCGCTTGTTAGGGTATGAACTTTTATACACAATTGAAAACAGTGACTTCACAATGGCGACAGCAAGATGCCACACCCATGGACGTTCAAATGGCAATGCCAACAATGTCATAAGACAACAACAATATAAAATCCGAGTATTCTTTTCCCATAACTATTTGTAAACGATCCTAGTGCAGTTTTCGTTGTTTGGTTTACATAATAAAGAGAATGCGAAAAGCGCGATTTGAATTCTACTGCTTTTCAAGATATGCTACTGAGCGATCGTAACACCTTACATTTATCAAAGAAGGAGAACATATAGATATTCTATTTATAAAATGCTGTCTGCTAAATGTTAATGATGGCCTCAGAGGTGCAGAATCTTCCACTAAAACATTGAATTTGCGCACCCGAGGAAATTTATGAAAAAAGTTTTCCTCCTGGAAAAGCATCAAATCAGGAAGTTCTCGCATTACTACGTCAAAAATTTTCCCCAAAACGAAAAATTTCCTCGAAAATGAAAAGTTTCCCCACCCGCGCGGGTGCGCACGAGGAAGATTCTGCACATCTGGATGGCCTATAAGTCTGAAATAGAATAATTATTCTCAGACAGGCGAATAACGAATATTAACCAAAAATAGAACAACAGCGATCAGCATTAGTGTTGGACAAATGTGATTCACTCATATAAGATGCAGCTGTTATGGTATCAGCTGTGTGTCCCTTTTCTCTCAAAAATCGAAATCGGTATACTTAAAAACGACACTAATGTAAAACAGTTCGCATTGTCTTCGTCAGATTCAAGCAATAAAATCATTTGAACAAATGAACACAACATCTAACGTTAAAAATGAAAGTTTATATGAAGTAATATTTGTTGGAACGACGCAATATACAGTCAAGATACAATACAACATGTTAAGGTTTTTCTCTCCAGTTCTAATGTAAAAATGTGTGAAAGTGAAGATAAACAGCATGAAGGAAAGAAAAGAAAGGACTCATTATATGTGTAATACAGTCTTAATGCACGATAACATAAAGATATAACCGAGTATGATTAAATAAATGATGAAAGTCAATAGAGTTTTATATAACATTCATTTATGTCCATGTTGACGATTCTTTTCATTATTGAACATCGCCGTAACAATCTTTCGCGTATCGCCGCCGGCGTCATAACGTTGTGAGTTTATGGCAACTTCTACTTTACTACGTTGTTTACCGCCACTACGAAAACATATTGTTAAAAAAGATAAACTCTTCGAGAAAATTTTACTTACCTTCCAGCATGAAAATACTTTTCGTATTGTTCATACGTATCCTCTGCGTTTTGTTCGGCTAATTCACTAGCCGAAATTGAGTTTGTCGCTGACATAATCAAAATGATCTAAAAATAGCAACCGATCATGTTAGATTGTGTCGAAATTCAATTCCAAGTGTGCATAGCGAACAGACGCAATATCAAAATGAAAAAGTGCCCTCCATATGATAGTGTACCCTCGACAAAAACGAACGCAAAAAGACATTAATCAATAGCTTGCATGTTTTATTATCGTCGTCATTTCTTTCTATCTATCTGTATATCGACGACCATGGAAGAGAACACAGCTGCGCTACTTTAAACTACTTTGCTTACTGATGGCAGTAGCGGTAGTAGCGATCTCTTCCACACGATGTCGCTTTCAAACGGAGATAAATGACAATGTACTTAGGATTCGAACATGAACTGCAACTTGCACTGGATTCCATTTTGATCTCTCTTCCTTACTGCGTAGTTTATATACGTCGTCTGTCTTACAGTAGCTCAAATCACGGCTTATGAGAAGCATAATAATACAAGGCTATTTAGTATTCGAACGCGCTCAGCATAATAATCTCTATGAATTTCGCAGTGAATCTTCAATCATCTACATTTAATCAGACATCGTCATTTCTGCGTCTAGTGGAACATATTCGTCGATGTGTTCACGAACGCGAACAGATCAAGCAGCAACGATCTGTTACTGATTATATCGACCATCTAAAACGATCGACGAAAGGAAATCCATTGTTGACGCGTGCACTCCTTCAATTTTATGCTACAATAAAAATTTTTTCATCACAAAATAATCGTATGCATATGTAGTTCATTGCTTTACATGTTCATTTTGATTTTTCCTTTCTCGGACGGAAAAGGTTTCTCGTCTACAAGTATCTTTGGTCCAACAGAATCAAAATTGAGTTTAGGTGAAAAAACTTCTGTTGATAATCTCTATACAATCGATCATGACGTCGACCTGAGATCTAGCCTATCAGATATTAGTTTAATCGACCTGAAACCAACGAAATCGACTACTCATTATATTGAACCAATGAACAATCCTCACCAAACGACTGGCCTATTGACAAAAGCAACACTTAATGCTATTAATAAGGCACCACATCAACGTTCAACACATGATGTTGAAATTCTCAAACATTTACTTCATAATTGCGAAAATCTTCGGCAATTACCTTCTCATGTTCGGCACTATGCTGGTTAGTTGAATGATAGTCTACTGATCATTCAATTGATTTTAATCCCAGCTCGGTCACTTCGACTTCTTACATACCCTCCGAATACAATCATCACTCGTCAAAATCACCCATCGACTCTCGTCTATATCATCGTATCTGGTATGATTCTACAGTTTTCTTTGGCAAAATAAACTGCCTCATGTATCTACTACAGGCACATGTAAAACAGTACTTGAGACTGAAGAGCGAGCAATACTTGGCACTGACTTAAATATTGGCTATGTCGATGGAGATAATTCTCTCGAGTATCGTTTGAATGGGTTGATCACAAGTGAAATGAGTCAGTGCAACTTAGTTGTGTTTTTTCGGAGAGATTTACAAGTATGTCATTGAATAATTTTCACGGTATTATTATCGAATAATGGAAGGTATATACGAATTATTTGTCTGACATTCTGAAACAATCGTTACTCGAACAACTTCGAGCACAATCAACATTTGCTGTACTTTACTGGCGAAATGATATAATAGAATACTTTGTACGGCAATCATTTTGAGTGAATAGTAACAGTAGTTTCTGCTCTGTAGTTGAAATGGACGAAATATAAACAATATACAGTCGATGAAATAATCTACGGCAACGTAGACTATCAAGATGAGAATCTTTACTTTATTCTTTATGGTCAAATATCTTTCGTCTGCTTATTAAATTTTCCATCTCGAGTGATTCAACGTCCGCACTTGAATGAACTCTATCAAGCACGGAATTCTCAGGAGAATGAGAAAGGAATCACTTGGCGTTTCTTGGAAGTGTTCACTCTTTCAAACGGTCATTATTTTGGATTTGAACCGGTAACAACTCACGCGTGGTACCTTACTCGAACTATTGTCGACATCATTTCCAGTAACAGCGTCTGCTTTTCTCTTCTCTATTTCCTTTCGTGCTCTCCAGTTCCAAAAGATCGATTCAAACAATTGGGTCACTTCGCTCCGATGATCTTCGAAAAACTTCGCGAAGATTTTCTTGATATGTATCCAAATACAAATTTCATTCGTAGATCTTATATAAAATATCTTCAAACGAATCAATCAAGCGAAAAAGACTTCGTCGCAGTAAAGTTTAAGAATCAAAAACAGCGAATGGTTAGCAATAGTCATGAAAAAATCAACTGGATTCCCGAACAGAATCTTTTGAGTATATAAATTATTTAGAAAATCTTTCGTATTATTAAAAAAAATCAATGTACTCTTTAGATCAATACAAAGAAAAACTTAATTCTTCGTCCCACGAACAAGCAATCCCGCTTTTCGATAGATTTCATCGATAATCTCCATGTTACGTATAGCACTCGTTCCAGTTGTGTACACAATTTCGTACGCCCTATCGAGAGATGCATCATTTTGAAAGCATCGAATTGCTTCTGCAAACGCTTTCAATTGATAATAATAAGTAGACTGATTATCCCCATAGTTTTTTATTGTACGTGTTTGTCCATTGTCGCGCTGACGTATTGTTAAATAATGATAGAATACCGGAGCAATTAGATAAGCAATTGTAATTGTCACTTTTTCACATTCGATGATAAGTTGTTGCTTCATAAATGACCAATTATTTGTAAATTCATTATAGATATTGCACTGAATTCCATCTAATTGAAATTCGCTTCTCATACCACGATCAATTTGAGGATTCGTTGGTGAAACTCGTAGTGCTTCGGCTTTTTGAACTTCGAACTCGCCCTCATTTTGTTCCGTACGGTTGTTATGAGTATTAACAATATATCGACACATGGAAACTAGATAACAACCGAGATCCATCTGAGCACCACCACCCAACGGATACTGAAAACGAATATCGTTATTTTGTAAGAATTTCTCTGGAACAGTGAAAACACCAGTGATAGATCGAATCGGGCCGTTTTCATCTCGATTCGAAATGGTATTTTTAACCGTTTCGCGACAAAATGGATGATATCTGTAATGGAAAGCTTCAATCAGTAGACGATTTTGTTTTTTCGCTTCGTCAACCATTTCCCGTGCTTCTTCAGCATTATTCGTCATTGGTTTTTCACAAAGAACATGCTTACCCGATCGTAAAGCTTTCATTGTCCATTCATAATGCAAGCCATTTGGTAAAGGATTGTAAATCGCAGTGATATCAGGATCAGCTAGTAATTGATCGTAGTTATCATAGACCTCGAAAGAGAATCTCACAATGGGCAGGAGATGAGATTTAACATTTGAGACGTTACCTTCGGTATGTAATGTTTTCTAGCGAAAGCTTCCGCTTTTTGTCGATCTCTCGCAGCAATTCCGTAAATGAGAACATTAGAAAGTTTACTCGCTGGATTGAGCAGTGCCATGTTACAGATATTTGCAGCTCCGAGGATACCTATTTTCAAGGCATCTGTTTGTTTCTGTAATTGTTTCGTGTCGCCGCTGAAATGTGTCCACAAACGATTGATGAGCGCCATTGAACTATCTGAAAGAATGAATACAGAAACTTGGAATTAATGAATGAACCGTGAGAGAGAAAATAATTTCGCAATCGGTCGATGATCACTAAAACGTATCATTGAAGCTGTCCAATAATTAATCGGATGTATTCGGCATTGATTATTTCGATACAGAATTCTATCTGTCCACGAAGGCCGACGCAATAAGTTATAGGCGTTCGAATTCAAATGATATTTATATGTCGGTGAGAATTTGATCGGCAATTCGGTATATGTTTTTAAAATATCCGTTTTATCATTCAATTCATCTTTTTGATTTTCAGTCTGACGATAATTTAAATCACCGAAGAAGAAAATCCCGTGATGTTCATGAATATTCCATTGTAGTTGACGACACGATGATTTGAATAACGTACGTTGATGAATCAGTGAAAATTGTTTGTTTCGTAACTGAAAAGCATGCAGATCTTCTCCGGCTGATAGATGACAATTCAAGAAGCACAGAGGTGTTTGTTGGAAATTGAATCGAATGCCAACACTTCCTTTATTGCCATAGATGTTCATGAAACCCTAAATGAAACCTGTATAGTCATCTCTGAATGTTCAAATTCGTCACGAACTGTTGGAACTGTCGATGATCCTACAGATGAACATTGATCCAAATAAGACGATTGCACATAGATGAAAAGAATTGTTCCTATTAAATAAATGACATGTAATGCATCAATAGAAAATAGCTATGATTACATACCATTCAGTCGAACATGTGATAAGAGCCGGTAGTTTGATAGAGTTTGTCCGATTAGTTTTAGCCACTGGTGTTCAGATTTTTGTTGAGAAAGTGTTAAATTCAAAGGCAATTCTTGCAATCCGACAGCAATGATATGAGGAGTAATAAGGGGAAAGGTCAACCATGAAGAAAGATCGATATCTGAAGGTGGGTAAATTCGATGAGTATTAAACGATCCGATTAGAATTGATAATTCAGATGATGATTTAGTCATAAAAACTCTGTTTGATAAGAGCAATGTATGTATATGAAACTATGCTTGCGCTTCTTTCTGTCTTTCTTTCACGTGAATCATTGACGATGAGTTGTAACATTGACGGTAGCGCATTCTTCTGCATATTCGTGATTGGTGAGATGATTTGTACCATTCTAAATATCACATATCTTCGTGCTTCTCGATAAACTAAACCTATGCGATGTTTGAATCGTGTTTTTACTTCAGTCAAGCTTCGATCAGAGCTGTATAAAGGGAATCTGTTTCGACGGAGGTAGATCATTTCAGAAAGAGTAATAAGTGTTGAAAGAATACTTGTCAGAGGTAAGAAAACATGATGTTTTAGATATTCATATAAAGAAGAAGTCAAATGCCGACACCTCTGGTTACTGGTATATCGCCTCGTGAAGGTTGTCCAGGCATAAAAATAACTATTCGTGGTGAAAATCTGGGTCTTGATGAAAAAGATTTTATTGGCTTGAAAATTTGTGGTGATGATTGTCGACCAACAGCTACCTGGGTCAGTCCGACGAAAATTATCGCGTACGCAGGCCACGGTCAAGGTAAAGGTGATGTGGTCGTTATAACGAAAAGTGGTGGAGTTGGCTCTTGTTCAGTCGGATTTTACGGACGAGTTGAACAAGCAGGTAAGTTCATGTATGTTACATTGAAGTAAAAACTGATTCATGTGCATAATGTAAAGGACAATTCCAAGAAGTTGCCGTATGGATAGAAGAAGATGCTGTTGCTTTGTTTGGTTTGAATACGTCAAAAGCACCAGCTCTCTTACCTGGAAGTATTGATACACTAAGTGGATCAACTACAGATAGCATGTAAGTATCATCTTGATTTCAATGAACATATTGTTAGAGTACATCTTTCTTTTTCTTACTTAGAAGTGCAACTCCAACAGAAGAACTGTATGAAATGTTTCCAACAAGTAACTATTCTTCTGATGGTTTATTTTCTTGGACTGCATTAGAATTTGCACTGAAAAGATTGTTAAAGAATCCTCGGATATCGTAGGAGGATGAATTAGTCTGATTCTTCTTATAGAAAAATGCACCGACAGCCGCTCCAATGATCCCTAAGATGCCCGTCGGAGCAACAATAGAAGCAATTAGGCTAGCATTCGAACTTGAATTCGATGTAACTGTTTCTTTGTTTGAACGATCATTTGCAAATTCGTTTGCATTCTGTTTCGTAGTCGTTGAAACTAGTTTATGTTCAGTTTTACGTGTCGTTAATGCTGTGATAATATTATTCTCGAAGACGTTGTCACTGCCGGGTGGTTTAGGTGCTACGCCATCGTTTTTTGCTGTTCCGTCCAGCAACTGTCGTCGTTGAATTCGAATAGACGATGAGAGGAGAAGTAGAGAGGAGAAGATCTGCGAGAAGATGACCACACGCATTTGTACCTAATGAAACAATTGGCGCTGAGAATAATAATGAACTTCATCATGCGATTCGTTCTCTTCGTAGGTAGTACTGATATTACTCAAACAAATTTCAATCCATATTATTACTTGCTCACATATAAATCAAATGCGAAGTATGTTCAATGTTGCCCAGAGAGTCTTTTCTATTTCCCTGTGTTGAATGTGTTTATAGTTTTGCTGAATTACGAAAAAATTTGGAGCATTTGAAACGAACTCAGATTGACAATAAAGGTGCATCGACGACATTGGTTAAAAACAATATTGCTTCTTTTATGGAAGCTGTTGACATAATGAAAGGTTAGTTCATCAGGAGAAAAAAAATCCTCTGACTGCTTATGTTTTATATGTAGACATCCGACGTTTCTCTGCTGATGACCGAAAAAAGAATGTCTACAGTCCAGTTATTAAATTAATCGAAGGTTTGTAGTCATTCGAAACTTAGCTGAAAAAAAACTGAATATATTTTTTCCTTCTAGAAATTTCCCGCATCGCTCATTCCATGTACGACACAGATTTAGCACGTAAAGACTACTCCGATACGATTCGTAATGCGCTAAATGTTATTCAAAGATACAAATTTATATTCCATTTGCCACAGACAATTGAGCGAAGTGTTAAGCGAGTACGTGAATTCTAGCAAACAGAAAACAGTCTACACGAATGTCATTTATTTGTATAGGAAGAATATGAGAAAGTTATCAATGATTTTGTTCGTGCACGCGCAGCATTTGAAACTGTTGATTCGAAAGTTTTTCAAAATAGTATGTTATTTCATAGAAAACAGCCTCCTATCTATATCATATCAATTGTTTCGTTCTCAAGTTCAACGTGAGGTCGAACAACAGATTCAAAACTTGCGCACATTATTTCGTCAACGTCTGACTGAATTTCCCTCGTCTATCGATGATCAAAAGCTATTTATTCGTTATTTGCATTCCCTCGACTCCAAGGCAGATCCAGCATGGGATTGTATCATCCATCAGAAAGCAGCACTGATCGATGTACTTCGATCGTGTGTAGTCGATCGTTTACACCAACAGCAGCAGCGACAACAACAACAACAACAGAGTAAATATTCGTAAGAGCGACGTCAAGATATATTCGTATTTTTTCTTGTGATCAGCACATGATGTTAAACTTCATCATCATGATCAAGCAACTGCTATGGTAGACCAAGCGTGTGATGTTCTCACGACTGCTTTCCCTGATCTGTGGTATCTAATACAATTGTATTTAAAAAAGAAATTGTATCCACTATCTGAAGTAAACTATCCTAGTCGAATTCCGTCCTTAAACGCAAGTGTTCTTGAAATTTTAGAGATCCGAGGAACTTGATCGTACCTACACACACAAACAACCTGAATTTGATGTAAATTACGCATGAAGAAAGAAAATATCTTTATTAGTAATTCTATTTAGGCTTTAACCGAAGAAATTATTCAAACATTTATCAGTGTTGTTCGACTTAATCTACTGACACGATCGACAACTGGAGAATCCGATATGTCAACTTCACAAATCAATGATATCTACACAAATGCTGAGGAAATCTATCAACGTGTCAAAACTCTTCCACATTGTGTTCAAAATTGCCGGTAAATAACGGTTATCTTTAGCATGCATCGTTTTACTCTGTTTTCCTAATAGCTTATGTGTTCTACATCTCGTTTCCCTGGATATCCAAGCACATTTCAAAAAAGATCTTCAACAGTTAATGTTCGATTTGCGTTTAGAATGCTTTAAAGTTATTATGGATCATGCATGTTTAGGTAAACTCAAGTTTTCACGCACTACAAAGAATAATTTTGTTCTTTTTTGCAGAAGTATCGCGTTTGAACACGCAAGAAACATGGGAATTAGAATGCGATGAGGTTCTTGGTTCTCACACAAAATTGCCCAATCTATTTCATGATATGATTGTCACAAAGGCAAATATAATCTATGAAAATGTTCTTTCTGTTAACGTAACAAAAGGCGAACGAAAAGTAAGTTCGATTCATAAAAGAGACAACTCACAAACAAAAATAAATCTTTCCTAGTTCTTCGAAGATAAAGAAGCGACTAAACAAGCAGCTATTGCTGTCTATCGTTTATTAGATGATTTTTCATCGGTATTTCAAATCTTAATCAAAGATTGTTCGTCAACATCGAACTCCATCGAGCCCCTATCAGCATCGACAACAATGATCACATCATCCGAACACTTATCAAAAACCCTTCGACTGATCATTATCTTGAACAATTTCGCCTATACACGCCGATTTATTCTTCCACGTTTGAAGAAAATCTTTCTCAACTATGGCTTCCGCGGTATGGATCGTGTCTACGACGAAATTGAAAACATTTACAAACGTGTCGACGAACAACTATTAGACACCGTACAAAACGAATACCTTCGACCATTCCTTCATCGCCTAGAATCCCGTATGTACGCAGGAAGATTCGATTGGGCGACACACCAACGTGTTATAACTGTCAAAGATTATGTCAAACACATTATACTAGATTTAGCTCGTGTACATGCCGAAGTCTATTCTATTAGTAGTCAATTAGTTTATACTGTCCTCTCACGAATACTATCAACATTAGTCAAAGAATTAGCGAAACTATATTCAAATATCAATCAGTTTAGCAAAGCAGGTGGCATGCAAGCATGCTTAGATTTAATTGCATTGCAAGAATGTCTTGGCCGTTGTATGGAAAGTGGAACGTCGAGTCAACTGAAGGAAATCATAACGCAAATACCGGATGCTACTGAGCATATCAAATCAAAAGCTTTAACTGACATGTTAAATGTTTTTTTGAAACAAATGCAACCTTATTCCATTGCTTTTCGAAACGTTATTCAACCACAATCGAATACAAACTGAGAGTTGAAACGAATTCTCGTCGGAGTGCTGTTGAAATCTTGCGTCCTCTTGTACATTCACTTCTTCATAGCTGAAGACGTCTAAGAACAAATTTTCTCTTAGAAGAAGAGCTCTTTTTTCCAAATTGTAATATCTCTATTGCTCGTCAATTTAATTTCTACGTTGAAATCATTTCACTGCTTTTCTAATAATTCGCCTATGTCTTTATTTATTTATTTTATTACTCGTTGATTTCATTCAAGATGTATTTAAGTTTGAATAAGTTTTTACAGCCAAATTTTCCACATAAAAGCGTGTTGAGTTTATCCAATGCCATTGTTGGTGCATCTGTTCTCTCGATGCCTTACTGTTTTCAACAAGTAATTCAATAAAATTCGATATATTCAATACATCGAATCAATCGTTCATTCTAGTGTGGAATCATTTTGGCGACAGTCTTAATGGTTGTCTGCGGAATACTTACGTCCTACTCATGTAAGATTTTGATCGCAAGTGCTCAAGCAACACACTCAACGACGTACGAATATTTAAGTTTAAGAGTGTTAGGTAAACAAAAGACACATTAGATTTTGTTTCGATGAAATTGATTCTCATTTCAAAAGAAAATAGGACGAACAATGAAAGTTATTGTAGAACTAAGGTGAGTTACTTTGTCATATTGAATGAAAAACAACGGCATACGCATCTTCTAGTTCAATTGGTTTACTGTGCGGTTCAATTGTTGCATATCAAATGATTGTAGGTGATCTTGGATCGGTGATCATTTCACAGATATTTGACATAACGGTAACATTCATTTCGACTTGATTTTTGTCGAATCATTCATGTGCTTTATATTCAGTTTAGAATTCACCAGTGATCCGAGCTTGTGTTATGATAGTTTTGACATGCACGATATCTTTTCCATTGAGTTTATCGGAAAGATTCGATCATTTGACGCCAATATCAATTCAATCGATCATCTTCTATCTTCTTTTTTGTATATATGTAAATCTTCAGGTTAATTTGTGATACCTTTGAATGTAATCTTATCTCTTTAGACATTTGCACAAATATGGTTAAGTCCAGGAATGGCGACATTCGATGTCGATAAACTTGCATACTGGAGATGGACAGGTCTATTTGTTAGTTTGCCAATCGTATCACTGTCATTCTCATGCCAAACGTGAGTTTTTCTATGCATCTGTAAGTAAATTCAGTTTGAACTTGTTCTTTTAGAATGCTCTTCGTCGTTTACACCGAGTTATCCGATTCAACTTCTCATGCTATCAATGATATCATTGATCTGTCAGTTACATTGGTTGGATTTATTTATTTCATTGTAAGATCAATTGTTACATCCCACATTATCTGTTCGAAATAATGACACACTCGATTTTTCAGGTTGGAATTTTTGGTTACTCGGTCTTTTCGTCGCTGAATGAATACATACCTGGAAATATCATGCAAATATATCCAAAGGACCTCATTCAACAAATCTTTCTATGGGGCTTTGTGTTCAATTGCACAACCGGCATCCCGTTCATGGTGAATCCAACACGACGAAGTTTATTCACACTATGGAATGACCGAGTACAGTCAAATTTGTGTAAATATCTATATGAAACTATTTTCTTAACATTTCAGCAACAACAATCTCTTTTCGGTGAATGTCATCTGATACCCCGACAGTTGTTCGTTATTCTCACAGCAGTCATTGTTTTCACTTCAACATTTATAGCCATATGTATTCCCAATCTTGAATTTGCATTAGCACTAACCGGTGCTACAAGTGGACAACTAATCTGTTATATCCTACCTGCGATTATTACTCTTTATGCTCTCCCACATGGAATCGATATTTTCAAAACAAAGGTTCTTCGTTTGCTAAAAAATACATTATTCCTTCTAAATAATTTATGCGTTCATTTAGCTATTAATGGTACTTGGCATTGTTTCGCTTGTCATGTGCGCCATAATGACATTTGAAAAAGAAATTTTAGAAAATACGCGTATGTAACAAAGTCTCCGTCAGCGTATTCGAAATGAGAGAACGATTCTATTTTAGCTATGCTGTTATCAACTATTAAAACGTCGTCATTGTCTTCTACATCAGAGCTAACGGTAAGAACTCAAATAACATCATTGTTTTGCAATTATTTCTGGATGAATGCTTATTTAGAACACATCAACAGTGCATTCATCCCAATGATACAGGTGCACTACGTGGAAATCACTGAATTCTTATCATATTACGCCATTGCTAGTTCAATGCTGTTTGAACAAAATCTGTCAGCTGTATTACATAGATGGAATGAAATAAAATATAGGATTTCTATGATAAATCACAATGCATGTTCTCATTTTCTAATTACATAGCAAATGAATCGTATTCTCGGCTCAGTGATCTGAGAAAAACATTTACAAAAGCGTCACGTGTCGATTAATATCTACGAATGATCTTTTCTTTTGAAGAATAACTCTGTATAATCATGAATGTGATAATCTATTAAGATCTGTCGAGTTGGTATGTGCTAAATATGAAAACAACTGCTTTTTGAACACATTCCATATCTGTCTAATCTGATGTTTTCATAAGGAATTATGCGCTTGATCGTGTATTCGGGAATCTTGAGAAATTCAGTAAAAATGAAGAAGATTTTTGCTTCATTGTTTGACTTCACTCAATCAGAAACTGTTTAAGTCATCTCATTAACAAATGACAAATATTTAAATGGCATTCTATAGCCTTTTCTTTCCGTCGGACAGAAATTCCGTCCTGAATATAAACGCGACATGATTAATTCAGCGAAATTCATTCTTAACAATTATTACCATACGTATTAGAAGCTTTTCTTTCTCTATTATCATATTTATTGTTCGTCTAATAACGCTAGAATCGACAGCAATCTCAGACTCAATTGATATTTATGGACATAGTTCTCGCAGAGTAGTTAGTGTTCGCTTTGAAGATAGATTCCTCAGGGAATGAGCATCTTTTTCTAGTAGCTTTTGTCAACTCGCTTTTCGTTTTTCAAGAGTGAACCATCAATCTAGTTGTGTGTCTCTTTGGTGTGAAACTTTGCATGTTTGATAATATGTATATGTCTCGCGTATTGTTGTTTCTTTTAGGAATGCGCTCGCACACGCACAGCCACTCAGATTTGTCTTATTCGTGCTCTGTTTTTCTTTAAGTCGTCTCACAGATCAACATGAAACTAATGATCTGTATTATTCTATGCGTGCTAAAATTAACTACAGTAAATGCCGGAGACGCGAATAAATAGCTTGACACAAACAGATGATGCTGCCTGTGATGAGACAAGCACACATGTATTTTATATAGGCATTTTTTTTATTAATCCCTTTTCTCGCTTCTATTTTTCATTAAGATCACAGAAGCACTAAGACGAAGGAAGATAAGTGCAAAAGCGAGGAAGCGACACAATGATGTGGAATTGTGGAAATTTTTGAAGAAGAACAACAATCGATCGAAGATTATAGAACCATCGCCTTTGCATGCGCGCATCTGTTTCTTCCTGACTTCTATTCTTCATTTATGATAATAAAGGATAAGAAAGTCAATTTTTAATGAACACCATCCATTTCTTGTTCGAGTATCGTTCGAGTTGAGAGTTTAAGAAAAGATCTACATTATCTATTCCCTTCACATATCTAATAATTATAGGCGCCTACACGAATAATTAAAATGCAGTCAAGAAAGCGAATATTTTCTTTCTAATGTGACATCTAGAAAAAAGAATAAGCAAGTTCTGATTCGAACTATTAACAGTAGACGTCGTGTCTAACAGTGCAAACATTGTAGATCTTTCATTAACGAGCAGAATATGTCAACAACACTAAGACGTTAGCCGATTATCTTCAATGCTGTTTAAGACACGAAGATGAGGATTTCTCTTAGATTGAAGGCAATCTTTTAATAATAGAAAAAGTACTGTTCCTCAGTTGCTGTCAGCATAATTCTATCCGTGATATGCGCTCTTCGGGAGAGAAATTAGTATTACGTGGCTATATTTGTTAAGGACATTCCGGAACATGTTAGTCTTTGAAATGATTCGAGTGGAAATTTCTTGCCTTAGTACATGGGTGTCCCTTCGCTCTCTGAAACTCGTGTGTGTTTGAAGTTGTTGAGACATTCGTGAAAATCTTTTGATAAACACTAATCGGAAAAGAGCGTTTTAGTATAAGTTTGTTTTTAAAGGTTCAATAAAATATTCCGTACGTGTTTCAAAATTAATCTGGCCACGGCCTGTTTTTTCCTTCTTTTCTGCATATTTCCCATTTTCTTGCTTTCTTCTTTTTTTCCACACTATATCATTTCAGTGTGCGCACACTGGTATACAGAATAATCAATTGTGAACATCTCACGCAAGCGAACGAACGACTTCCGTATGCTATGGTTAGTTTTTTCCTGCTTTTCTTTTCCTTCTTCTTTCTTCTTCTTTGTTTTTGTTTTATATTATTGTCTATTTTAAAACCAATATAAATATATATCTATGTAGAGAAAGCAATTTTGATGAGACAGAACAGTTTTATTACTTTCAGGACACACTAAGCGTTCCATACAGGATAATTAGTTGAAAAAGGATCAGAACGAATTGTCAAAGAAGATAATCTGTCGCATGATGTAGATTTTCTCATGGATGCGTATATATAGTGTCTCTCATTGGATGTAATCCATCTCATTTGTTTTCTTACACGCATACGTAGTCTGTTCATTTCAAGCAGAAAGTGTTCAATTAGTAAGTTACAGCTTCTCTATCCCGCTTCCTCTAATCGGGCGGTAGAGAATTAATTTTATTTGACGTCAGTGTTAATATAAAAGTGTGTGATAATTTGTTATAGATATGATAGCTTCATTGTGACATATCTTCGTATTAGTGTGAATGACAAAGAATGTTCTCTTCACAAGCATGTTCAGGTTTACACTCTCATCAGAAATTATCTCCATGTCGATGGTCGACATCTGCTGCGTCGTTAGGTGGTCAACGTGGAAGTACACTGCTTGGTAAATAAAGATCAAATACATAATTGATAACCGAATGACATTCTATCGACTGATTTAGATCCAGCTGTTCAAAAGCCGCTGCAGTTACTGGCATACAAAAATGCTCACCCGAAGCGACATTTAGTATGTGCAACTATTTCCACACTGTTATTTTTTGCGACAGGTAAAACTATTTGTATTCTCGTCGAATATTCTAATCAATGTTCGATTGTAGGTGTTGTTGCCGTTTTCTATGCTGCCAAATCATTTCATTGCCAAAGACATGGCCATTATGAGCAAGCATTGATACATTCAAGGCGATCGTTATCGTGGTCTTTGGCTACATATGTGATTGCTTTGTTCATTTATTTAACTATCGGTTTGTTTATTTTTATTCGTTCAATTGATCATCATTGACAACAAAAGGGCAAAACGACACGTTTTTGGTTTTATTGTTGTTGATGTTGTTTTCTTTTTCGTTCTCTTTATCTCACTGACGACAAATCAGCAATGTGTATATAATGATGTGCGTGTTTCAATTGGTATCTCATCTAAATATAATCTTTACAATCAAAAGTGTTTAGTAAAGATGCTTTTTCGCATCAGATGATGAATGAAATCAAATAATATCCAGATATTTTGACGGAATCTCGAAGACGTATAATTCTCTCGTTGGTAATGTTCATGTCGTGTCATAGAAGCTAACTGTGGCGGAAGACACAACAACAAATTAAATCATATAAACTTAATTTATTATTTCGCGGATTTCGAATTGAAATGTTGCATGAAAACGGAAATTATAGATAGAATAGGGTTCAAAATATTAGCAATGAAATGACATGAATGTCAACGTGATAAATCGTTCCTGTAAGTAGCGCTTATGGATGCGATACTACAACATTGAATGTTCGAATTTGCATGGGAATCAATCTAACAGTGCTATTTGCCATCAATCTAGCTTCTAGAACAGAAAAAAAGCATAACCAGGTGCATTCTCTACGAATTGCTTACCAGGAGCATTCGGATGCGATGATTCTTTATCGCCAGTCACCCACGTGAGGCGTTTTAAGTCAATCAATGGCAAATCAGCATTGAGTGTCACCTCTACCAATTCTTCAATTTTTCCTATTGAATTAAACACAGACTGTAAGTCAAGTGTTACTGGGTGTGAAAAAGTATCGTCTTCGTTTTGTTCAAAATAATGCTCAACACGAATTTGATACACGTTTTCCACTAAATGTTCAAATGTTAACAAATGAACGTTCAATGGTAAAGTGTCAGCCAATGCTGTCCACGTTTGTCGATAGTTAGCGGCATAATTATCGTAGGTTTGTTGTACCAATGAATATGTTGCAAGTGGATGCATGTACATACGTTGAGCACCAATACGATGATAAGCAGCACTGGCAGCCGGTGCTTGTAGAAAAAGAATTTGTTTGCCACGAACTACCAGACCTTCACCAAAGGCAGTTTCATTCAAAGGCTCACCCACACCAAGTCGATCATCGTATAAGAGACGTCGATGGAGCATAAGTTCAACTGAACCGTCATGAATACTACTTCCACCCTGAGAGCGATCTATTATATGAATAAATAGACCATGCGAAAATTTCTACTTTCAATGTGTCCGTACCTGTTAGAATGGTGAATTGTTTATCTTGATCTTTGATCCAGATGCGACTGTTCACTGGATAGTAGTTACCAGCAACAGGTTCGACAACGGTATAGTTCCATGTTGGTCGATAATCTCTGGTTCGTTCGAGAACTTCTCGGCCGTTGGCGTCGGTATAGAATTTATTACCACTATTAACATCTGTATCATAGCGAAGAATAATCTCTTTGCCGATGTTATCGTTGACAGGAATGGGACCGACTGTCCATTCAACTTCAACGTACTCTTCACCTTCGTACAGACTGATTTCTTGACTTGCCCAATCATTGAAAATGATCACAGCTGTTTGAACTTGTTCTGCTTTGACACATGTACTAAACAGCATGAACAATCAATGAAAAGAAATGCAACCAAAGAAAAGAACTTACATTGTGCGTGTAGTACTGACTGGTTGAGGATCAGCTGACACTGGCCGAAAAATATAAGCGCCAGATGCTTGAAATTCTGGTCGAGAGTTATTACCAGCAAAGCCTAAAGTTCATGCATATAAATATACTGTCGATTAGCGCGATTTGTGTATGTATACTGCTAGCATACCTTGATACCAGTAGAAGCCCTGATTACGAAATGATACACCAAGACTCTTGTTGGCGTTTACAATTTGATGGAGATTGCCTTGATCATCAAAATCGACTCGAAGATGCTAGAATGAACAGAATGGCATATTGAGAGAAAATTTTCAAGTGATGATTTTACTTGATTTTGTAAAATACACGCTTCGTTATGTGTAATTTTCACTGTGGATTTTTCTTTCGTTTGCCGTTGATCAGCTGTATTAGAAGCAGATATAATCTTCCTACGTGTCGAATGTTGTATACGAGAAAAACTTACGTTTCTTTTCAAAGTAGTAGGTGGAAAATCCGAGAGCTGGCAAAGCAACTTTGAAGATAATTTGCTTTTGTGTTAAACTTGTACGACCTGGTATTTTCTGCGTTGGTTCAGATATTGGAATAAGCTAAATATTCAAAGCATAAAATAATCATTAGAGATGCCCAGCATTGTTCGCAATACTTCTGTAAGGAGAGTTTGTCCAGTTGGATCGCGAACTGTGTAATCAGTTCGAACTGGCACTCGAACATGTTGAGTAACTGGATGAATTACTGGATTCCACAATGTTAATGTAAACTGCATGAAAAAGAAAGATGACTAAAAAAGGTAGACGATATTTTATATGTCATACACGATCTTGTCCTTCAATTTCCAGACATTGACTAATGTTCGATAACTGACAGAGAAATTGCGCTTGTAAAGGTGGTGATTGGGCACTTTTTGGTAAAAGTTTGCCATATGCTTGGTTAATCACATCCTAAACATCCATGCAATAACACAAAATCGAACAATGCCTTATTCTACGAAGAATATGCGTTTATTTACCACTGCTTTACCAATACCATCAGATAATCGTTGTGCGTAATCAAAAGCAACCTCTTGCTTTTCAGTTCCACTCACTGCATCGTGATGTTGAGCAACACCCATGGCTTCACCTATCAATTCAGCACTCCTATGTAAGTAGGTTGCTGATAGATAGAAATATCTTACTTAGATAAAAGATAGAGTTTCGAAGGTTGGTATTGGCAAACGCATTGAGGTGCCGCGTCACTTGTAAGATATTGTTTGAGTGGCGTTCGAATCGTTTGAGAGCAGCACGCGAGGAGAAGTAACCTGTCCAGAATCCATGTGGATGGTGAGCATACGGAAAGAAATCATCGGTTTTCGATTTCCATGTGCGATCGGCTTTGTTCAGCGCATACAAATAACAAGAAGGTGTTGAGTAAAAGACGTTGACGTTACTACCATTTGATTGCTGTAAATTAAATAGTAAAAAAAAGTTCGTTGAAGTTTTATTGAAGATTATTAATATAGACCTCAGCGTTGACGTATTTGATCAATTTATCTAAATTTTTAAAGTTTTGATTGGCATCTTCGTACTGGAAGTCACCACCGAATGTCATGATGATATGATTTGTAGCGTATCCAGCTGCCTATATGGAGACCAAGATTATTTAGAAATCACGAAGGGTTGATGTTCGATACAAACCTCATCATGTGCAGCTTGAATGAAACTACGAACACGTTCTTGTACATTGAGATCGAAACGACGATTATCATCCTAGAACGGATAAGTGCATGTAAACAGTCATTCTCGAAAGCAAATCGTTCTGGACGATAGATAAGACTAGACACGATGTACAGAACTGCGTCCATACACTTACCATAATAGGATTATCACTGCATCTGTAATCGAAACAAAATGAATTGGGTGCACCATACCCATTTGGTAAAATACCCGTAAATAACCAACTCTGTTCCCCTGCAAATAGATGTGGATCATCAGAATAGTGTTCAAACGGAAATAGTGCACGCCTTCACTTACCCAAGTTTGCACTCGCTTTCCATACCATTTCCCTTGTTTTCGTTCGATTTCTCGTTTGAATATCTTCGTAGTCAGCACGACCAAAGAACAATCCGTCAAAGCCCATCTACAAGTACACAAGAAACAAACTTCTACTTTGACCGAAACCAAAAAGCAGTACTTGTGCAAAGAGCGATGCTTGTTCTCTAGAGTGGCCGAAAGGATCGATCTGCCATCCAATTTTGGGTCGACCACACTCGCCAAATGCTTGACGTATAAATTCTGCGCCGAGTGTATGTTGATCGATGATGGAATTGTAATGTGTAGAAGCTTCGTCGTTCATGCACCAGCCACCGGAAATGAATTCCAAACGACCTAGATTTAAAACTTCACTCAATCAGAGAAGAATAATTACAGGATAAATACCTTCATTGACAAATTGTTGCACCTTAGTCTGAATGTCGCCTGTTTGTTGATTCCACCAACGCCAGAAGAAACCGACTTCAACGTAGATAAATCGTCGATCAGGATTTTCATCTAATGCAATTATAACCGAGTCAAGTATATATTGTACAGCTGCATGCTGAATGTCGTTTCGTGCTAAATATAACAAACAAAGTCGACATCAGTTATAAAGAACATTTCATCATTGAAATTCGATCAAAAACCAGATTTACCTCCGTAGAAATATTGATCAACCGTTTTCAACCATCCGACATCGTCGTGGGTATGAGCAACAATATGCACGTTCAGTTTGCTGGGGTCACCAAGGTTACACGTCTATTATACACACAATACGCATCGGATCAGAGCAATGAATGAATCGTCCACTAAACTTACTTCGTAACCACACGTATTGGCTGATCTACTTGGGGCACCATAGCAAAGTGTTGTAATGACAACAAGAAGTTCACAGCAAGTTGAGAAATGCATTATTCAAAAACCACTACTGCTCAGAAAGAGATAGTATATTTCACTCCGCTTACAGTATGTGGTCGACGTAGAAACAACGAATGAAATATACTGGTTTGTCTAATATTTATATAAACGGAGTAAATCGAAGTATTCGAGTTAGCCTTACCTGTAAATTTTGTGTATAGAAGATATGATGACTGCAATTTATTTGCACGAATATGCGTTGGTTTCATTTCATTTCAGATAAGAAAAGTATACATAAAATGGTAGAGATAATAGTTTGCAAATGAAAGATATTTTTAAAGAAATTAATCTTTTGAGGTGGCGAAGTTATTGCACAAAAAAGAGGCGTTCTCGGAAACTACGATGTTATATAATCATCATTGATTCAGGACCGAATCACATTGTTGACAATGAGTAATAGTAGTGCTATTTGATTAATCGTCCAGAAATTGACTGATGTGATCTGACTATCTATCGACTTGAATGGTTCCGCTGAATTTTCGTGTTTCATGTCACTATTTACTTTCCCAATAAAGTCACACATTAAAAGCAGAAAAAAATATTCCTTATATTTCGGAAATATTCAATGAATTTTCTCTTCTATCTTGAATTTTTATCATGATAATGTCAATCGCTTTTCTTTGGATATTTATTCAACATTCTTTTCAATCGTGCAAGAAATAATCAAGTTGAAATAAGGAACAATTTATTTTGCTTTGATCCTAGGCATTGACGGTAATTTAGAAGCACAATTAGCAAAAAAACATTTTTTCTAAATAAAAACGAATAATATTTGAAATGAATTCGAGTTTAGTAGTTTTTCAATCAAATGATTTATGCCAATTCCACACGGAATGTACGAATCTCCATTGGATTTAAAGTGATATTTGTATCATTTGCATTTGCATCTTCTAAGAAAAGAGCAGAAGAAGATTTCCATCAGTAGAATCAACTAGGCCACTTACTAGAAACATGTCTGTCCAACATTTCTTCGTTTCCGGTGACCCATTTAAGACGGTTCAAATCAGACAAAGCGAGATTTGCTGCCAGTGTCATTTCCTGCATACTCTTGATACTACCTAATGATGTAAAGATTGATTGTAGATTGAATGTAACTGGATGTGAAAAAGTATCGTCTTCATTCAATTCAAAGTAATGTTCAACGCGAACTAAAAATTCTTTTGGTGCTAATTGATCTAATGTTAGCAAGTGAACATTCATTGGTAGAGTATCAGTCAATGCCGACCATGTTAGGCGATAAGATGCCGAATAACTGGGATAAGATTGTGGAATCAATGCGTATGTTGCAACTGGATGCATGTACATACGTTGAGCACCAATACGATGATAAGCAGCACTGGCAGCAGGTGATTCAAGAAAGAGAACATGTCTACCGCGAACAACTAAACCTTGGCCAAAGGCAGCTTCGTTCAGAGCTTCTCCTACTCCGAGAGCATCATCGTACAACATACGTCGATGAAGCATAAGTTCAACTGAACCGTTGTGAATGCTGCTACCACCTTCGGAACGATCTATTATATGAATAAATAGACCATGCGAAAATTTCTACTTTCAATGTGTCCGTACCTGTTAGAATGGTGAATTGTTTATCTTGATCTTTGATCCAGATGCGACTGTTCACTGGATAGTAGTTACCAGCAACAGTTTCGACAACGGTATAGTTCCATGTTGGTCGATAATCTCTGGTTCGTTCGAGAACTTCTCGGCCGTTGGCATCGGTATAGAATTTATTACCACTATTAACATCTGTATCATAGCGAAGAATAATCTCTTTGCCGATGTTATCGTTGACAGGAATGGGACCGACTGTCCATTCAACTTCAGCGTACTCCGCCTCATCATACAAAATAATTTCTTGACTTGCCCAATCATTGAAAACTATACGAGCTGATTGTACATTTTCGGCTTTGATGCAAGTACTAAATTATATCAATGAATAAGAAACTTTTTTTCCGTAAAATTAGGTACTTACATTGTGCGTGTGGTACTGACTGGTTGAGGATCAGCTGACACTGGCCGAAAAATATAAGCGCCAGATGCTTGAAATTCAGATCGTGAATTATTACCGGGAAAGCCTAATTATGTAAGACATAGCAGACAAAATTATGATAGCTACGAACATACTCTGATACCAGTAGAAACCTTGGTTATGAAATTCTACTGCGAGACTCTTCTTTAGATTAATAATATGTCCAAGATTGCCTTGAGCATCAATTTCAACTCGAACGTTCTAAATAACGATTATCAGGAATCATATATGATAGAACCACAATTTTATTCTCACTTGATTTTGTAGGATACATTCCTCATTATGCGTAATCTTTACTTGTGCTTTAGCTGGTTCTTCCTCAGCTAAAATAAATAGAATTGTCGCAAAGGACTGATGTAAATAATACTGTTACTTTTAGCTTCGAAGTAGTAGGTGTTGAAACCGAGTGCTGGTAAACTAGCTCTGAAGACTAAGTCGTTATTAGCAGTACTGGTACGTCCTGGAATCTTCTTTGTTTGATCGGAAACAGGTATGAGCTAGAAATGAGAATGGCAAATCTTATCCGTTATTTTTCGAAATTGATTACTTCAGATAAAATCGGTTGTCCTGTCGGATCACGAACTGTGTATGCTCGTGTCACTGGAACACGGAAATGATGAAGAACTGGCTGAATGGTTGGGTTCCATAATGTTACCGTAAACTAGTTTATCGCAGAAAGAAGATTCAGATTCTGAAGGGGTGTGTGAATACATACTCGAGTTTGATCTTGAACTGTTAGACATTCGCTGATGTTGGTCAAGTGACATAGCAGTTGGGGTACAGATGGAGGTGGTTGACCTGCTTTGGGCAAAAGTCGTGAATAAGCTTGGTTAATTACGAGCTAGAACAAAAAGTAATACAAAGAAAGTTAGCCATTTTGGTCCGTACAATGAGAGCATCCAAGTACTTACATTGCCTGAGCTGAGTCCTTGGGACAAACGCTGTGCATAATCGAAGGCAACTTCTTGCTTTTCAGTTCCACTCACTGCATCGTGATGTTGAGCAACACCCATGGCTTCACCTATCAATTCAGCACTCCTATGTAAGTAGGTTGCTGATAGATAGAAATATCTTACTTAGATAAAAGATAGAGTTTCGAAGGTTGGTATTGGCAAACGCATTGAGTTGTCGTGTAACTTGTAAGATGTTGTTTGAGTGGCGTTCGAATCGTTTGAGAGCAGCACGCGAGGAGAAGTAACCTGTCCAGAATCCATGTGGATGGTGAGCATACGGGAAGAAGTCATCTGATTTTGAGGTCCAAGCTCGTTTAGCTTGATTCAACGCATACAAATAACAAGATGGGGTAGAGTAGAAAACATTTACATTGCTTCCATTAGCTTGCTAAAAGGATGATAGGTAGCTATAATATGAAAAATTCTTTTAGTTGTCACGTACTTGAGCGTTGACATATCGTATGAGCTTGTCCATGTTCTTGAACCATTCGTTGGCATTTTCATATTGAAAATCACTGCCCATAGTCATGATGATATGATTTGTAGCAAAGCCAACCGCCTATAAGATATTATACTGATTCAATACGACGTTTGCTTATTATTTTTATACGAACTTCGTTTTGAGCTGCTCGTATAAAAGTTTGAACACGTTCTGGTACATTATAATCGTGTAATCGTGCGTCATCCTAAAACATACACGACAGGATGTCGATTGAATTGAGTCAGTTTTCAAATACCATAATAGGTGGATCGCCGCAGAACATATCATAACAGAATGAATCTGGTGGGCCATATCCATTAGGTAGAACACCAGTGAATAGCCAGCTTTTGTCACCTGTAATATAGATCAAATAGCGGAATGGTGTTCAAGCAGAAATAATGCACACCTTCACTTACCCAAGTTTGCACTCGCTTTCCATACCATCTCCATTGTTTTCGTTCGGTTTCGTGTTTGATAATCTTCGTAGTCAGCACGACCAAAGAACAAACCATCAAAACCCATCTATAACCACGAAATAAAATGTCTATTCCGATCGAAGAGGACAGATAGTACCTGTGCAGAAAGCGATGCTTGTTCTCTTGAGTGTCCAAAAGGATCGATCTGCCATCCAATTTTGGGTCGACCGCAATCCCCAAATTGATCGCGTAAAAACTCGGCACCAAGTGAATGTTGATCGATGATAGAATTGTAATGTGTAGAAGCTTCGTCGTTCATGCACCAGCCACCGGAAATGAATTCCAAACGACCTACATTGTTTGAAACTCAAGTAAAACTGAAGAAACAAAGTTAACGAACATACCCGAGTTAACAAAATCTTTCACTTTGCTACGTACAGCATCTGTTTGTTGACTCCACCAACGCCAGAAAAAGCCGATTTCAACGTAGATAAATCGTCTATCCGGGTTTTGATCGAGGGCATGTATGACAGAATCAAGAATATATTGCACACCCGCATGTTGAATATTATTTCGTGCTAGAATATATTTATTATCGTTAGTAATATCTCAGACTATGAATGTCTGAATATACAGAAGACTATTTACCTCCGTAGAAATATTGATCAACCGTTTTCAACCATCCGACATCGTCATGGGTATGAGCAACAATATGCACGTTCAGTTTGCTAGGGTCCCCTAAGTTGCATGCCTAGAATTGAAAGAATCGACACTATCTCATCTTCGTTGGGTGCGTATTTATTCATTTACATCATAACCACAAGTATTGGCTTTCTTGGTCGGAGCTCCGAAACAGAGAGCAACACCAAGAACGATTGCTGTCACATAAGTTATACCGTACATAGTTCGAAAACCACTATTGAAATGAGACAAAGTGTCTGCTCTTTTTAGAATTACGAACTGCTATAGAATTCTACCTGATGTGGTTGATATCACAGAGAGAAAAAATGAAGATCCGCCTAGAATATGTAATACGATTTCGTTGGCAAATAAAACTATCAGCTAATGTTAGATAAGAACTCCATACAGAAAGCTCTAGAGTTAAAATTTTGACTCGTACTTTTTCTTGTCGATAACAGATAAAAATTGATACAGAAAAGAGAATGTAAGAAGATAATAATAGCTACGGTTTTTCTCGAGTTAGCGACTGCCGGCACGCCTTTATTTAATTAGAGGGTCAAGATAACTGCATCAACAGCCAGTGGTGGAGCACACTCTTATGTAATTTCTTCTTTCCAGTCGAAATCAAAGGACGAACTCTATTAACTTTACATCATTTCATAGTAATACTTTTTCGAATTGAGAAAAATTTAGTTGTTCTATCGATAAACTATCCCTGCTCGACAAACATACATATATATTTTCTTTATTCAATCGAGAAAAAATACAGTTCACCATACTATTTACAGAAAAACATTCTGCGTAAAAATTCAGATGTGAATAAAATAAACTCAAATTCATTCATCAGCTTCACCAATCTGCTTCTTAATTTTCTCCACCATTTGCTTGTCCAATGTCTTCTGTCTGGATTGAACTGACGCTATTGCCAACAATCCAAGAACAAGCATAAAACCTTCGAACAACCAGAAATGCTGCCGTTGAACCTGAGTGGGTATTTGACACGAACGAGTCGTTTTGATATTAGATCTGGAACAAAGGACGATTTCTCGGTAACCAGTTGATAAACAAGCATGTGCTTTTGAACGACGTTGATACGATGTACATTTCTCGCATAATCCAATGACATCGACTGGTTCGCTTAAATAACATTCGCTAGTTAGTTGTTCATCTTCAGGTTTGAATGACACTCGAGGTGAATAGGATGGAATTATCCGACCAAAGAATAGGATGCTTATAATAACAAAACTGACAGCAAAAATAAAGAAAATTAAACGTCGACGTGTAATTATATCAGGCATGATGTATTTGGATTTAATTCACATTTAATTTTATTCTGAAATCAAAACAAAAGAGGTCGATGAATATCTTTCTCTTTTCTAATGTTCGCTTTAAACGAATATACTCAATAGATTGAAAGTGGTAATGCTAGCATTGCATTGCATTCCACTCGTTCGATGAATAATATCGGTCGACGCTGCGCACAAAACAGTCAGCATGCAGCTTATTCTTGCGTTTCTAAGCCAATCAGAATGCATTCCGCGTTTTACCTATCACTATTCCTTCATATATTCTCGTGGTCCCATACAGAACGTGAACAAGTGGCGCTATGATTTGCATCAAACTTTTATCTGTATAATTGTCTCATACTCTATACATCGGATAAATTTCTCAGTAGTCAAATTGTTCTTTGAATAAGTATTGGAATAACGTATTGATTTGTTCATCGAATATTGTGCACATGATTTGAGAATTTGTTGTTGAGGTAAAATGATACAAATCGTTTGACGTTCAGTTTTCTTCTGATATGTCGTTTCCTGTTAGATACGACACGCAGCTTTATTTGAACCCTAGCTTGACTTCAAGTGATGAACTAAGATGTTCGTAGCTTTTTTGACAACTATTGTGTTGATGAAAATAATAACTAGATAAAATTATAGGAACGAGTAAATATTCTTGTATATCTTCCCACTGAGTTAAATAAATTACAAGCGGTTTCAAATTATGAAAAACTCATAAGAATTTGACTTTCAAATGTAAAAACTTTCGCTACGAGAAATAAACTATTACTTTTTATTGCACATGATTTCAAGCGGTTCCCGAGTGAGTTGCAAAGTGGTTTTTCTTTCTTGACGATTGTTATATTCTTGTAAATGGTAGACATGTTGTCACTTCACGTTGAATTCTCATTTAAGTAAGATTAAGCATTGTCTTCCATCCAGCAATTCATATGAGATCGCAATCGTTAACTTTGAGGCAGCTAAGAAGATAAAATAAAAATACCCACCCTCACCCATTATAGTGCCATCGCCTCGTATTCTACTGGCTCATTATAGTATTGCTACGTGAAGAGAGACAAAAGTTTCATTCTTTGATTGACTCTTGAACCTCGTTTACAGTGTGATAAAGAACAATTATTCGTTATCTTGCTTATTGTTTTCCATTTCATACCAATAAATTCAACATAGATTCTTTATTGGATGAGATACATTCTCAGATGGTAGATTCGATTAAAAACTATTCTTGACTAATTGTTTTCGATGATAAATTTTGCAATGGAAATAATCTCAAAAGATTATACGGTATAAAGTGAAACGTCTCTAATCTGAACACTTTAGGGACTGACGAATTTCGTTAAGATTAGGATGGTGATCATATAGGAGAGGTTTTATGGACTTCTGGAGATTTTACAAATTTATAGACATCTATATCATCCTCTTATATTACAAAAAACCTACGTAGTTAATCACATATCTAGTACTTTTATCAGTTGAAGATTTGAAGTACTCTAGAATAGATCTCTGTTTTTATAGATTGGAATAAATGTCGATCTAGTTCTAAGCATCTAGACAACGTTGGTGGTTCTTCACTTGTTACATCATCGCTCTATTGATCTTCGTTGTTATCAAAATCATCATTAATAATCTCATGTACTCCTAATTCTCTTTTCTGAAAGAAAGGGTGATAGCCGCGTTAAAAATCGTTTAAATTTTGTTTGTTCAAACCAATCAGAAATGAGGATTTCTTAAATCATCGACATATACCCTTATCAGCTAGAGATCGACTGCTAGATAGATAATTGAGATCGGAGTACTCGAATCCATTGTCAGTTTTTCCTTACTCACTAAGATCCGTCTTCTTCCTTTCTCTTTCTAAAACAGATAGGTGTGAGGGTGTGGGCGATAGTAATGTAAGAGAACACACCCTCACCTTCAATAATTGAAGATCAATCAATTACCGATGTAAAATTCGATTTAATTGATTTAGATCCACACATCAAGAATATCACAAAATCGGGAAAAATACCGCATATCTCCTTGAACATCAAAAGCATGTTTGAATACTTGCTGAAAATTCCACTGGCAAAATCAGCGAAACGCGTACAAATAAGATGGTATGAATCATTGATACCGAAAGTAATCATTATTTTGATTATCGCAATTGTCGTTATTTCAATACTGTGTATGTATTTGATGTGGTGGATCATAAAGAGAAAGCTGGTACAGATGATTAACATGCCGCCATTATGAATCAGAATCATCGATACAACTTCGATCCAGATATCTTCAATCTACGACCATACAAAAAAAACACTTTTTTCTTTCTTTCTCCTATATAAATGTTTCTGAATCACTGGTAAGCATGCGTAATGAAAAATAGAGGAGAAAGTTAACGAGAACATTCACTTCGTCCTCCTTACGCACCGAGAGGAGAAAAGCAAATTTGCATCTGCTTGGCAATAAGTGCTGAATAGTCAGAGTCACTAGGAAAAAGAATGTTTTTATGCACTTGTTTTCTACTAGCTGTACTTTTCATTGTAATTATTGCCTATTTATGGCATATTCGATCGACATACGAGTTTTTCACGAAACTTAATATTCCTGGTCCACCACCTATACTTTTCTTTGGAAATTTTCTCGATATTATTAAAAGCAGACGATCATCCTTGAATATTCATAAATGGACACAACAATATGGTCGTATTTTTGGTTATTTCGAAGGACATTCACCTATCTTAGTTGTATCTGATCCAGATGTTCTACAAGATGTATTCATTAAATCATTCTCAAATTTTCATTCTCGTCGTCCATTTCCATTGGAAAATCGAAATGCCAAAGATGTTAATCTTTTTGGAGCTACTGGTCTATGTTGGAAACGTCAACGATTTGTTATTAATCCAACATTTTCATCTGCTAAACTCAAACAAATGTCACCATTAATTCATCAAAGTATTGATGTGTTGATGGAAAAATTATCTGATGAGTATAAAAAAGGACAACCATTTGATATATACGCATATTATAAACGATTTACTATGGATACAATATGGTCATGTGGTTTTGGTGTTGATACAGATATGCAAAATAATATCAATGATCCGTATCTTATTCATTCGCAGGATATTTTTAAGCCACGACTTCGAGTAGACATTATTCTTGCTTTATTTATAACAGAACTAAAGCAGTTTTGGGTAAAATTCGATGAAGTTACAAGTGCCGTTCGAAATGAGCTTCGTCGTCGTATTCCTATAACAAAAAACTTTATTCGCGCAAGTCCAGTAAAATGGATTATAAAAGAAGCAAACAATGTCATTGATAAACGTCAGCTCATTGGTCAAACAAATCGAACTGATTTATTACAATTAATGCTTGAATCAGCAACCGATGAAGATGTTATTCATGTAAAAAATATTATTTTTATTTCGAAAACTAACTAGAATATTTTTTTAAGGATCGCCGAGCATCGTTTGTCACCAACGACGTAATAGGCGATGAAATACCACTTATTCGAAAACTTACTAAACATGAAATTGCATCTAACGTTTTTCTCTTTAGTAAGTTATAAATCAGTTAGTTTTATTCTTTCAATTTTGTCTTTCTATATCTTAGTGGTAGCTGGATATGAAACAACAAGCACAGCACTTAGTTATATTACTTATGTTCTTGCAACTCATCCAAATGAACAACAGAAATTACAACAACATATCGATGCACATTTCAATTCCGAAAATCAGCATGATACGCCATCCTATGATACTATTTCACGAATGGATTATTTAGATATGTTCATTCGAGAAACACTTCGAATGTATCCTATTGTACCAATAGCTATCAATCGTCAAAATTCAGAAGATTTTGAAATCAAAGGTATTGGTAAGATTCCAGCTGGTACATCTATTGCTGTTGACATATTTACTTTACATTTTGATAATGATTTATGGGGTCCAGTTGATCCACATGTATTTTATCCTGAACGATTTGCTACTAAACGCCATTCAATGGCATGGATTCCATTTGGAGCTGGACCACGTAATTGTGTTGGAATGCGTTTTGCTTTAATGGAACTGAAAATGACTATTGTTCGTCTACTCAAACTATATTCAATAGTTAGTTGTGGCGATGAAACAGAGAAAGCATTTAAAAATCTACATGAAGCTTTTGTTATCGCTCCCTCAGAAGCTATAATACGTTTAGAAAGTCGTAATGAACGTCATGCCTAAATATGTCAGTTTTTTGGAAACTTCTCTTTTTAGCATCAATATATAATCACGAAAAAAAACAATTTATTAAAACGCTAAAAGATGCTGTCAGCTCATTAATAGCGCATTTTTAATAGAAAAAGGAAATTCAAATAGTTCAAACTTTTCCCATATTTGTAATAGTATTTCGTACCTTTTCTTCATTATTTATTTGTTTATGAGGGTGTGGGTGCGAGCGTCTTCTCTTTCGTTACTACCACCCACACCCTCAAGAGGGTGTCTGATTATAATCTGAAAAACTGCGTTTCGTGTTTGTTTTCGAAAGTATATGTTAATTTCATAGAATGGAAGCGTTTTGTCATTTTTCTCTGCTCTTATTGTCAGTAGCAAACTAAGGAATTAATCTTATTTTTGACTCAGATTGGCAAACACGTTCAATGAAAACTAATTTACAATAAAGGAAAATATGCATTATAATCTTTCAAACCAGTGGATATAAGTAATATCAGTTCTTCCAATCTCAAGTGAAGTAAGATGATTCGAAGGGTAGCGTATATACATGATATGCAGTTGAGAAACTACGGGTAATAACACCTGATACTTCGTGATATCCAATATTCATGAAATTTTGTTATCTGTTGATATTAGACATATAAAAAATAGAATAATCTCCAACATTCGTGGTACTGAGATAAAGTTTTAATGGACTATGTCATGACATGTTCATTGAAATTTCATTTATAAGACGTATTGGATTCATCCCAAATAGTCTTTCGTATGATATTTTCATATTCTTACTGTATTGATTTCTTTTACCAATCGCTCTTTGATGCTATTTCTGACATAATCGAACAGATATTTTTATCCAAACGACAAGAAATCATCTAGCTTCTCTATGAGGAGAAGATTAAATAATATTTTATATCTTCTAATGATATCCGAGTCTAGACAGTCGAAACTATCCAGCAGAAGACACAGTATACTGAAAACAAAAAAGGAGTTGTGCGAAACTATTTTTGCAGCGAAGTCGAAATACCCTTGAAGGTTTCGTATTTTTCTTTCTACTAAATCCTTAAAATGTTTAGCAGTCGTTGCAGGCTACGAAACCCTTCAAAAGTTTCACTTTACCTGAAAATATTTTAACAAGGCCTCTGCTTTCAGTGAAGAAGAGAAGAAAACCAACGTGACGTGTAGCGGAAGATAACGATTATCCGTTCTACGTAGTATTATTAATCAACCAAATTCTACCTGAACATTGCAATAGAAGCCGCCAGAGAACTTTTATTATGCGTATAATTACAGCGTACAATAAAAAACCAAACTATGCATACGTAAATTTTGCGAGATGGTAGGATCGTATGATGTGCATCATTTCTACAGAGCAGCAGAGTGATGAAACTATGAACCTAGTATTTTATTAGCATTGCTGATCGTTCACAGAATATTAGTAGATTTTTATCTTATTGTTATCAATGGAATCAAATCGTGGAAAATAATTCTAGTAAGAGAGACTATGAATGCGCATCAATTAAGTAATAAAATCGATTTTCAGGCAAATCATATGAGCAATATGTATTTCAGCAAAGGAAAACCGATCCTGAAGAACTAGAACACTGTAGTTCCATTCGTTTCATAACTTACTGCAGAAAGCACAGAGTAAAATCCTATGGAACGATATAACATATAGCACGCATTACATAAAATACTATCCTTCACAGCCAGATAATAAATCGGGTACTATGTTTGCTCTTCGTTGTAAATGCTCGCATATGCATCAGCTTGTTCGGAAAGTTCGTGCAACTGACCCTGAATCGCTCCTTTGAAATATTTGAGCTACGTTATTCTATAGAGGGCGTGGTTTTATTTTTTTGCGTAATCACTGGCAACGTGTGGTTGATAGCGAAGGTCAATACATTTAATAAATATCATGATCAATTTCTGTGATCTAAGTCGATATGGGTTCAACCCACTGAGTTGCACGAACTTTCCGAACAAGCTGATATGTCATGATTATTGTATTGTAAGAAACTAATCGGCAGTTATCTGTTAACAGAACTACAGGTGTTTTAAAGTAAGATATTACAGCGTCCTTGTAGATTTGATGATTGTCTTTAAAGCTATCTGTTTGGGGATATCGAAAAGCGGCTTAACTTGTCCAATAAGCTAAACGCCTTGTTTCCCAAGAGAATCGATAGCGTTTGTTTTTTCGAAAGTTTTTCATGTTTTCTTATTTACTAAAATACCATGGGGTAACTAATTCATCACAATGAATTTACAACAAATTTTTAAAGAATCTCGATGAGGGAGCTGTCATTCTATTTATGTAAAAGAGAGCGAATGTTCTAACTCACCCTTCAACACAAGAAACACATATACATTTTAGGAGTGCCAGTTTAACTTAACTTTAAGTGTTCAAGTTAACGTCATTCTTGCGATAAGCCATAGCTCAGTTTTATAGTTTGTGGCTTTAAAAAGAAGTAAAAGATCATGTGACTGGTTTTTCAGGTCGACAAACGAATATTTTTCCTTTTTTGATTTACCTATCATCGAACAAGATTTGAAAAATGAAACGGACACACAGAGAGATGCTGCATGTAGCTTTCAGGAAACTACATCGTGAAACTTATTACAATCATATGTTTCATTTACTGAAAGACGTCAAATGGTGCAAAATAATCGGTGAAAACTGACCTGGTGGTATTTACTGTTCTCGAAAACAAAACTTACATAATCAAAATAAATCTCTAATGTAAGCTATAGAATTTTTTTTATCTTCCACTATACTTTTTAGCCAAAAAAAAATAATTTAGAGGTGTCAATTTCTTTTGAAGAAAATCGAATCGGCAAGGAATCAAAGGCATAAAAGATGTCCTACTTTTAATTCTTAAAATTACCATTGTAAATGTCAAAACAGAATTCAATGAGCGTGCGTATTCTAATGCCATCTTTCTGCGCACGCCAACAATTCGTAACTGTTGAAATGGTTACACGTCATTTGTTTTCGTCAAAAACATAAATAACTACATCATCACCATAAGTTACTACTCATAACGCATAAAGTCAAACATTTTTCATCCCTTTCAGTCTCTACGGTACGATCTGCTGCACGATTGAAATACAACATGCACACACTTTCCACATTACCCGTCGAAATTGTTTATCGAATTATGGATCATCAAAATAAGCTGACACTATTTTGCTCTATGCAAAATATTTCCCGGCGGCTCAATCAGATCCTGAGCACCTATGATCGATATCGAGTAAGTTTACTTGGCACCTTAACACTCCTGTCGGTTGTTCTACATGTAAGCCTAGTGATATTTGACGTCATAAATTTCCTCATAGAATGAGGTACAGTAATCTCATAGTCCCCATATAATTTGATCGAATGAGACAATCGCAGTGTGAAGTCATATGAAATCAAGCATTCTTCCGCTCTCTCACCATTCTCCTATGTATGTTACTCTATTCGATACAAAAGTGTATCAACTATCACTCTTGATGAAACTTCCCAAATCAAGCAATCTCATCTCCACAATTTCTAGCTCCATGCCCATATTAATTCTCACCCTCACCAAATCCAACTCCCACATATCATGAAAGTAGGACTTCTATTTCATTGGAGCGCGCCATCCAAAGATATATCTCACTAGAATCAATAACTATCGATAGTTATACCCTACTCTTTCTACTCGATCAGCTCACCGTAATCTCCTCTCTATATTGTCAACACAGTATTTCTTCACTAAACGCAGTCTTTCCTGCGCCACAACTACCATCATCATTCACACAAAAAAAACCTGACATCTAGATCCAACGGCTCCGTAAAAATCGTCCCCCAACATGACTATTTCATATCACACATATACAATCAGAAGTATCACCAAAGGTTCTCTTTACTACTTGTCATTTTTATAATATATTCCTTTATTGTAGACACTCACCACACTATACCTCGGTTCGAACAGAATCGGTGCTGAAGGAGCACACCACATTGCGGATGCGTTGCGAACGAACACGGTAATATTCATCTCATTTCACGGAACGTGAAGTACTCAGCCTCTCTCACACCTACAGACACTCACCGCGCTAAACCTCAGCTGTAACGAAATCGATGCTGAAGGAGCACGACACATTGCGGATGCGTTGCGAACGAACACGGTAATACAGATCTCATTTCACGGAACGTGAAGTACTCAGTCTCTCTCACACCTACAGACACTGACCACACTAATCCTGTTCGGCAACGGAATCAGTGATGAAGGCGCACATCGCATTGCGGATGCGTTGCGATCGAACACGGTAATATTCATCTCATCTCAGGGAAGGTGAAGTACTCAGCCTCTGCCACACCTACAGACACTCACCACACTAAATCTCTTCCACAACAGAATCGGTGCTGAAGGGGCACAACACATTGCGGATGCGTTGCGAACGAACACGGTAATATTCATCTCATTTCACGGAACGTGAAGTACTCAGTCTCTCTCACACCTACAGACACTCACCGCGCTAAACCTCAGCTGTAACGAAATCGATGCTGAAGGAGCACGACACATTGCGGATGCGTTGCGAACGAACACGGTAATACAGATCTCATTTCACGGAACGTGAAGTGCTCAGCCTCTCTCACACCTACAGACACTCACCGCGCTAAACCTCAGCTGTAACAGAATTGGTGATGAAGGAGCACAACACATTGCGGATGCGTTGCGAACGAACACGGTAATATTCATCTCATTTCACGGAAGCTGAAGTACTCAGTCTCTCTCACACCTACAGACGCTCACCACGCTAGATCTCGGCGGTAACGAAATCGATGCTGAAGGAGCACGACACATTGCGGATGCGTTGCGAACGAACACGGTAATATTGATCTCATTTCACAGAAGGTCAAGCACTCGGTCTTTCTCACACATACAGACACTCACCACGGTAGATCTCCACGGTAACGGAATCAGTGCTGAAGGAGCACACCACATTGCGGATGCGTTGCGAACGAACACGGTGATATTCATCTCATTTCACGGAAGGTGAAGTACTCAGGCTCTCTCACACCTACAGACACTCACCACGCTAGATCTCCGCGGTAACGGAATCAGTGCTGAAGGGGCACACCACATTGCGGATGCGTTGCGAATGAACAGGGTAATATTGATCTCAGTTCACAGAAGGTGAAGTACTAAGCCTCTCTCACACATACAGACACTCACCACGCTAGATCTCCGTAGTAACGGAATCGGTGATGAAGGAGCACACCACATTGCGGATGCGTTGCGAACGAACACGGTAATATCGATCTCATTTCACGGAAGGTGAAGTACTCAGGCTCTCTCACACCTGCAGACACTCATTGAACTAGAACTCGACCGTAACGGAATCGATGATGAAGGGACACAACACATTGAGGATGCGTTGCGTAGGAATGCAGTAAGACCGATGCTTTGCTGGAACAGAATTTGGAATGTTTTTTTATCTAATTCTTAGAGCATCAATACGGTGTAGATATATCGCGCTGAATGGAATGGCAGAACAGGTGATAGTGGATCTGTTGACGGTTTGCTTAGAAAGGGTGCTTTTTAATTGAGAACTTAGTTGATATCATTTGCTGTGTGATTGTGGTGAGGGTGAGAAATAGTGATGGAATAGAAAATTAATTTTGATGTGAGAAGTGGATGTGACCTGAATGAGAATGCTTTTTGTTGTGGAAAAATATATGTGGAATAGTGTAAGTGAATGTTTTATTTAGGGAGGCGTAACAGAGCAGTGTTTGATGGAAGAGCTGTGATGGTAAGATGCGTTAAGGGGAGGTTCTCTTGGTTTGAAATTTTTTTCTGAAAGTGTGTGATTGACAAGACAACATTACTGCAGAGTGCGCGACTCTATTGGAGATATAGGGGAATTGAATCGAGAGGAGTACAGCATGTATGCATTTTACAGGTCAGTTCTCGTAAAAGTAAAGTGATCAGACCACGGCACATTGAATGGGAACGATGTTTCATTATTATTTTACTGTTTTATGTTTCATTCCAAAGCCTAAATGTGTTGAGAGCTTGATAATGAAGTGTTGTTTGTTTGTAATTTGTTTTTGGAGAGGATAGTATGTATCCGTTATCTATGAATTCTGTGGCGCATTGGAAAGAAACGATGTATTATAAAGTGACTAAAATGGCACATTGAAGAGAGAATAGTCAAAAAGTAGCGCACCAAATCGCGCTGTTAGATTAATGATTTCCCACGATCAACGTAGCCTGAGAAGAAGTGATTTTGTCGATTATGATCAGCTCCATTCACTCTCAGTGTTGATCCACAGGAAAATATCAGGGAAGTATTTTTTACAACATGTTCTCAGTCAGATTCGGACTGGTACATTTGATATCTAATGATAGGCAGCTATTGTACCCTTGCTCTAAGATCTATCTTTCGAATGATGAAAAAATTGAAACCATTTAGTTGTACATCATTGAGGGTGAGGGGGAACGGTGTGCACATCGTGTAGAAGCACCGAAAACCGTTTGATTAAAAACTTCACTCAACTCTAGTTTTTATTAAAAGAATCTGTGTTTTTTGTATAAAACTCACACTCGTCCGCAATTTCTCACATACAACAGCTAACAAAGTGTGCCATTTATAAACGCTTTAGCTTGCCTTTTATATGTATGTCATGCTTAGATTATTCGATAAACATTCATCAATAAAGTCTAAAATCTTCGAGAAATAATATTAAAAATTTCTGATATAAAAAATAGCTATTGGTTCATGTGAATTCACTAGTCAGACTTTTTGTCAACGTGCATGAGCGCAATAACTTGACAATCGGCATTTTCCTTAACTGTATATTATTCAAAATTGATAAATAAGACATGGAACGGACGAAACGAGAGTTGGAATACACTCATGTGCGAATATGTGTCCAGCATATCCTATGTAGGATCCGTTGTATCAGGGACCGGTTTTTATCTCTTACTTTTAGAACTCAGCTTTAACAAGCCGAAAAATGAACTAACTTGGTTCGATTTCTAACAAAAAAGACTCGTTCATACTCAGCACTTATAGCACCAATGAGAGTGAATGCAAATGTATGAATAATATCAACACTTCTTCCTTCCAGTGATAGCTGCCTGTATCCAATCGGATGCCATGAAGTGACATCTGTCGTTCAAACTTGGGAAACAAGCGGAAAACTTTTACGAAATGAAAATAATTTTTGTATTGTTTTCTCCATATTTTTACTGATATTTCTTGGAAAATATACGATCACCAATGACAAATCATCTTGTTTTTATTTGTTATTTTCTTTTCTCATTCACTTCATTCTTTCATTGACTGATAATAATAATTTCATCGTGTTACTTGTCAGACATTATTCATCTTTACACTTTCATAATGGATTCCAATGGTACAAATGGTAACGCTAACAATGGAGCTTCAACCGATGCAGAAATTATTCTTAGTCCAAGTCGACAAGAAAGTATGTCAGGATCCATTGTCGAAGCGTCTGAATTGAGTGATGAAACTGACATCGAAACAATGCGACAACGAATACAAGAAATGGAAGAAGAAGCGGAAAAATTAAAACAAATGCAAGTAGAGGTCGAACGACAAATTCAATTACCTGGTGCACCGGGAGCAAGTACGTGAATCTCTTGAAGCTTTCATCTAAATCATTGCCTATTTATTTGTTTTAGCATCATTTCCGACCATAGAAGAGAAGATGGAAGCCGATCAGAAATCAGTTTATGTTGGCAATGTAACTACGATGACAAGTTCTCTTGTGATGCGTTTATTTGATGTGTTTTATTAATAGGTCGACTATACTGCAACCGCACAAGAACTTGAAAATCATTTTCATGGCTGTGGATCGATTCATCGTGTAACTATTTTATGTGATAAATTTTCCGGACAGCCGAAAGGGTATGACGATGATTAGAATTGCATCTCAAGAAAAACATCCATTGTATCCTACTTTCTAGTTTTGCTTATGTTGAATTTGCTGATAAAGATTCTGTACAGACGGCTCTTGCTCTCGATGAATCATTATTCAAAGGTCGACAAATTAAAGTAAACTATTTCATACACACGGTGATTGCTTGTGATAATCGTGTTCTCATTTCTAGGTTACTGAAAAACGAACAAATCAACCTGGTGTATCGTCGACAGATCGTCCACCTCGCGGTGGCTTTCGTGGTTTTGGTCGCGGTCGATACATGCGTGGAGCTGCATACATGCCTTACGTAGCTTCACCTTATCGTGGTCGAATTGCTCGACCTATGTTCCGGTACGTACATCAAAATCAAACCTTTCGAACCTCGACGCGATCATTTTCTCTCTCTAGTGGTCGTGGCCGTTCAAGTTACTTCTATTCACCCTATTAAATGGATCATTGATCCCCACGAAATAGACACGACGAGACAAATATTCGGACGGCAATATTGGTCTATTTCGTTCGGTGAGGAAAATCTTCTGTTATTTCATTGTTTCGTTTTGTCTATGTCAATTGTAGTTCTTTTTTCTGTACTTTATTTCTTGATCATTGTCGTGGGAAATTAAGAAAACAAAATTCTAACAGATGATAAAATTTGCACTGAAAAATGCCGCGTTTTTTTCTCTTTTGTTTATTCATAACAGACTAATTCATTTGTTTTTTTTTCTTTTAAAAAAAAGAAACATAGGGCATGATGCACGGGATACATGTGTCTTGGCTTCGCCTTCATATTCGAATTTTTCACCATTTCATAGAAAAAAAATATTTGAAAAGATAAAAAAAGGAAAAAAAATGAAAAAAAAAATGAAAACCTAAAAAATAACTACAATTAAAAAAGAAAAAGAAAAAAAAATAAGTAAAAAAAAGATAATAATAATAGTAATAAGAAAAGAGTAAATGAAATGGTGTTCAACTTGCAAAGCAATCAATGTTGGCTGTCAAATAGTAAAGTAAATGTGTTGTTTATTTCTTGTTTTTCTATCATGTTTACTATTTTTATGTACGTTTTTTGTCCATAATTTTGTTATTGAATACAAATTAGTCGTTAGTCTAATCCTGACGATGCAAAAAATGAATTTCAGTTTTCATCAGAGCAATAAATACGAGACGTGATTGGTGTTCATATGCAAATAATATATGCTGAGAAAGGAATGAAACTTCATGAATAGCGACAAGTAATATCGGATCGTGTATGTACCACTGATCAACAAGTATGTTTAGAAAGAATAAATCTTCGAAAAAAAAACTCATTTCACTAAAGAGTAATCCGGAGACTGTTGGATATTGCACGTGTTTTTCGATAGTTTTCAGCTCGATTTAATTATCACTGTAGATTCATAGACACAAACTAAGATTTCGTTTGGCTCTATCGTAGTTTTAGTTTAAAATTGGAGCTGCGAACGCATATTTGACCCTGAGTCGTACTTTGTTCACCGCATATAAAATAGAATTCTGTCTTCAAATTTCGTAATAAATGATTCATAAGAGAAATATTACACAATCACTTTGCAACAAAAAAAATCGCGTATTATATACACTAACAGTTCTTTCAAAATCATATATATAGCTTAGTAAAAGAATTATCCGATATCGTTATTGTGATTTATCCACAGAACTGCACCATCTTTCTTTCATTCCTCTTTAGAAAGATGGAGCACGAACAGTTATTCACCCAATGAATATCTTTCCCCTTCTATGTTGTTTTTTCTTTCTTGCATTGCATTTATCTTCAAGGGATTGCTGGTTATTTGTCCTTGCGACTTGTATCATCTAATGAATGCATTTCTGTTTATTTCTATCTTTTCTTTTTGTACTGATAATTACTTTTCATACGTCGATGAAAGACAACTTTCAGTATCTCTCGCACTTATAGTGAAATTTCTTCGAAGGATTTGTCATTTCTTGTCGTGAGTTGCTACGCATTGGCGCAATCCTTTCTCTAAATATAAATTCGCTTATAAATATCTGTTTTTTCTTCATTTATGGCATAGTTTTGGGTAAGCAAAGTGAGAGCTAAGTTTAGACTATAGACAAATACTAGATGATATGCTTGACCAGATTGATAGTGAGATAAATCTTTCGAAAAGAAAGTGCATGAAGTTTTTTCCTACAGTTTTTAAGCGTTCTTTTATTTTTCTCTTCTGACTCGGCGCGTCGTTTTGTGAAGTAGAAAGGTAAAAAAAGGAAATAAATATCCGAACGTCGAAAAAACACGGTAGGAAAATAATATAAGCATAGTTATTTATTTGGTGAGCGAATCATACTGCTAAAATGAATTATTTTCCACTAACATCGTTCGATGGTCTTCTACTAGCTGGCTACCATCGATCTGCGAAGTATGCCAAATATCCACGTGCATTATTAGTAGTTATTCACGGTCTCGCCGAGCATAGCGGTCGATATGAGCATTTATTCGACTTCTTTCACGAAAATAACTTTGCTGTTATTGCCATGGATCTTCGTGGTCATGGGCAAAGCGCAGGAAGACATGGTTTCATACCAACGGCAGAAGCTGTCTTCCAGGATTTAGATCTTCTCTTAAAAGAGGCCAGAAACATTTACCCATCGTGTCGAATGATACTCTACGGTCATTCCATGGGCGGGACAATAGTATTATCTTATACACTTGACCGATTTCTGCATAAAGCAGATCAATGCCCATATGGAGCAATGGTAGTGACAGGCCCTTGGATTCGTTTGGCTGGCAGGCTTCAACCACCGCGTCCTGTTTTTCACCTAATTCGAGCAGTTTGTCGTCTCCGTCCATCGTTCCACGTTCGCCTACGATTCGATCCACATCGAATCACGCGTGATCAAGATATTATTGCAGCATATGGAGAAGATGAGCATGTACGTCGATCGACAACCTTAGGACTCGCGCGTAGTATAGGTGGTGAAGCTGCTAAACTCGATCGACAAAACTGTACATTTCCTGTGCCAGTTTTAATCCAACATGGTGAGGCTGATTCGATCACCAATCACAATGCTAGTCTAAGATTTGCAAAACGAGGAGAAAATATTGACTTTAAAAGTTGGCCAAACTGTTTTCATGAATTACATAGTGAGCCAGAAAGAGAGGAGATTTTTACTTTCACCTTAGAATGGATACGAGGAAAATTATCTTTACCATGATTGAAATTCTTCTTTCTATTTTTCTAAGCGCTTCAAACAAAACTGAGCATACATTTCTTCGGTATATTTTAGATACATATCTTTTTCTCGTTATCGATTAATTATTATCATGAGTGGGGAAACCATACCACAATCAGCACCATTACATGCGGACCAAGTCCAGAACAATGCTGGTAGGAATCGATTGAATGAAAAATATTTTCTTTTTATAAGTAACAAATTGCGTACTTCTTTCAGGAGGTTTCGCTTGGGCAGTCGATGATATGCAACGCCTTCGACGTTTCCTATGCTTGGGTTGTGAAGGCGGTACTTATTATCAAGGCGAGAAAGAACTTGGGATTGAAAATGCTCAGTCTATATTAAAACTTATTGAAGCTGGTCGAGGAGTAGAAGTCGTTGAAACCATCAAGACCTATTCCGTCGAAGGACGTACCTCCAAACAAAACCCAATCATGTTCGCTCTAGCCCTCTGCGCCAAATCATCGGATCTTAAAACAAAGCAAGCTGCTTATGGATCTCTAGCAGAAATTTGCCGTATCCCAACACATTTGTTCATGTAAGTTCAATTCATTCGCTTTTCGATTTCGAAAATAATGAATTTCTCATCTAGGTTCATTAAATATGCACGTGCTCTTGGCCAAAAATGGGGTCGTGCTCAACGTCGAGCTGTAGCTAAATGGTATACCGAACAAAACGCAAGTAAACTAGCTATGGCTGTGACGAAATATCAAAATCGCGAAGGTTATACCCACCGAGATGTCCTTCGTCTATCACATCCGAAAACAAAAGATCCATTGCTTTGCTTTCTATTCGATTATATTACTCATGGATTAGAAAAAGCCACCGAAAACTTGAGCAAACCCAAAGAAACCACAAGTGAGACTGAAGCCGCAGCTGATAAACAAGAATCACAAATAGCGAAACTCAATGTCAACGATAATGATGATGATGAAGACGAAGGAGGAAGAAACACTACGAAATTAGTAACTATTCAGGACTTAAAACAATTTTTGGAAGTGGTTGAAAAGGCGAAAACTTCTACGAATGATCAAGAACTCGTTGCTGCTATTAAACAACATCATCTCGTTCGAGAACATATGCCAACAGCAATGCTCAAATCAACAGCTATCTGGAGCACCCTATTAGAAAAAATGCCACTGACTGCAATGATTCGCAATCTTGGTTAGTATGACAGAAAAATTCTTTCAAATAGATGTCTTATTTTCAATCTTCTTTTGTTATAGGCAAAATGTCAGAAATAAACCTGCTAACAGAGAATAGTGATGCAGAAAAGCTCATCATTCAACGTTTACAAAATCGCGAACAATTACAACGTGCACGTGTTCATCCATTCAACATTCTCGTAGCATTAGAGACATATAGACAAGGACATGGTTTCAAAGGGAAATTGACATGGAACGTTAGCGCCAATGTTCAACATGCGTTAGAAGAAGCCTTTTATCTTTCATTTAAATTTGTTAAACCTACCAATCAACGTTATCTACTTGCACTTGATGTTAGTGGTAGCATGTCATGTGGAACAATTAATGGTTCACCATCAATTACACCAGCTGTTGGATCATGCGCTATGTGTATGGTTACACTTCGAACGGAACAACATGCTAAAGTAAGTTTGCAAAACTAAACATGAGTGAGAGCCCCAGTGATGCTATGTTTGTATTGTTTCTAGGTCGTTGCCTTCTCCCATGAACTAATTCCGGTAAATATCTCGAAAGAAAATAAACTTCCTGAGGTCATGGAAGTTACGCGAGCTATCTCGATGGGTGGAACAGATTGTGCATTGCCAATGTTATATGCTCTCGAACATAAAGGTATATTCCAATCATTTATTACATTGAACATATCTATTCTGATCTCTTATTTTTTTCGCTTTAGAAAAATACGATGTGTTCGTTGTTTATACAGATAGTGAGACATGGTTCGGTAAAATTCATCCGACAGAGGCTTTGAAGAAATATCGTAAAGAGATGGACTGTCCTGACGCGAAACTGATCGTTGTTGGTATGCAATCCAATGGCTTTACTATTGCGGATCCAAATGATAAAGGCATGCTGGATGTTGTTGGATTTGATTCAGCTGCCCCTCAAGTCATGTCTCTATTTGCTGAAGGACAGATATAAATCATCCACTGGAAAATAAAACATTCGAGTGCCGTTTTTTTACTTCCATATTTTACACCAAATACGATTTTTATTCTTACGCTGCTGCTGTGCTTTTTTTTCTTGTTGAGCTTATAAACTTGAAAATACATGTTGAAAACACTAGCAAGTACATATATTATAATCTAGATATTGTCGCAAGCATGGTATAGAAATTCGAATGTCACTTACTTTTGTTCCAGTAAGAATAAGAACAACTACATTGATAATAACTCTGTAGTTTTGGTTTTTGTCATTATAACACAAACAGAACTATTTGGTGCTGACTTATGTAAAATAAAACGGTCGTGTTTTTGAAGTTAACAAGAGTCCACGAATGAGAAAATAACCTTGAGCGAACTTTTGACAATACTCAAAATTAGCAGTGCCTCTCCGATTGATGATCAAGTACGAACTGTCGTCTAGAGTAGATAAGAGCAAAGGAAAAGAACCTAATGGATTGTCACTTACTGAAAACAGGATATCAAGCGAACGAGAAGAAAACAGGCAAAGATAATCTAGTCAGATATAAGATGCACTTCATCGGTTGACTTGGGTATAAATGAGAATTCATTGACGTCGACTGTTACGTTGATTCAAACTTGAAGTAATTACTTGAAGGCACTTGTTTTCATCAACAACAATGTTGATGTTGCTGTTGTTGTTATTTTCTTTTTCGACGAAATCTTGTATCGTTCTGCATATGGGTCAGATATATCTTTCATTTTGAGTATCATAATAGTAGTAGCAGTCGACAGCTACTCGAGATCTGTTTTGTTCTTCTTTATTACAGAAGAAGAACAACAACGTCTGTTTGACTCTCAATGACAATCTTCGATGTCGTTCAGTACAGCTAATCGTTATAATTCAAAACGAAGAGCAACATTTGATTTTGTGTGATTATCAATCTTCTTCTTCTTCATATTTTAATGAAGTAAGTAAATCGATAAAGAGCAATTTATAACAGATGTTTCCTATTTTCTATATAATCTCTTGCACGAAGAAAACACCATTCCAATAATGATAAATGACTAATCACAGCAGGAGAAATTAATAGCATCGATTACTTAAGTATATTTATGTTCCTAAAAATGACTATCACTAACTCGAGTGATCTTCGCCTAGAAATCGATTTCCGCGTGTTTATTTAGAGAACTTTTCTTCTCCGATAATTCGAACATCTGATAGTAGTCCGAAGCCGCTGCCTTCAATCTCAATCAGCAACTACTTAGACTGTACCTATACACCGATACACAACCAGTTAATCTCCAACTGCTCTTCCCATGCAGATTTATATAAATCTTTCAACGAACTTCCATAATACTGATGACATTTGCTACTACTGATTGGATGTTGTTTCTCTTACATTAATTTCTCAATACTTCTAAATGACATGACTTGAAAGATCTTATTAAAGAGCTATATATATATACATACATACACACACGTTTCAGGCAAATAGAATCATTTGTATGTATTCTTGCATCAAATATCTATAAGCAACTAGTTGGAAGAGACCTATCAGACATCATCAGTTGAGATCTCGTCACCGTATGCAATAGCATTCGAAGTTAAAGACATGACGAGTAAATCTGATGAAGAACATACGCATGTTTAGACCTAGAGATGATGTGTCTATATCTGCATCATTAGAAACACTTTTCCGATCTTTTTTCTTCGTAAACATTGGAGAGAACAAAAAAGAGAGAGAGAGAGAAAGAAAGAAAGAAAGAAATGGGAGGAGAGAAACGAAAGCATCAATGATAGAAAGTATTCAGTCTAATTATGTTTACATTTCGTTGATGCTCTTTTTCATTTTAGTCTGATAATGACGACGCCGGATGAATTTCTTCAATTTGCGAAAGAAATGGGCCTTGGAAGAATTCAGTCGACACCAATTCAAACTGTAGCAAATTATCATGAACCATCGACAACAGGCTTATGCGTATTGAATAATTTATGTTGTTTAATTGAACAGATTCGTCAATTAAAGGCTGAAAATAATCGTTTACGTGCTCATTTAGAAATCGATAGACAGTTGAATAAGTTTCGCCAATTTCTTATTTCAAAAGAAAACTCCGAAGATAAAAAAGACGTTCTTCCTTCAAAAACTCTTTCTAACGAAGAAAAGACAAGCACATTATCACCAACAAATTCATTAAAACTTAAACGATCAAAATTGATTGAAGAACCCAAAAGTAAGTTTCATATTTTCATCGACATTTGTCGTTTTCATCATCAAAGCAAAAGGAACTTACTAATAACTGCTCATTTCGCCTTGACATCTGTCAAATCTCTTGACATATTGTTTATTTTTTACACAAGGTATTCATTATACTAATCAGCAAGAAGATTCTCCTCCTTCAATCCTTACAGCTGGCCATGAATTATTGGATTTAACAGAAAATAACTCAGGTAAGTCAGAGTCGTGGTCAAACTTTGTAAACTCTTTTTTCTGCAAAGGTTCAGTTCCAACATCATCCTGGAATAAAGTTCGACATGCTTTTCGATTTTCCTTACGACGAAAGCATGATCATACAACAAGTCCTCCTCTAGCTCATGTTGATCGGCAAATACCCACCATTAGTGTGTCGATAGAAAGCGATGATGATCATTTAAAAGACAACAAACGTTTGAAAAAGAAGAAAAAGAAAAATCCAACAGTAGACGAAAATCAATCGACAATTATCGGTGATGATAGTGATCCCGATGATCAATCAGTTCAATTGGTTCGTGCATACCATAGAAGACGACTCTATGGCAATGACACAGCAACATCATCGAGCACTGAACGTCAAGAAGCATCTTCAATCACTTTACGTTCTACTACTTCGAATAATGACGAAGAAACATTATTAAAGCGTAAACAATCGAAAATAGGTAGGTATTTCACTTCTTTTTGCTCACGAATGATCTATGTATCATGAAGTTTCTGTCCTGCTTGGAAACTTAAGCGAAAACAAAATCTAATGTCACAACGTCTTTTAAGATTATCGTCTAAGCGATAATCAAGATAGACAGAAAATGAATAAATACAACATTTTCTAATGCAAAATCCATCAGCATACACAGATGGGATAATCTTCAAGTAACAGACAGTCATATGAAACAATCTATTTAATGTTTAAAACTAATGTCTTTGTTATGATAAGATCTGTTTTGCATACAATAAGCTAGAAATAGACATGTGAATCTGTGTGGCGTATATTATAGCTCGATATCGACGTAAAATTCGCTCGAAATTGGACACAGTTCGACGTCAATTTAGTGATCAGAATTCATCGACGTCCGCACGTGCTATCCATCAATCACATGGCACAACATTTGATGATATTGGTGAGAGACCTGACAGTATTTCGCGTTCTCTCTATGTAAACTTTTTTTTTAGGCTCAGGACTAAATCATGCGCTACTAACAGCACAGTTAGCACCGGCTTTGACAAAATCCTATCAACAAAAAATGCGTGAATGGGAATCAATGCAAAAGAGTCATTTTCTTGGTGAGTAGTTCGATGTTTAACAATCTTCTTCTCATCGATTCAAATTTCCTTCCAGTTAGCTATCGTCGACAATCTATCGTACCAAAATCTGATCCAAATAGTAATTCTCGAAAACCTTCATTAATTCATTTGTTAAATCAAACAACGACGAACGAAATAACCCCATCGACCATAGCTGATTTCTATCCGATAACGATCGAAGAGTCAAATATTGAACTTCCAACGAATATAGTTCCATTAGGTCCTATTCTGTCGCCGAATCAACGATCGCTTATCGTTCATCAATGGCGCGAAATCATGTCCGAAGAACTTTTACTTCGACATTGTCAGGAATATTTACAGCAAAAAACGATTCTATTGAAAGAACTGAAAACAAATTTGAAAACTCTTAAAACCAGTATATTCTGTACGACCAATTCCACGAAAACACAATCGATGGCTGACATTCGAGAGAACTATCATAAACAAGAACAGTTGTATTTGCCTCAGCGTTGTCATTCGTTACAAACATTGATATCCATGCCTGCATCTTGGATTTTAGCTGTTCAAAGCGCAGCTTACTCTGATGTTCTCGATGGTACATCAAATCAAACAACTGAACGAGCTATTTTGTGCAACAAGAATTTCTTTGACCAACTCGAACAGTGCAAACGAAACCGGCAAGAATTTGAGCAAGATTCACTTAGAAATTCACTTCAGACTAAGTAAGCAAAAAACCTGCTTTGATAATTTCTATCTGAATTCGAAAAATCGTATAGTTCTCTGCAACAAGAAAGGAGTTAGAATGTGAGTCTGAATAGGTTTGCCAATCATATATACTTTATATTTATTCACATGCACAAACACACATTCTAATTGATATTTCACATTGTCACCTTATATCCACAAATAATCTCTAAAGATATTTATATGCGATGAAAGTTCGTCATTTAAAGCTTGTGACGCATTCATTGTAAAATGATTCATTTAGACCTCGACAAAATGTACCTGCGAACTGTAATGAAAATTCTCATCATCGACCTGTTCCACATCGTGCTTACTTACGAAAGTTATCGTTAATTGAATCATCGGAGTTTCCAGGACATTTTTTACCTCATCCGGTAATACCTTTACAATCAACTCTATCAGAGGAACCACCTCCGGCAAACGTTGAACATAATTCAATTACATCGGTTACTGACACGAATTCAACTCCAAATCCAAATGAGAAAGACTCGCCACCAACGACTAATCATTCTCGAAAACGTTCGAAACGTTCACGTTTCGATTTCAGAGAAACGTTCGATCGTAGTAGAAGTCTCTGTATCGCTCAGATCAATTTATGGTTACAACGTCGTCGACAAATACACATCTCCACACAGCGACGAAAGTCTACTACAGAATCCAAAATATCAACACCAAAACTACTTGGTTCACCACGATTAGCTCGTCTACATAGGAGACTGTTCAAAAACCCAACGACATCATCACCATCGCCTCTACCGGATCAAACCTCTGCGCTAGAACCATTACTCGACGATTCGGACAACCAGTCTCTTGGCGATCTTCCCGTTCGCATCTATTTTCCACCTTTATCAGCTCCTGTAACGCGACGTGTACGCATCACTGATATCAACACAATTATATACAGCCACGACAGTTATGATGACGACGAAGAAGAAGTGTTCGAACAAATATCTCAACCAAAGGTTTCATCTGACGACAATAGGAAACATCCATTCAGATCTTCAACTATTTCATCGTCGTATAAAATAGCAACAGCAAAAGAGCGACGAGAAAGTTATGCAACATTGTCGACTGTTTTCAATAACAGATGTTTATAATTGGACTGAAAAACTGGGACGCTGGATTTTCTTTTCTTCTTTTGCACTAATAAAGTATTATATGACCTACTTTCGAATAGAACAGAAGAAACTTCTTAAGGCATAATACAAATTCATTTGAACTCAGCAAGAAAATGAATGTGATGAGCAATGACTTATTCAGGCAAACTCGACGACGTGTATCTTCTTGCGTCCTCATCCATACATTAATGAGCAAAAGAAAAGAAATATACGCTATTGGTGTTTAGATATTAAAATCTGTTGAGAATATACGGACATTGTCGATTAGTTTCCGTCTCGAGAGCACGCGATAATATTGATTGCCGTTTTGTCTTCTTCGGGCAATCATATTCATCGTTTCACATAAGTTTTGCCTTTTCTCAGGAACTATCTCTCAGTCATATTCATATGTGTTTGTTTTCACAAGTTAATGATGGCATTTATAATCAAAATGATATCGTATTAACAAAAAGAATAACCGGAGATAAATTATGGGTTAATTGTACTTATTCATTATTTAATGAATTGGCCAGATTTTGTTCTCTCTAGATATATAACTCACAAGTTATCCTTGAGCGTACTGCGAACGTCATATTCGGTCGAGGGAATCGCATCGGGTACGACGAACTTTTCTTCGTACAGAAAGGAGATGGTTGTGATGAATCAAATCTGGTGCTAATAATAGAAATAGATATGTGATATACTTTCACATTCTTGCCTTGCAACCTAATATTCCATCCTAGGATACTCCGCTGGTCACGACAATAGGCCTTGGGCAACCCACCGAAAGCTTATATGAAAATTATCAAAACTAGTGCGTCACTTGAGGACGTTAACTTTTAAACACAACCATATTCATTTTTTTTTGTCAGAAAAGACAACAATCCCACATACGAAGAACATTTTCTCTCTAAAATTTCTCTAGATGTGTAATTTAATCAAGATATAGCTCACGCATTCACACATTAGGTTGATAGATGGTATGTATTGTTATTAGCTAGTTAATCCGTTTTCTTCCGTTCTAATTTGAGTGTGCAAGTCAATTTTTGGATTAAAAGAAGAAGAGATCGTGTATACGCACTCATTTATGAGCTCGATCGGTACTAATAAATATAATGGGGAGAATAGATTTGTCTGCTTCCTTTCTTTTACGAAGTATTGTCTACAAATTGACTATAATCGAGAATTCGGGTCACTAGTAGTATCAGAAAATCCCATCATACTTAGAAAGATTCAGTATATATTAATACTATCCCTTGTCACAAAAATCATGAATAGCTCGAAGATTTGTATGCAGCGATCATGCTAGATTGAAGAAAATAGTATCATACAAGAGAATTTTTGTCACGATTTATTTTTAGTAAAAGCAATCTGAAGAATTCTTGGCACGATAAATTGCGGCCTTTTCTGCAGGCGGAAATCAAACAATAACTGTCTCGTAGGGTTTTCGAGACCTTTATATATATGTAGATAGATATACAATGTGTATTAATATTTACTGACTAATATTGTCAGCTATTATTTGTACTTAATAAGACTAAAGTTGATTTCATTATCGGAGTTTGTTTTTTCCCACTCCCTCTAAGATATTGCTAATGCTTTCTACTTCTCGATATCTATACAAACAAGACACTTACATTAAAGTAAAACGAGCTGACAGTCGTATATCTTTAATCAGATTTTCTTTGTTATAAGGATGAAAAAAAAAGAGCACCACGAAAGAAACTGATTTTCCTTTGTTCTTTACATTCCGTCTTTAGTTAAGAACAACAACAATCGAATCAAAGAAGCGATAACACTCTAAAAAAAGACGTCTAGCGAAAGAGCTGTCTAAGAATATAAGTGTCAAGCTTTTGTGTTTTTCTCTCTCTCGTCCCCGATGACTTTCGAACAGAGCATACGCAGTTGAAATGAATCATTACCTAACAGGAACATTGATCGCATGTCGCTACATAAATACTCCTCATATTTTCGCTCCTAATCGAGGAAAACCTAGTTCAAATAGAAGTATTTCCATTAATCGAGGCCGAAGCTTGTGAAAGGAAAACTATATTTATACAATAGACGTCATTAGATAGTGTACGTATATAAGCTTTACGGATGTAATTTATCTTTACAATTGAATTAACTTAGATTATGAATATGTAAGAAAATGACTTGTATTTTGAATGAAAATTTATTGAGTCCTTGAGTAAATTAGAAATTCTTCTTTTTTTTTCTCTGTGAGCATTCAGCCGTCAAATGATTTACTAAGAAATTGCTGTATCAGAAAGATTGTCAGCATGTCAGCTATATGTCTCTTATCAGGAGAAATATATGCATGTATGTCATTCATTTCTCTCTTGCAACAGAATACGGAGAAATTACTTACGAAGAGAAAATCTTTGATAAGGATATTATAACATAAGGAAATGACAGATTCCTCGTGCTAATATCAAAATCCATATCACATTTATGTGAGTATAAGATTGGAACTAACCATTGGCTGTTTCCAGCCGCAAACAATTTCTGCTGAGTATCTGTGTACTAGATGACACATTTAGCGCTAATTCATATTCTTAAAATGAATCTTTGGATGAGCTGTTATTTCAATAAATAAAACTGACAGTTAGCATTTTTCCCTCTAGGATGTTAGTCGACATTCGATGAAAAATGTAATAAAGAAAACAAGAGAACATCTGTTACGAAATCATTTTTGTCACATTGTCATTCTATTTACTAGCTTGTCTAAACATTTATCGTTATATGATTTTAGATTACGGTTTTTATTAGTTCGTCCTATTGGATTACACATGATTTTCCTTAAATGAATTGTACCGAAGGTAAAAGTTCGCCATTATTTTATCTCTTATTCATTCATGGAACGATATTTAGATCCAAACCGTCACAGCGAGGCACATTTCCGTTCGCCTTTTGCTTTTTGGACGTTGGGTGTTATCAGTGTTATATTATCAACATTAGCCGATGCTGGCAATCTAATCAATTTATTTGTTCTTACTCGACGGCATATGCGATCGACAATGACAACACTCTTGGTAACACTGGCTTGGGCTGATCTGGTTCCGCCATCTGTAGTTTCAATGAATAATATCTTATTCTACTATTTTTTGCCACATTTAAATCATTCATCAACATTTCTCACCATACATATGCTAACAAGAGCTATTTTTAATGTTCTAGCGAATATATTCACCACATTCAGCAATTGGCTTATTGTACTCATTACAACATTTCGATTAATTGTTGTCAAGGTAAAATCTCGAGAATGATAAATAGCTGAAAATCTGTCGAGCGTGCTAATATATATCTATATGTCATAGATAGAGACATCTCATTCGCTCGATTATGTTTGCCAGAAAATTAAAAATCTGAGAGAATACGTTTGCCATTACTGAGCAGAAAAGCATAATGTTGTTCAAAGCACTTCAATATCATTTCCTCGAATGGGAGAAGCAAAAAAAAAACTTACAATTGTTGCATAGATTCTTGATAATTACGTGTAGGTGTCAAGATGTTTCACCACAATATAATAAATTATGGATATTGTCGCTGTTTGTGACATACGCCGTGTAGTGAAAGGTTTCAGGAGCTTATTGAAGTAGGACACATGTCAGCGGCTTAATATTTTATGATTTTCTGACGGTTTCATACTTTTATTTATTTTGCTTGTGTTTAGAAACCATTGGTAGCAAAGCATTATTGTAATCGGCGCACTGCTCGGTATGCAATTCTTCTTATATTAATCTTATCTATCACTGTTAATCTGCCGTTATTCTTCTTTACGAACATCCGTGCCTTTTGTACGCATAATGGTTTAGTTAAATACTATAGTTTTGAACTCTCGAGTATTCTTCGCAGTCGCTTTTTCTCTCAATTATTCTATCCGACAATGGTTATTATCTCTCTCCTGATTCCATGGTTGATATGTTTCCTAATTTGGTTGTTTCTAATTCGTGCCTTGCGTTCGGCTCAAAGTCAATTATCGACCAAGAATGTTAATACAAGCTTCCGAAATGATCGCAAACAAGATACATATTTTCGTATTACATTGATGATCGTCTGTGTTCTAACTGTTTATATGATATGTCGTAGTGCACATCTTCTGGAAGTTATACATATCCTAATAGCTCCATTATTCAGTCGAGAACAACAGATTTATTTCAATCAAATTCGCATTAAGTTATTCTGCATATCAAATATAATGCTGACGATTAATCATGGTGCAAATTTTTATATCTACTCCATCAACCCCAAATTTCGGTTAACTTTAAGATTGTATCTGACATATTATTTTCGTCGATGTCGGATCAAACGACGACAAGCGTTTACAATATTTCACTTACGTCGGAAGAGAACCAATGATAGTCTCGATATATTAAGTACACAAAATGAGTTAAATCGTTCGATTATGATGACAACGCCGAATTTGAACGGAAGAAATGATGTCGCGCAAAACAAAGCAAACAACAAAGCTAGTTTCAATAGAAAGAACGGCAATCAACTTCATCAAACGAATAGTATACGAACACCGCAGAAATATTTGAGACAATTCGTTGAAATCAACTCCACAAATGAGAATTCCGAAAAAAGTTATGTTTGGAAAGAAATTGAACATCGATTGAAAAATCAACGGAGAAATTGAAGCCAGAAAAAGTAAATCATACTTTATATTTTACATTGAATTGTAAATAGAAAGGTTTTGTTTAAAAAAAAAACAAACACGAAGTTTGACTTCAAGCTATCTTCTTCTTCATTTACAAAAAGATCTAATATAGATACGGAAATGCTTTCGTTACATTTGTAGACGAAGATGCGCAAAAATTGAATAAATAATTACAAATGATAACTACACCACAGTAGAGGGAACATCTTTTCACATGCGATTATACTCAAATAATCGAATTAATTATGATATGTTCCGACCATTTCATTTCATTTATAATGACATATTATACAAAGTGTTATGCGATGTCAGAAAATACTGCTTTCGGGGTACTTTGAGAAAGTTCTCGGTGTAGGCTGTTGATTCAATTAGGATGACATATTTCCAATGTGACTTTTTCGAAGTGTCTGTGACTTTCATCGCGGAGCATCGTGCAAGGAAAATTGTCTTGGGACTTTATTTTTCAAAGTACAAGTCAACAACTTGGAACAGATCTGTATTTAATAGAATTTGACAGTACTTAGCATGATCAACATGAAGTGTGATGTGTTTGTGTCAATGATACTTTTTGTGATTGATGCCGAAGGGGAGATGAGATAGGAATAAGTACGAACGCGAATATTAACGAGTGTAAAGCATAAAAAAACCCATTAGTCGGTAAATATATCTATTTCTAGTTTTATTAGAAAGATTAGTTTTTATCACTGCGTTAAAATAAAAGGATCGTCATATCTTTTCACTGGCAACTATTTACAAGGAATAGATTGCTTCAGACAAAACTCCATGAAGATTTATGTCAAATTCTTCATGCCAGATGATTTTCGTTAAACACCCAAAAGATTCGAAATGGCTTTGCAAACACGCTAATGGATTTCTATTTCATCCAATCATTAATCTCTTTGTGATTAGTATGCAGAACAAGTAAAAACATGAAAATAGAAAGAACCGTTTGAATCAAGTCATTAGGACCCCAATGAGACGTAGAGATATTCTATGTACACGATCATAACTCATCGACTCGGCATACAATAATCAAAATATCATCTCGACCGTCAGCAATGTATCCTAAATATGTCAAAACATGACCGATTGAAAACAATCGTGTTTTCCTCTACCTTGCACAGCTTGATTGAGAAGATCATCAGCTAAATTTTGCAAGCGCTAAAAAACAAAACAAATATTTATGCAACAATTCAGAAACAGCAACGTCACGTACCATATGTGCATTACGTTTAATAACTTGTTGTAATTGATCAGCTTGCATGACGTCCCATAAACCATCGGATGATAAAATAATGGTATCACCTTTTTGCACTTTCATTGTATCCAACGAACAATAACTTAAAACTTCACTAAAAGATCGTAAATTGAATGAAACTGATTTTGGGAAACACGCAATTTTACTTTTCATTAATAAAGCAAGGTACACCAAGTGAATCATTCAATGAAAACAATTGTTTCGGTCCTCGACCATTAGAATTCATTGTGCATTTGGATCGACCGTAGATTTCATTATTTCGATAGATGACAAAACCACTATCGCCAATATTTAAAGATGTTAAAGTATGCTCTTCTTTGTTCAGAGCGAGTAAACACAATGTACTACTACCTAAGAGCAGACTCGTTCGGTGCAGTTGAGCATTTGTTTTTCATTTGGGAAATCTTACCACGAACTTTTCGTGCCTCGACTTGTTCCATTGCCGATAGGATTAACTTTGGTAATTGTTTGGAATGAAAATGTGTTTTCTGTAGAAGATGTCGACATGCATCTAATACAGCTTGAGAGAAGTCAGCTGGATTGATCCCAAATGAACGATTTCCACCAGCACCATCAGCCAAACCTATTGACTCAGACAATTTCAAATAACATGATCATGCCAAAGCTTACCAACAAAAGAAAACGATCGATTGTCTACGAACATTCCAGCATCGTCACCGAAATCTCCTCGATTGATGTCTAAATTCGATAGAGGTATTTGACCTCGCAAAGATTTCGACATGCCATTGACAGCAATATGTAAACATAATTTCGTCTCGTTGATAGTTGGGTAGATTCGTTCTTGAATACTATGACGCGTCGGTACTTGATGACTATTTTTTATACGCATTGATCTACGTTCAGTCGGTACTTGTTTTGTTCTGTTATCGAATTCTCCATGAATGTAATTCAAGAACGCATCTATACGAGGATTATTTCGTTTGGTCGATGACCATAGTTCATCATAAATCACTTTCGAATCAATTCGAGATGATGGAGTTGATAATGAAGACGATGATAGACGTCGATGAGAACGATGAGGTGTCAATATTGAATGACTGTTGTATAGAGACAAAGGTTTCACATTTTCCTGGTCATATTGAGACCAACTTGGACGACGAACAGAATACGACAAACTAATATCAAAATAATTAGACAGAAGTTAAGTGATAAACTAAAACGCAGATACGACTTACTTGTAATCGTAATCTTTGTATGTGGATTTTTTATTAGCCGTCATTTTCCATTGTTCACCATGTCCAATGAGAAACTTTTCAACATCGATAAAGGTTGCTTCATTGTTTTTCATTTTAACAGGTTGGCCTTGTCCGTAGTCAACATACACTTCATAACTATCAGCAAAATGTGAATTTTGCAGAGATACTAACTCTTGCATCCGAGCCATTGAATATAAATTTTTGTATGAAAGGCAAAAAACGACAAGTTTTCGACCTCGACACTCTTGTCCTTTACTCTTTTCGTTGGTGTAAATCAATGATAGGCGTACCCATCTATACTCGATTAAAATAAATGAACATTTTGCGCTTCATCGAACAAGATTCGATACTCATGTTATCTATTTACACATTCACTTGATCATTCGTGTTTCAATTCATCAAGAACATCGAAGAAGAAGAAAAATACATACAATTTTCGATCGCCATTAATCACCTAGATGTGCACCTTGAAGTTGAGAATGAAATTCAAACATGAACACGTTTGATGTTCGATATTACAAAGACTCGTTTGAAATTTATTTATGGTTATATAAAATATACGATTCAGTGAAAAATTCGAACTGAATTATATGCTTTCAAAGAGGAAATATTGCGAAAAATAAGCTTGAAAATGATTGATATCGAAGATCGTTGTTCGATAGGCAATGTAACCATCTGGACGTACGAGAATAGCACCTTCAAATTGAACCGGAAGATCTTCTTCGTGAATGCGAACTATCTTCGAATATTTTTCTTTGACGAAGTCAATAAACAGTTTCACTTTTGTCGATTGTTGTTGATTTGCAAAAATAACAAAATGATAGTAACATGGTTCGAAAATAACGTAAGGAAAACGATCACCGGGTAACGGAGTAGTTCGATGGAACTGTCCAGCTGATGCACCATAGTCATAGATTTTCGACGAACGATAAGTAATAGCGGTTTGGGATAGTCGACGAAACAAATATTGTCGTAATGTCTGAGAAGAATTTAGTATCGGTTGAACGAGAAATCGAAGAATATACGGTGTTATATAAAGACGGAAAAATCGAGTCAACCAATATGGACTGCTTATAAATGAAAATGCTCGATCTGTAGTGTTGACTAAACTTTCGGCAACTTTGAATCGTTCATCATGATACGTATCGAGCAAACGATCATGCGCTGAGTGTGTTAATACGTATGCTAATTTCCACGCCAGATTATGCGCATCTTGTAAGCCTGTATTCATTCCTTGACCACCCACAGGCGAATGTATATGAGCAGCATCGCCAAGTAAGAAATAATGCTTTCGATAACGGAATGTTGTAATATGCCGATGATGAGAATGATAGACTGATATCCAACTGCAGTTTGAGATGTTGATATCTGAACGTCGCGTTCGAGTATGTACTATCTTTTGTACATCGTTTATCGAAAGATGAATGTCGTCCTGATTGCCTTCGTGGATTGTACCAATTAATCGGAATCGATTGTCACGAATTGGAAATATTCCGGACAGACCTGTCGACTCGCAGAAAAGCATCATTTCCTTCGTGCTACACGGTGATCTGTCCACTTCACAATCGGCCACAAACAACGATTCGGAATATGTTCGTCCACTGAATGATAAATTCAACTTATGTCGAACAATACTTCGTGCGCCGTCACATGCACAGATATATCTCGGTCGAAGAATTTCACCATTCGATAATGTTACTTCAGCACCTGCATCACCGAAATCTTTTATATCAATTACTTCAATATTTCGTTCAACTTGAATACCGTGTTCATGCAAATAGGATTCTAACAACTGTTCAGTTGTTGATTGTTCAAGAAAAAGTACGTAAGGATAACGTGTATTCAGCGGCTGTTGTTTCGTACGCACTTGTGTTAAATCTACTTTGATAGCACATTTACCTTGGAAATATCCTTTCATAGCATCGACAAACGTTCCCTGAGCTAGAGCCTTATCAACGAGCTTCAGTTGAGCTAATAGCTCCAGCGAACGAGCATGAATAACTAGTGCACGTGATTGCGTTGTACAACCGGCATTTCTATCAATGATACGGAAGACTATATTTGGATAGAGCGAAAGTTGACAAGCCAACATGAGGCCAGTCGGACCGGCGCCGATAATGACAATATCTGTTGATGATGTCATGGTATTTTGTAAAAAGAATGTTTGATATGTATTTTAATCTAAAACGGCCAATGATTTCGTTTGTTTTCGTTAATTCCCGATTTCTCTCGAATAGTTTTGTTGACTGTATTCACAATCAGCGCATATTTGCATCATTATCGACTCGCTTTCTATCTCTTGTCATTCTATTCCTTCGACATGCTTTTTCATTGGTTATTAGTCATAAAGTCCATAAAGAAAAGAAAATGGCACGTGCGATCCAATCGTACTTGTGCGTCATAAGATCACAAGCAATCGCGCACGTCAATAGAAAAAAAAAACCGTTTTACCACATAAACAACACAAATCATTCATTTGCGGTCATCATTCAACTGTATCAAAAACACAAAAATGCCGTCAACGCTCGGACTTTTGCCAATGCAACAAGAATCGTTCGAACATCATGAAGAATTGAGCAAATTACTCAAAGAAACCGATGTTTTCTATGTTCCATTGCAGAATGATTTTCATAGCAATGCAAATAGTCAAGATGCATCTGATGTAACGAAACGGTTCGATGAGGATATTTTGAACAAACATCTGGTTGTTGTAAGTTTCGCGTAGGAATTCTGAGAAATATTTCACATGTTTCTATAGACATTTCGAAATATCGGTTATTCATTATTTCTCGACGCAGTTCAAAGTATTCCTGATCAATATGATCATTCGAAAGTAAGACTTGTCAACAAGAACATGCGATGATTGATTTTCTTCAATTTCAGACTCGCGTTTCAGGCAAAATGATTGTTGATGGTATATGCATACAATTTCTCGGTTGTTTTGATTGTCAATACAAGAATCAAGACCATGCAGACGTTCAACAAATCAACGGGGTTGGAAGAATACAACTAGACGAAGACTATTATCGGGAATTATCAACACAAGTATGTTCAATGCAGAATATTCTTCATTCAACGAACTTTGTTCTTTTCTATTTTTAGATATTAACTGCAGAAACGTAACATTTGTTTGCTTTGTTTCTTTTTTACGTATTCTTATTTATTTCTAGAACATCGGAGTTTGTGGACGATATGAAACGAGCAGAAAGGCCAATGCCAAAAGTCAAGGGACGCTCCCGAACGATTAGTGAGAATATCCTCGGAAAAAATCATTCGAATACCCTAAAAAGTCCACCACCATCACTTTCCAATTCCCGATCTCATCTACCTTATACATTACGATCACCTCGAACTATGAGTAATGCTAGTAAACAACAACATCAATCATCAGCACCTATTAATATCGATCATTCATCAGTATCACGAAGTTCAGGTAGATCAATTACACTTGTTTTTTTTTGTGAACTCTCATACTCAGATAAACACTTTCTTCCAGGTTTTCATTCAACATTCATTTCACCTTCCTCAAGTGTAGCAAGTTCTTACAACGAAAATATACTCGATCCGTCTCAACAAAAATCTACACATATGTTCTCACAATCGCCTCAATATTCGTCAGCTCTTCATAATCCAACAACCATGCCAATACAAATACCGTCGACAGCATCAACAAACATTACTATTCCACCCTCATCATTACCGCAATTTACTGGCATATTTCCAATAACGCAATCACATTCGTTGCCAACATATTTTCTTCCTCAAGGAAATTTAGCATACTTTATTACAAATCCAAATCAAACGCCACCGCCGCCTCTACATATACTCACACCTTTGAATCCTCACTCTTTACCATTTACTTCAGCACACTATTCCCCGCTCTTGTCAACTCAACCAGCGGCGATTCATGAGTCTTTGTTATTAGTACAAAATAAGCAAAGTCAATCGATGGAAACAAACAAACAAGGTGAAGAACAATTACCGTTTAAGAAACGACGCTACGCTGGTCAACAATCGTCTGTTCTTTCACCTATGGACATCGATCAACATGAAGACGATGAAACATCTAATGAATCAATGAAAAAATAAATTTCTATTTTTAATTGTACATAGTTCTAATTTCATATGTTTTGTAGTTCTTTGCATCCATTTCAAAGTCTTTTTCTTGCTTTTTCAATGTGATCTAGATTTTTATCCCATATATATTCTTCTCTTGACGTATACACGATGGTTTTACCAATGTTTCAAACATGACTGAGTAATTTACAGACCGGTATGAAATAAACGAACGAAAACGAAATACTGTATGTTTGTCTAACATCTGTTAGAGATAGAATGCAATATGATCTTGTATTGCTATTCTCACTCGCAGAACATTCTTATTGATTTCAAATGACGTATTTGTGTACTACTGACGCTAATGCTTATTTGAAAGCACGTATTTGAATACTTCGTAATAGTTTTCATGCCAATTTTACAATTGAATAGCTATAAATTAATGTCTTGTTTATCGTGGAGTTGAGAAAATAGTAAAATAACTATTCACCTGTGAATATCAATCGTAGCCAGTTTGTTCATTAGAATCTATTATACTCTATCATCCCTGATATAATCGTCCTACGTCGAATGATTAATAACCTATGGAGAATGAGAGAAACAGAAATACTCCGATTCTTCTTTTGTGCTATATGTTGATACGCTCGCTCGTTGTATCAGACATATCTATAATAGGAAAGCAAGCAAACTATGTTTGGTTGGCCGAAGAAAAATATTCCTGTTGCTCCTTTCTTTCTGTCTGTTAGATATTCCATGGATTAGAAATAACAAAAATAACGCTAACGAAACATAACTAGCAAGTTTTGGCTTGTTCTCCTATTTTCTCTGCAGGGATAACTTCTTTTTTGTTCTGTCCCACCCACCTCTTTGTCTTCTTATCCATAGAAGAACGTTGGAGAATCTCGCACAGTCATCTTCGTTAATATCGGATCGAATAAGTTAGCATTCTACTTGTAACACAAAGCAAAAAATGACAACTCCACATTTTTGTGATCGCTGCGGATCATGTGGCAAAAGTTTCGGTCGAACAGAGCCACGCACCATCTTCAACGGTAAAACTTACCATCAAAACTGTCTCAAATGTGCAAAATGCCGAAGTCCTCTAAGTGGAAACTTCTATCCAACATTAGAAGGTTTCACATGTGAACAATGCCATAAACGTATTTCAACGCGTTGTAAACGATGTGGAAATGCTATTGAAGCTGGTATCAAATATAAATTATACAAAGGACAAGAGTATCATCCGGAATGTTTTTGCTGTTGGTCATGTACATCACAAATTAATGAAGGCGAACAATTTTACGAACTCCGTGGTTATCCACAATGGTAAACTTTCATGTTCACATGTATTTGCATTGCCTCATTCTATTTTTTCTTCTTTGCAGTCCGAAATGTCATAATGAAGGTAAACAAGAATTTGCTGATTATCAACCGGTTCAACTACATCAGTGTATCAAATGTCATAAGACCATTGAGAAAACGCAACCGTTTTCATTCTATGAAAATAATCCATATCATAATGATTGTTTTATTTGCAATCGTTGTAATCTCAGTTTAGTAGGAAAACCATGTCATCGTCTTGGTTCAGCTATTGTTTGTCCTAATTGCAATTGAAACAAATCTTAATCAATTCGGGCAATGAAGAATATCTTTATAATTACCTATAATTATGTCAACCCTTTTTCTGCGCTTCTCTTTTCTCGAATAAACATAAAGTCAAGAATGGTAAAAAAGCGCACTCGTTTCTTGCGAAGATATCCGATACACTGCTCGTTATTAAGTAAATATTGTACCACCATGCAAATACAACTAGTATTGGCAAACCCGATCGGGTCTAATAAAATAGCTTTACGTAAAATAAACATTCACGTAGAGGACGTGTAAGCCAGAAGAATTTTCAACGGAAATATTTAATGATCTGATCATAGGTTTTGATAATCGTCTTTATTTCTATATATGCATATATTTATGTATACGTTTGATGTGTATGAATGGGTTTTTTGTGTTGAGAAATAAAATGATGTTATATGAGAGAAAGAAACGAATCTTCCAAGTCAGAAATAAAAGACAAAACAAGAGAAAGAAAAGTACTGAAGTCAATAATACTTTCAGAAATATATGATGAACAACAAGAGATAACAAAACGAAGAGAGAGAGAGAGAGAGAGAGAGAGAGAGAGAGAGAGAGAGAGAGAAGTAAACGAATGGCGACATAGACGACGAAGGAAAAGATTTGTTTTGGTTCTTTTTTCAATTGTACACGAAAAAAAACAAGAAAAGAAGAAAGAAATCCAATAGACTGACAGACCGATAAAAAAAAACAAAAACAAAAACAATCATTTATAGTCAAATATGACCTGGCCAATACAATTGTTGTCCGCTTGTTTGAGTATTTCCAGCGATATTTGGTGAAGGCGATGCGATACCAGCTTGATCGAATAGGGCAGTTGATGCATCACACACTGTTTGTAGAGGTGATGTACCCGGATTTAATACGGCTGCAAGATTCGCACTGGACGTTGTTGATAAGTTCGCGAGATTAAATTGCGAAAATATACTTGATGGCCATGTCCCACCTGTTGCACCCGTCGTTGGAGCTAAATAAATCGGCTGTTGCATAGTCGATTGTTGTGGTAATGGATAGTAGATCAAGTTTGACCTAAATAAAACAAAAAATTGACAGTTTTTTGTGAAAGACAGTGAACAAGTTGTTTTTGTCCTAGAGAATTTGTGGTAGAACTAAAAATATAATAGATCATCGAAGTCAAACCAAACACAAACGAGAGCCAAAACAACAAACAAACACACAAAATGCACACGGGGAGAAAAGAGCATGTATGATGATCATTCCATTTTTTTTTTCATCTACTTCATGGGAAAAGAGAATCAGAGATAAATCGTTACGAAGGCCCGTTGGATTTTCTAGATATGGATAGATATATGTATGGTACACACGGCAAACAAAATGCAAACGGGCAAAACAAATATCAAAAACACTGTCAGAGCACGCGAAAAAAACACCCACAAGCACCTTTTATATTTAATTCACTTTGCTGTTCATCCGTTGGCAGCTTTTTTGCGTTAGCCTAGAGATAGACAGAAAGATAGAAAGAAAAGAAGTGCCGCTGTTCATTGTGCCATTCATTTTCTTTACGAATTTGAAGTAACAAAGGAGAAAAGTGGGACTTATTTATCTAACTTGCACTATTCTCTTATTCTTTCTTCGATTATGGACATTCATTTTCATTCATTGAAAACGCCTTTGGCAGAAAATGCTTTCAATCTTTGCTTTAATTTCGTTTGAATCGAAAAAAAAACAAGGACGATCTGAAACCTCAACACTCCGAGTTTGTAATTGAGTTGAAAAAACAAACAAATGGCTTCGAATCTCATTAGACATACGAAGAAGAAGAACAAGAACAAGATTATCTTAAAACGACATACGGGTAAGCAGTAGCTGTTGATTGATATGCTGGCATACGAGCCAGTACACTGTAACCAACTAGAATGATAATAAAACAAAAAAAAACATGTTAGAATTTCAAATGAGTTCTGTTTGCATACGTGATAATGCTGCAGTACGATTCTTAGCACCCATATAAGCTAAATTAACATTAGCACGACGACCATCAATTGTCGGATTAGGATCTTTCACAGCTTCTTCGGCATCTTCTTTTCGTACCATTGTTACCTAGAAATATATACACAGAAAGTCATCGATCGAATCAGATGACAAAAGATCAAACTAACAAATCCATATCCACGTGATTTCCCCGTACTGCGATCGTTGATAACAACTGCTTCTTCGATATCACCAAATTTGGAAAAAAATGCTCGTAATGTTTCATCAGTCGTATGATAAGGTAAACCTAAAGTGAAGACTGTTTGATAACAAAACTGTCTATTGCTTCTCCGTCGATTACCTCCGACAAATATCTTAGTAAATGTCGTATCTTTTTGTAGATTGGCTTGCATTAATGGATAGTAATTAGGCGAATGAGATTTGATCGATGCAAATCGTGGCGTGTAACGTTGACGGTTAATTGAATTCAGTACCGGCGAGGGCGGCGTTGGAAGAGTATGCAACCAAGAATGATAATAGTTCGAACTGTTATTATCGTCACTATTCGGAGTGACTTTTGTTAATGTTGATCTTAAGAGACAGAAGAAAAGAAAACGGTGTGTTTAGCCGTATTGATGTGATGTAAGTTGGGTATTTGTTTTATGATAAGGAAGAGTTATGAAAAGATTGTTTATGTTGAAAATGAAGTGAAAAAAGAAACTCTCTCTTTCTAATACAAACTCTTGAAGCCTTTTATTTTTTCCTCTCTCTCTCTCTATTTAACTGAATGAACCAATCGGATGAGAAAAAAGAAAAGTGTTGAGAATTAAAATAAATAGACTTACGATGATGGTCGCATCCATGATTGATTATTAAATTGATGATTTGTTGTTGCTGCTGCTGCTGCTGTCGTTGTTGGAGGTGATGGAGGAAAATAGTTGGGATGCTGACGCCAGTCTTGCCGCGGTGAATAAGACGAGGACGAACACGATAAACGTTGATGATGTTCCATTCGGTATCGAATTCTATATTGAATGAAACGAATACGATTAACGTTACGTTTTGATTTGATTTTGTGCTCTGTTTAAAGAACGAAAACAAATGCTTTCATATAGATAGATAGACGAAAGAGAGAAAAACATGCGTTTCCGTCGGCCAATTCGATCTCGACGTATAGACGCACATATACGAATGAAGTATGAACAGAAAGAACTACACAACCGACAGATAAAAACTGACGTCAAAGTGAAACATAAATTTATTGGTCTCCCCCTGTTTCTTGCACGTGACTGAGTCGAATTAATATTCTTAGCAGACGTTCTGGTATAAAAATAGAAACAATCGCGGTGTATGAAACAACGAAGTAATTCATAATAGAAATCATCGGATCTAGCACAACGTACTGTTTCATCGTGTGCATAACAGAATTTGACTTTATTGAAAACGTCTTTCTTCTTGTTAAATCACACATGTGACATCTCAAGAGTTCATAGATTGTTATTGTTTATCAGCTAATAATGCTTCATTATCCATACACAGCGAAGTCATTCGATTGAACTGATCAACTTCAATTTGACTATCAAATGAAATGATCGAACTGCTCGATTGAACCGTTGGATGATAATTCAAGAATGGGACGGATATATGAAGTATTTGCACATCGTCAGATTGGTCAATAGTACTTTCATGAAATGAATCCGATATTTGCGTTGATTTTGCTAAAGGTATTTGAGTTATTTCACTATTGGATGATAGTTGAATGGCTAGTTGTGTTGGTGGTTGACCGTTCACGTTTCGTTGGCGCGTAGAAAATCGATGAGCGATCTGTTCTTGTCGCAGGTCAGAATTCGATGTCTCTATCCACGATGAAGTATCTGTGGAAGGCGACGAATATACTGGTTGATGGTCAATATAATCGAACGTGTAATATGGCATTTGATTCCAAAACGAATTGATCTTCTGTTGATCGAATGATTGTTGGATGGTTACTGTCACGTCATGATGGACAGTGAGAGATTTACACTTGTTTATGGGATAATTGCAAGTTCGAGATGGTGAACAGCGTTGCTTCAATGAATAACATACAATTACTGAGATTATTACACCGAACAGAATGAGAAGAGTAATGAAAAACATTCTAGGAACAATTTTCATTGATCAATTCAAAACAGTAATAAATTTCTTACATAATTATCGGGTGAAGATAGATAGTATTCGTTCTATTCACTTGTAATACATGCAGCATCATTTCGAATTCTAACACTTCATTTCCATCATCACCAATACACATATATTTACCTAAATAGTAGAAGAGTTCAGAATGAATTTAATGTTTTCCTTTCCTTCTCATGCGAAACCTTGAATTTGCTCAGTAATGTTAGTGAATACAATTGTTCGATTATGGGATATTTCATATTTTGGTCGATATCGCTGGTAGTACCATGTATATTTCAAATATTCTTCTGAACCATCGATTGGACCTAAATCAGCCAACATTTTTCGTCAACTCGAAATGATTTTCTTCTATCACATTAAACTTCGTACATCGCATCTGAATCGTTTCTCCTGGTTCAATGTAAATATTTCGAATACCAATAATATCATCGGTAAATGACATTTCTCGATATGGGATCAATTTTGTACGACATGCATCGAACGTTTGCAAATCTCTATTCCATGAATTAAGTAATGGATAGATTGTTACTTTTGTAAGTAGTTCGTCTGTTTGGATTGATGTCATATTTGGCAAAGAAGCGATATTTTGGAAGAAGTATTCGCATGGATTCTCGGAAGTTTTCATTGTGTTCGTTTGATTAGGAACAGGAATATTCGTGTGTTGAAATTGAATCGAGTTTTGATAGATATTGTTTTTGAAGGTATCTGCTCGACAATCATAGATACTTATTTGTGCAAAGATGAGACTCATTTTTCGTGGATGAAGATGAATTTTTTCTGTACATGTCAATGGTGAATTGGATGGAATAAGAGCGAAACGGGTGTAAATCGAACATAATATCGACTGGCTATCATCTTTCAAATAGATCATTGATAGAAATACATGGGAGAATAATGGTGAAGTGATATTCAAAAGTATAGAATCACTTCCGTATTCCACGATGATCGGACACGTTTTTATCAAACAAATATAAGATGTATCCTCAATTTCGAAATTCTTCAGAAGAATTTTCATGCGTTGAATAGTTCGATTGCCAAGAAATTGTTGTTCGTCAATCAGCTGAATGTCAATCTAAAACATGCACGCATTGTTGAAGAAATTATGCTTCGTCGGATATCTACTTGGTGTGCTATTTGACATTGAAAACAATTAATTGGTATTAATGGAATTTTCAGTTGGCTAGAAATATTTAGAAACAGATAATTTGTAGGATTTGATTCTTTAGAACAAATTCTATAGGCATAAGTTAATCTGAATAGTAATGATATAGAAGATATGAGCAACAGTTGACAAAGCATGTCGATTGAATTTCTAATCAAATCTTTTTTCATTCATTCATTCTTTCTTTCATTAACTGTGCGTTTCTGATTCGTTTATTTTCTGTTCGTTAAATAAAATCATGAACACAATGACAAGCACACACACACACACGTAAGGTTTTTAGCAATTGGTTTGGTTTCTTTTCGATGAAAACGATACGATGATGATTATGAACGATGTACGTTCCCATCTGTAGTAAATGTCGCAGTATTTTGAGGTGAACGCAACTCTAAATCTACATAACGAACATTGTCGTATGTTGCTGTGGTGGTTGGACCTGCTGGCAGTCTTGGAGTGCTACTAGTAGCATTAATTCTTGGTTGACCTCCAGCACTTATTGTTATACTAATATCTAACACACATGTGCGTCCGTTAGCTGAAACTGTTTGTCGAATAGGCTGAGATGCATAGGTCGCAGCATATGATGGTTGTTGAGTTGATGGAAATTGTCTTTGTCGTTCAGAAACTATTCGAGTATTAGACGCAGCAGCTCGGTCTGTAATGCGTGAACTCTCGAAACCTTCACTATTGCCTTCGGCATCTCTGAATTGGTTGTTTCGGAAGACAACACTATGTTCATCGTTATTATTTCGAAAATTAGCACGCTCTCTTGGAGCATCTGATGAATTCGTCGACACTCGTGGACGCGTAGATGCATAGTTGTTGTCACGACTATAACTGGTCGCATGTGATGGACTATATGAATCCTTGATTGAAGCATATTCGTTATTTATATTATTGGTTTCTACACGATAGGCTCTCTGTATATGGGTATTATTGGGCGCATCATAATGATTATTTGAATCTTAAGAAGAAAACATATGTGACAGTTTACTACGTAAGTCGCAGAATTTATTTACCTTGGCGTGAAGGAAGCATGATTAATATTAGTATGTTCTACTATCGTGAATATATCTGTGACTAGAAATGTTGAAATAATGAGAAAAATGTCAGTTTTTATATAAAGTGAAAACAGTCTTCTTCATATATAATATCGCAGTATTTCACATACCTTAACAACAATAAAGATATAGACACTCTTTCTCTCTTTTTATTTTTATCGCAGAAAAAACACAGTAAGAAAAAAAGGTAAGAAATATTTTAGATAAGCGACTATAAACGTTAACCACACACATAACTGTTGAATTTCTTCCGTCCGACGGTCATTATCTTTAAGCTTTTTCAAAAAGAATGACAACACAAAATGTTGACTTCGCCAAGATCTAATTTTGCAGTTAAACAACACAGAATTAACACAGGATTTGCCTCTCAGACTGCAGCCAACATTTATTGCATAGTTTCAATTCGGATAAAATTCTTCTCTTTTGTCTGATTGAGTTTAGAAGATAAAGAAATAAATAAACAATCATGTGAGTTCTCAGATGTTATCTGCAGATAATAAAAGCGAAGTTCTTCACAAAAAGTACACCATAGTAAGCGACTTTCTACCGTTTTCCATTAGAAAACACCTGAAACATTTATTACTCGAAAATGTCACCTAGAATGAAAGGTATATTGATCTCATGCGCACGCACATATATTTGTCTTCGGTGCATATATTCTCATCAATCTTCTTTTGAAAAGAAAACTAGATGAAAGTTAGTCGAGCAATATGTACGATAGTCGATACATGAAGTCTTGGTAACACCTACTACATCATTGCTATTGTCATGCATAAGACGTTCCATCGAAAAAAGTCTTTATTTTGATATGAAGACATATAAATGTTAAAATCAAATATAGCAGAGTCGATAGTTGTCCGCATTTACGTTCCAGTAGAAAAATCATTGTTGTGCACAACTTTGCCGTTTATTAGTTGTACGTTGATCTTTATTCGATGATAAGTTCGGATCGGATGAGCGACGTGTTATATCACAATTCAATGTCATATTAATATTAGCTAAATGCAAAAGAAGATGAAATGCTTTATATACAGATTCACGTTCGCGGCATGTTGTTTCGATCAGATGGGACGACCATTGTTCACGCACGATGGCTTCCGCGTGATCTCGGTCGATTTCTCGCCGAGTTAAATCCACATCGGATTTATTTCCGACGAATATCATTGGTAAAGGCGCAGAGACTAGATCACCTTTGATTTCTAAGACGAGTTGATACATTCGTTGAGCAATATCAAATGAAGACGCATCATTGACAGCATAAACAATGAGAAATGCATCGCCACGAGCAATCGCTAAACGCCGCATAACAGGAAATTCATCGATTCCAGCTGTGTCTAATATTTCTAATATAATATGGCGATCAACAAGTGCGAGTTCAGCGCTATACATTTCGTCGACTGTTTCTTTATGTTCAATAACAAATTTTTCTGCTAAGAACTGCTGACATAGACATGTTTTCCCTACGAATCAAAATGACAAGAATAGATTGCATTTTGACAGAGATTTCTTTCGTTTCAAATGATTTACTAACCGACTTTCGTCGCACCAAGAACGACAATTCGAAGTTTTTCTTCAGGTCCTTCATGATCAATAGTCGCAGCTCGTTTCGGTTGAGAATTAGGACGATGTTGATGGCGGCGGGATGTTGGATTCGTCGATGTACGTCTTCGATTTTCCTGTAACGTAAGTGATCGAAGATCATCAGATGGATCCGATGTCATTGAAACAAACGCTGTTGCATACGATAGTAAAATAACAGTTAATGGGTATACCAAGAATTCCTACACCTATTAAGGCGATGTGCGTGTTTAATTCAAGTCGACTGACAGTTTTTCAAAAACGAGAGAGGCTCATGACAATCAGACTAAACATGAAGAAATAGACACTGATAGAAGAAAATAATGCAAGAAAGAGAGATACACAGAGAGAGAGAGAGAGAAAGCAGAAATTATCAAGAAAGTCTTTCTTTCTTTCTGTTTTTTCTTCTTTTGCTTTCTTCCGTTTTGTTTCGGTCTATCTACTTGCTATTCAAGCAAGTTTTCCTCTCAACTATTGGTCTCATTCTGATGACATACACTGAGTTCTGACAAAAGGCACGTACAATTTCGTGCCATCAGTTCTGTTGTTATCTTTTCTGGTTAAAGATAAATATACACATACCCGTAATTTTGCTCGACACTGGTTAATTTGATTTCATTTTGTTCAGATGAGGGAAAAACATAGTAATCCGAACTTCTTTTTCTTCTTTGTTCTAACGAAATCAGCTTGCCTGATGAGAGAAGAAGAGAAGATTATACCAGTCAATTCTCGGGAGATTCTTTTTCTTATTGACAAATCTAACTCGATAAATAATGTCGGAAATGACTGGATAATCTTCATGAAGTTATGAATATATATTATTGAATAGGTCATGATATGTCTTTTCGTGTTACAAATTATTTTTCTCGTTTTACTTTCTAAATCTGTGCGTATAATTTACTTTCCACTCCGACATAAGAGACATTTAGTGGGAAATGAGTAAGATGTCTAACGATGTTTATTAATTAGAAAGAGAAAGATTACTTTTAATCATATCCGTTTCCGTTCTTCACGTTTAGTTTAGGATCAAATCATTGAAGAAAACATATACATTAAGCAAAGACGAGAAACGATACGATCACATGACATTCGTCTGCATCTCGACATCGGTGAAACAACAGTTCTAAACTATCCGCGATTTCCTAGTCATTTCATTGTCAAAAGAGAACACTAACACAAATTGTCTTTTTTTTCACGAGGGAGAAACTGGTTAATTCATTTAGGATTATCAATCGTTTCATCAACGATATAAATATATATCTGTCTAGATGTATCAGAAACATAAAATACCAATATTTATCGAACGGGAACATTGTATCCCTGTTGATATTTTGAAAATATTCTCTTTTGATCTCGAGTAAATATCTAGCTGACTCGCGTGATTGCAAACGGAAGTTATTTGAAGCATCTGTGCTAGTTGACTACAAACTACTCGTTTACTTACAAAATAATTAGAGCATCATCAGCACTCGAAATATTCTTTCGAGCTTCTTCTGAAAATGTTCTCTTCTCATACGATAGGAAATAAGCACATGATTTTGCGACTGATTGATTGTAATTTTCTTCAAAATGATAAAACTTCCACTTTGTCACGTTCTTCTCTCTCTCGATTTTCGTCATCTGTCAATAAAATCGATTCGTTAGAATCGCCGTTCGATTGCTCGTCGTCAGTTTCATTTTCATCCGAAGAATCCGTTGAACAATCATCATCACTATCATCATCATTTGATTTACTTGAATCAACAATATATGGAAGAGCGATAGTTATTAAAATCGTTCCCACTAGAAAACCAATAACAACCAAGAAACTACATACGACAAACAATGTTTTCAATACATCGTTTTGTTTGCTTATTTCATTCTACGGCGGGCATGAAGGATTCTTATCGGATAAATTTTTTAATTTACTTGATGCATGTGATAGAAGATATTTGGTCGATATGAAAGCAATGCACACACACACACACATCAATAAGATTGTTCGCGCGCATTTTCATCGTGAAGAGAAAAACAATTCAGTAAAATGTTTCCAAGAAACTACAAGTTCATCTGTCTAAACTTTTATTTAAAAAATGAAAAAACACGTTTTAGAACTACGATAGGACTGGCAAGATCAGGAGTCGTAATGATAATCTAGATAAATCAAAAACATTTTCAATGATATTTAGCCCATTTGTATTGTTCTAAGCAAGAATGAACAAGATTATTTGATATTCGATTTCGAGTAACTTACTTCTATCGGGTATAGCAAAGAAAACGAAGTTGAACAAGGAGGCAACGACGAAGATCTGCGTATACCAAATCAGATTCGGCTTCTTGTTATCCAAATAAGCACGGTAGAATTTCCAGAACGCTGAAAGCAGACCATTCTTGTAGCATTTTGTTTCGAAGTAATTGTCAAACTTACTTCGAATACCACCTTGATAAATGCCCATTGGTGTTTTATCTCGTCGAGCAATCCATGCAGGCACGTCGGCTAGCTTGACATCGCCAAAATGGAGATCTCCTAGAAAGATTGGAGACAAAAGTAGAAAATGTAACTATGATTTTGACAAACGTTTTCCATAATAACGCCATGGACAGTAGGGACCATGAACGCGGGGATTGAAATCGCGTGGATATTCATTGAAAACTTTGAAGTATTGAGCCAAATTTAGATACTGTAATGGATCCCATTTGGCTTTGATACGATCCGGATTGCCCGGAATGATCGTTTCATTGGTTTTACTGAACCAATTATCACTCATGATAAACTGTTCGGTTAGAAATAGAGCTAATAGGAAAACTAAAAGTAAAATCTTTCTACAATCGTCGCCATTGAATTTGTTATTCGTACACTAGTAACTACCAACCAAAAGGCAAAAGCGCTATGTTCTACGCCGAATTAATAATAAACAATACGATAACAGAATTAACCCATAGGAGAAGGCAAAAAAGAGAAAAGAAAACAGGGATCGAAACGAAAAAGACTTGTCATAGTTTTACATTTATTGCGTGATAATGACGAGAACTGATGCGAACTCATTCTATTCATTCATTTTGCAAAGAAATTATGACACTGCTGAATGTTTCTGTAAGTTAATATGTTTTTTCATCTATTTTTGCGCTTGTTCGAAATCACTCACATGTTTATGTTTCAACCGAAATTCATAGAAAAGTCATAGATTTAGCGTGGATGATGTTGATCATCTCGCTGATTTAATATTCAAGAAAATGCGTGGAATGACAAAGTGGAATAAAAGACGGAAAAAGCATGTCTATCAACGAAAAACACTAACAATGATCGACACACGACACAATGCAAAAATATACACACAGAAAGGCGCACGCAGTGTCGGACACGGCAAGAGAAAAAGAAATCATCTGTTTAGAAACATTTTCGGTGAACGATTGATGGACCCGATTCATCATATTCTTGTTTCGAGATCCACATCTGTTGAAATGTCGATAACGATGCCAAAATTGAACCACCAATCCACACCGAGTATTTACGTTCGGGTGGTGCAATGATTTTGATTTTCATTGTTGATGGTGCCAACGACGTGATTTCTTTTTGCATACGATCAGCGATACCTGGATACATCGTTGTACCACCTGACAAAACTGTATTCGCATATAAATCTTTACGAATATCGATATCGCATTTCATGATCGAGTTGTATGTTGTCTCATGAATACCTAACAAATACACAAATTAGCAACTCAATCAACACACACACTTCTCTCATCTCTACTCACCAGCTGTTTCCATGCCAAGGAAGCTCGGTTGGAACAAAGCTTCTGGACAACGGAATCGTTCATTACCAATGGTGATCACTTGTCCATCGGGTAATTCATAGCTCTTCTCTAATGATGATGATGATGCAGCTGTAGCCATTTCTTGTTCGAAATCGAGAGCAACATAGCAAAGCTTTTCTTTGATATCTCGCACGATTTCACGCTCAGCTGTTGTCACAAATGAATAACCACGTTCGGTCAAGATCTTCATCAAATAGTCAGTCAAGTCACGACCAGCCAAGTCAAGACGAAGAATGGCATGTGGTAATGCATAACCTTCGTAGATGGGAACTGTGTGTGTCACACCATCACCCGAATCAAGTACAATACCAGTTGTACGACCACTTGCATAGAGTGAAAGAACAGCCTGGATGGCAACATACATAGCTAAAAAAAAACAAAATCAGATCACATATGTGTTTGTGTGTGCATTCGACGGGATGCAATGAATATACCTGGTGTATTGAATGTTTCGAACATGATTTGTGTCATCTTTTCTCGATTAGCTTTTGGATTAAGTGGTGCTTCGGTGAGAAGAACTGGATGTTCTTCGGGTGCAACACGAAGTTCATTGTAGAATGTGTGATGCCAGATTTTCTCCATATCATCCCAGTTAGTAACAATACCATGTTCGATGGGATATTTGAGAGTGAGAATACCACGTTTAGATTGGGCTTCATCACCAACATACGAATCTTTTTGTCCCATACCAACCATGACACCTTGATGACGTGGTCGACCAACAATAGATGGAAATACTGCACGAGGAGCATCGTCACCAGCAAAACCAGCTTTGCACATACCACTGCCATTATCAATAACAAGAGCTGCTACGTCGTCGTCACACATTTTAATTCGGAATTATTGAGAAGGTAAATATGTAAAAATAATGTATGTATTCTCAAAATGAGTAGCTTGAAATGATGATAATTCGTTGCTTTGTTTCAGCTTATATACAAATTATGGACGAGACAGTGTTCCTTCTTCGTTTACTTTTTCTCTATTCTTATTCATCGTCGGCTTGAAATTCTACTTGCATTGCCATATAAGGACATTTGAAGCGAACGATCGGCCAATGAAAGTGAAACGGATTGAAGAACGCGCAAACGAGGGTGGCGAGTGTGTGCTTGCGAACGAAGAGAGTGAGTACGAGCCTTAGTCATGTTCGATGGTAAAACAACAATGAAAATGACGACTAAGCTAAGAGATTAGTCATCACATCACAAACAATAATACAAAAATAAAATGATAAAATGCAGAAGAATCAACTATGACGGTGTAAAAATGTTTACAATTTATTTTTCTTCTATTGATCAATCGAACAGAAAACAATTTACGTCGTTTTAATTCATTTTTTTCAGATTTGAGAAAAAATTAATTAAAGAAAATTTAAAAATGGGTATTCTTGAGAAAATTGCCGATATCGAAAGAGAAATTGCACGAACACAAAAGAATAAGGGTATTGATTGTCCCATCAATCTACTTGAATTTATTCAATGATCATCTTTTTCCTAGCTACTGAGTACCATTTGGGTTTATTGAAAGCGAAATTAGCGAAATTTCGGCAAGCCTTGATGGAAGGCGATAGTAAAAGCGGTGCTGGCAAGGTTTGCAAAAAGAAACCGTCTACTTGTTCCATCTTTCATCTATGCAATTCTCTAGGGTGAAGGTTTTGATGTTGTCAAATCAGGTGATGCACGTATTGCTCTTATCGGTTTTCCATCAGTTGGTAAAAGTACTTTGTTAAGTACAATCACTCGTACAGAATCATCAGCTGCTTCATATGAATTTACTACTTTAACATGTATTCCTGGTGTTATCGAAGTAATTATTCAATTGATTTATAGCAATGTAGTTCTATTTTGTTTCTCTTTTGTAGTACAATGGTGCAGAGGTATGTGTGGTTTGAATTAATAGGAATGTTGAGGTTTGATTGGCGTTCGACGATAGATTCAATTACTCGATCTGCCCGGTATTATCGAAGGAGCTGCTCAAGGTTTGTGTGTAAAATTCTCTTATTTCCGGAGAGATTGTACATAATTTCGATATTTATTCTACAGGAAAAGGTCGAGGTCGGCAAGTTATCGCCGTTGCACGTACTGCTGACATGGTTTTGATGATGTTAGACGCCACCAAAGGTGACAGACAGAGGTAAAAGTTCAGTGAATTGAAAAAAAAACGCCACAAAGTTATGATTTTTCTTAGAGAAATTCTCGAAGAAGAACTTGAAAGTGTTGGCATTCGCTTGAATCGACGGAAGCCAGATATATATTTTAAGGTATTGTTGTAAGTGACTATCGATGAAAGTTAAATATCTTATTCAACTAAATTTAGCCGAAAAAAACCGGTGGAATTAACATAACTAGTACAATGCCGATGACAAAATGTTCAGAAAAGATGATCCATCTTATTCTTCATGAGTACAAAATCTTCAATGCTCAAGTTCTCTTTCGTGATGATTACACAAGTGATGAATTTATTGATGTTGTCGTAGGAAAACGTGTGTACATGCCATGTCTCTATGTAAACTAACGCAATTTCGTTGTCTGAAATGATGTTCAATCGAATTGTCTTTTAGGTTTACAATAAAATCGATCAAGTGTCGATTGAAGAAGTTGACAGACTTGCTCATTTACCAAACTCAGTAGTAATCAGGTTTGTCGATGAAACTTTGATTTAAGAAAACAATAGATCGTTGTTTAGTTGTAATATGAAATTGAACATCGACTATATGCTGGAAAGCATATGGAAGCTTTTGAACTTGATTTGTGTCTATACGAAGAAACGTGGTGAAAAACCAGATTTTGAAGGTGGTTTAATCATTAGATCTAACACAAACGTTGAATATGTCGTAAGTAATCAACTTATACCGAGATCGGAGAGAAAGTTCATTTCAATTAGTGTCGAATGGTTCATCGAACAATGGTTGATCAATTCAAATATGCACTCGTTTGGGTATGAGACGACTTTTTCGACAACAGTTCATTATGAGAATTCTGCGTTGTAGGGAACATCGGTGAAATTTTCTCCTCAACGTGTTGGTCTTTCACATGTTCTACAGAATGATGATGTTATTTGTTTGGTGAAGAAATAAATACATACAAGCTGTTTTTGTTTTTGTTGTTGTTGTTTTACTAGCGAATAGCATCCGAAAACTAAGATCTTCTTTTTCTTCTAACTTATATACATCGTTTTAGATGACTGACGACGAACATCGACCGCTGTTAGACGAAAGTGGTCGACATGTATGTAAACAGATATTCTATTCTGAAGTGAACTTTTAATTTTGGACAAACGTGTTCTTCTAGCATACTTACACATCTTTGAATGCGTATATTACAACAAATGATCGTCAGACATGCACTGGTGCGAATACAACATTTGCGACAGGAGAAAAGCTATTATCCGGACGTTATGAATCACTTGATTATGAATGTGATGAAAGTGAAATTTCCCATATGGAAGAAAAACGGCTAGGACATCAGCATCGGCGTCGTTTAGTTGTAGTAAAATGGTTTGTCATGTTGCTGATTGGCGTATGTACAGGATTGGTAGCTGTATTCGTCGATGTTTCCGTTAAAAATTTAACCAAATTCAAATTTAGTTATGTACAAAATAAATTAGATTCTTGTTTATCCGAACATTGCCTGTTTAAGCCGTATTTAACTTGGATCGGTATTAATGTGGCTTTCGTACTTGTTTCTAGTATACTTGTTCTCTGGGAGGTAATTCTATTCCATGAATTTACACATCGATATCCTTTTTGATTTACTTATTCTAGCCAGCTGCACGCGGTTCAGGTATTCCACAAGTGAAGTGTTATCTGAATGGCATAGCTGTGCCACATGTTCTTCGTTTGAAAACATTGATCGCTAAAGTATTGGGTGTCATCTTTGCGGTATCCGGTGGACTAGCTGTGGGAAAAGAAGGACCTATGTAAGACATTAAATGAATATTTCTATATTTAGATAGTGTTTCCTTAGGATTCATTCAGGTGCAATTGTGGCTGGAGGAATTTCACAAGGCAAAAGTAGTTCGTTGAAAATTGATTTACATGTAAGAAGATTTAAAAAAGCTACATTTTGATAGATCTGTTCTTATTATTGACTAGATTTTCAAATATTTTCGTACGGATAAACATAAACGAGATTTTGTTTCCGCCGGTGCAGCAGCTGGTGTTGCTGCAGGTATGCTTGAACTGCACTCGATTACAATAACAATATCTTGATTTCTAGCGTTCGGTGCTCCTGTTGGCGGTGTTCTATTTGCATTAGAGGAAGGTGCTAGCTTTTTCAATCAACAATTAACATGGTTTATTGTATGCCAATTCTATCGAGAAAACGACTGAAAATCATCTCATATGTTTCTAGTTCTTTGCATCAATGGTATCAACATTCACACTGAATGTTGTTACGAGTGCAATCGATGGTCACTTTGGTGATCTATCCTCTCCTGGTCTCATCAACTTTGGACTTTTCAAGGTAAAGAAATAAAAACCGCGAAGAAATCGTTTGCGAAGCTTGTTGTACGCATGATTCATTTGATATTTAGGATGTTCCATATAAATGGGTCGAATTACCATTGTTTATCGTTATGGGTTTTATGGGTGGTATATTTGGTGCTCTGTTCAATCAATTAAATTTACGTCTAACGAAATTTCGTCATCATTATATCAATAAACGTTGGTTATTAATCACCGAAGTGTTACTAGTCGCAGCGACAACTGTCGTCGCTGCTTTCTTATTAATATTCTTAACAATGAATGAGTGTCGACCTATTAAGACACAATTAGAATTAAATTCACCTACAATACAATTGTTCTGTCCCGATGGACATTATAACACAATGGCAACGATTGTTTTCAGCACACCAGAACAAGCGGTGAGAAATCTATTTCACAGTGAAATCGGTATGTAACGGACTTGAAAGATGGAAAAAATTTTCCATTGGAAAATGTATTTAGGAACGTATAAAGCATGGAGTTTATTAGCATTTTGCATTGTTTACTTTTGTTTAACTTGTTGGACGTATGGGATAGTTGTTAGTTCTGGTTTGTTCATTCCAAGTCTTTTGATTGGCGCGTCATGGGGTCGTTTATTTGGTATTGGTATTCATACATTATTTCCATCAATAGTGAGCAAATATATTCCACTTCCTTTTTCCTAATGGTGTCTTGAATGTTGTTTTTCTCTTAGTACTTCAATCCTGGCAAGTATGCACTATTCGGAGCAGCAAGTCAACTCGGTAAATTCTTTCCGTAAAACTCAAGGAAGATTCATTTCACTTTGATTCTAGGTGGAATTATGCGAATGACCATCAGTCTAGCGGTTATATTAATCGAAGCTACCGGTGATATTGTCCTAGGTTTACCAATTATGATTGTACTGACAGTTGCTAAACTAACCGGTGATTATTTCAATGAAGTAAGATTATTCACGGAGTTTTTTGTCACCACTAAAGATCATTGATATCCTTTCAGGGATTCTTCGATATACATATCGCTTTACAAAGTAAATTTGTGCCAAACAACGGATTCAGGATGTATATTTTGTTTCTTAGGTGTACCGTTTCTCCCATGGGAATCCGAAGTATTTTCATCTCCACTCTCAGCTTTGTAAATACAATAATTGTTGATTTCAACGAATATGTTTTTCTTTTTCAATAGGAGCGTAATGTCAACTCCGGTGATGAAGTTCAAAACTGTTGAAAAAGTTGATACCATTTACCGCGTTCTACGCACAGAGACTCATCACGGTTTTCCAGTTGTTGATCATCATACTGATGAAGTAAACATTTGTGTTTTGTTTCTGACTGACAATCATTAGAAAATATCTTCATTTCATTAGAGTAACGATGAACGGGCTGGTACATTTCAAGGCGTCGTACTGCGACATCAATTGATCACAATGTTACGCAAACGAGTGTGTATTCAAACACGTCTTATTGAATAATTTCCGTTCTTTTTGTCTAGAATTTTATTTCACTGAATGATTGCTTGCGAGATTATTTAACTATGGATGATTTTCGTGAAAGTTATCCACGTCATCCGTCTATCGAAGTACGTCAACGATATTCTCATTCGATTTTTCATGCATATTTTTAGAGTGTCTATCTAACTGATGAAGAACGGGAACTCTACTGTGATCTACGACCATACATGTATCTAGCATATACAGTTTCACACGTACGAAAGTTTGTTTTCATTCGAAGGAGGTTTCGATGTTTCCATTTTAGCACTCAACACTTCCGCGTATATTTTCCATGTTCCGTAGTCTTGGTCTACGACATTTGATTGTCGTTAATGATAAGAACGAAGTTATTGGTATGATCACACGAAAAGATTTGGCACGATTTCGCCTTACACATACGAAAGGTCATACTTCAATTGAAGAACTCGGTATTTTAAGTTGACCCTACTGCATAATACTCCACTGAGAATGCTGACAATACTTCTGTGGGTGTCTTTGTTTTTTTTTACTTTGATATTTTTGTTGCATTTTGACATGAAATCACGCATACAAATTGATTTTGTAAAGTATTTAATCATCTATTTTTGTTTCTCTACTAGTGTTTATACATTCAGATAAAATAAAGTCGTTGAATTTGTTTATAGAACAAGACGAATGTTATTGCAACTCATTCGTGTAGAACATCAACATATTACGTCTAGAAAAAATTGATGATTATGCTGACGTAAAGTACAAAAAAGAAGAGTAGATGAAGGACGAAATTAACTAATTTTACCTTGTTCTCGTCCAGAAGGTATCATCTGCTGATCGTATCAGACCATTAAATAGAATTTCTTTGCAACATGATCGTAGTTCTCTCACTTGATTGATATTCATATGGCTGCTAGCAAGAAGAATTTCTATTTTCTTTCGTGGAATTTAATTTCTTCCATTAACAATCCGTTGGATCTCACGCAAGGAAATGAAGTCATCGAAATCACTATTCGAGATATCGATAGTTGTCGACGGTTAGGTCATTATACAATTCCAGTCGTTCAGTCAGGACAACCATTTACATCGCTGAAAATCAATTTATTATATCAAAAAGATTTGGTTGTAGAAACATTCAAAAACATTTGTGCCACGATTGAAATCTATCGTGGAATTGAACGTCGACTTATTTTTACAAATTGTCTCATACTGCCCGGACCTTGTTTCATGGATCGCACCGTTGTTCCAGTACCGATCTATCGCATATGGCATATAGACGATTACATCCGCATGATCCTTGGAAATGTGCTTTTCTAAATTCCCGAACGAAGGAACAATTCACTGATACAAATAGAGCATTTTTTCTTCGATCGATTGAAAGTGAATTATTCTTTCTAATAAATTGTACAATTCAAATTTTTTCTGTTTTGATGACTGTATTAGTTGTAAAAAAAAACTAATAGAAGTTAAAATTTTTGCTACAGAAAGTGAGTTCGTTTATGCATCAAACCTTGACATTGATGCTATGATCTTTCGTTGTATCAGACATGATAGACATCCTTTTCTTCTGTCGCAATATGTACAACGTTGACAAGCAGGTCGGTCATTCATTCAATGCATATGTACAATGAAAATGAGCCAATCGTACGTTAGCAGCACATGTTCATCGAACACCGATGGCAGGTGACTAAAGTTTACGACTTTTTTCTTCATTCATTGGGCTTCACCACATGAATACAGATAGAGAAGAACATCTTGTATACAAATGTTGCTTGGTTTCATTATTTTCAATTCAATTTTGATCCTCTCTGCTCAACCCTATTTTGACGATGTGTTTTTCGATCTTCAAAATCCAAATAATTTCAATCCGTACACGTTCGGTGCTCCTCCACCAATTTTTAACGTACGGACATAAACATGTATTTATTTGTCGATAAATTTCTCTTCTAAAGGTCGATCGGCATACACAGTATGGATATGTACGAGGTACAAGCTACAATGTAGCGTCACAAGATTCATTCTATCCAAAGTTTGTCAGCGTCTTTCTCGGAATACCTTACGCTCGACCACCACGTAAATATTATTTTAAAAGAAATATTTCGACCTATAATTAACACTGTTTTCTTCTTTCAGTCGGACTTTATCGATTCAAAGTAATTTTTTTCTTCGAGTCATCGTTTTTCGAAAGATTTTATTTTGTTTTTACTACATAGCCACCATTACCACCGGATCCGTGGGATACACGATTTCTAATCCATGATGCAACATTTTATCGGCCATCATGTTTACAACCAGCAAGTGAACAGGAAAAAATTCGCCAATTCATTCCGAACTTTCCTCCATCGAATTTTAGCGAAGACTGCCTGTATCTTAATATCTTTGCACCCAATGTTAGTAATCGATCTTTCTTTTCTATGACCAACGATTATATTTTCTGTGAACATTTTCAGAGAACTGATCGATATATGCCAAAATTACCTGTTATTGTATTTATACATGGGGGTGATTTCATCGGTGGAAGTTCGCAAATTTACAATGGTTTTGTTCTAGCGCAACGAAATGTCGTTGTCGTTACCTTTAACTATCGTCTCGGCCCATTAGGTACAGCTCTGAATTGAATACAACACGTTTTAGCTCGAGTTTTATACATTGTTAGGCTTCTTAAGTACGAAAACACTGAATGGCCGAGGAAATTATGGTCTTTTCGATCAACGCATGGCATTGAAATTCGTCTATGACAATATCCGAGAATTCAATGGTGATCCGGAAAATATAACAGTTATTGGTCATGAGGCTGGCGCAGCCAGTGTCGGTTTACACTTATTATCACAAAAAACTCCACGTACGTTGAAGTAGATTAAACTCTAGCAAATCGATTGCTTCTTTTTGAATAGTTCATTTTCGGCGTGCTGTAATGATGAGTGGAAGTGATTTATGTAAATGGTCAACTATTGAAGATGAACATTATCCGCTCGAACAGGCTCGATTTTTAGCAAGGCGTTTAACATGTAACGATCGAAATATTGATGCTTTACTCGATTGTTTAAGACAACGTGATGGACTTGATATTACCAATTCGGCTACGAATGTCTGGGTAAGGATGAACAATGAAATTCAATAGTTAATCGACATCTAGTTGTTATTTCTAGTTTCCAGATGAATTCGGTGGTCACCCGTGGCGACCGACAATTGACACATTCACAGATGATTTTTTTCCGCCAGTATTCACACGTCGACCTATCGAACTTCGTCGACTTGGTTTATTTGCTAATATATCAGTGATATTGGGTACTACGAGCGACGATGGTGCTATTCATTTTGCTCAACAACCGATCAATCTAGCTGGAATCGACAAAGGTTTCACGCGTTACGATCAACATGCATACTTAAACATGTTTGTAAATCGTCGCGTCCAAGACCGCTATAGTTTTCAAAGGCAAACATTCGCATATGAATATGCGGAAACAGATTATGTTTTACCTCGTGGGTAAGAGTCCTAAGAAAATTATCAGTAAATACAGTTGCTGTTTGTTTATAAGAACCTAATATCTTTTTGGCAGATACCAGAACATGATCTGTCTAATAACTTTTTCTATCCTAGTGGTGACATGTATCTTGATGAAGAAGGAATAGCAACAGTAATCAAATATAAATATGCACATTGGCCTCAACCAGATAATATGACTATGCTCCGGCAACGTTTAATCGACCTTCATTCCGATGAACATACGACGTCATGTGTGGCCGATGCAGCGAGATTTCATGCTCAACGTTCATTTAATTCTACGTATATGTATGTCTTTGCATATCATTCCTTAACGAGTGTTTACCCGTTTTGGATGGGTGCACCACGTGGTAGTGAACTTGATTATCTCTTTGGCATGCCATTCGTGAATGAATCTCAATGGATGCCATGGCACGGTATTCAACGACGACAAGTATTTACGTACGTTGACGAGGAAATGTCCAATTATACCATGCAACTATTCGTTAATTTCGCACGATATGGGTACAGAGTCTCTATTTTTAAATGAAAATGTTCTCATCGAGATTTTCTTTCGATTTGTATAGAGAGCCAACACCAGGTGGATTTCTTCGTGAATACACGCCTCCATCATTGGAACGTCCGTCTGGTTTGATACGTCCTCTATCTGGTTTCGCCCTACGATTAAATATTGCATGGCTACCACAATTAGTGCAGAATATGACTTATTTATTTATTGACCGTTATCCATGTTTACTAACAAATTATGGATTCGATGCAGCTGGCTTTTGGTCTGAATATTGGCCAACTGCATTCCAACGTCGATTGAGTAAGTTGATTTTTGTTTCTATGATCATTCTCAGAATTACTCTTATAGCACCTATTCCCACAAAATATTATAAACATGCAATTATGAACCATCGCGACACGACCATTGTTATGTTTTTCCTCATGGGTGGTCTGATACTATCTGTTATTGTATTAATCGCTCTCTGCTGTATTCTTTTTATACGTGTGCGTAACGATACGCCTGAACATCGTCATCATCGTCATGAAAATAAGTTTACTCATATCGAAAAACAGATGAAGTTCAACAATATCGAATAGTTTCCCTAACAGTTCGTATATTTCATTATAATGTAGTGCGCTGGCGACAGTTAGATATACATGTGTGCATGCAAGTTTTCTCTTAATTGAATTTCGCATTCCATTACGTGGCCATTTTACAGCCATATACCTATTTCGTTTTATTGTGTAGCATTGTTTGTCTTCCTGCTTTAATCAAATCATATATCATGCTCTTATTTACGTTGTAATAAAAAATTTATTTCGAACAAAACCTTCTGACCTGGGAAAATTACCTGTGCTAACGGTCGAACAGATGGCGGGTAAATAAAACTGAATAACCCCGGGTGAAAAGGATCACTTCATGTATTTCCAAAAAGAAAGTCAAACATTTTCTGCGGTTTAATCACAAGAAAAACAATCGGATGTAAATCAAGCCAAACAACCACATTAATCCTTGATCAGTATTATCTATACGTGTATTAAGCAAGGAGAGAAGATATATTACTAGGCAAATTTTTACTGTTTATTGTCATGCTTAGTTATTTACCAGTCCTGACATATCTTGCCTATTAATATTTGTCATTTGCATCTATGTGTGACATACTAATTCGTTGTAATACATATTCAGGCAGCAACAGTAGCAAGGAAAATTTTGTTTTTGCCTTCGTTAATATGACATAAAGAGTAGAAAACCAATAGGAAATTGTTTTTTTGATGAAGTCGAGTATTTTTTTTCTTTACCTAAGAATTTTGTATGAAGTATTCTTCCGTTTGATGATATAAGATAAGAAAGAAAAATAAAGAATATCATCCGACAAATTTCAGTACTTTTCCCACCAAGACAGGAGAGCGTGGGAATTTATCTGCCCTCGTTAACATAAAAAGCCTGTACTGCCCGTGTTAAATGCTTGTAAATGTATCGAATGTCATTACATTCGAACACACAACATCAGGAGTAGTAACCATGACCTCAACGACTGTCTGCTAATGTAAAAGTAAGTTCTAAAAATATGTATTTTATCTCGTAGACACTTTATGATTTCTATTATACCAAAACAGTTGTTCAGTCAGGTCTCGACTTTGTTGGTACCATGTCGTAAGTGTTGTTAAATGATCGTTCGATATGATAAGAAATTGCTTGGTTTTCCTTGTAAGTATTCGATTTTGTCCGACTCGCACAATATTTAGATGACAAACATTGATTAATTGGTAAACTATGATGGATGGTGAAAGTGAAGACAGAGAGACAAAATGTTGTTTGATGATTAATCATATCATTGACAAAATTTATTGCATTGAACTTGTAATGTTAGCTATGTTGTTATTCACAAGATGAATTTTAGTTTGATCTGTCTGATTGGCATCATTGTGCCGAAAAGAAAGTCTCAGTGGATGATAAGTTCTTGTTTTTCTTCCTTCTCATAATTATAAATACGGAAATTAACTATGAATTTAGAATCGTATATTTATCTACGAAGCATAGACATCCGTGATTTTATCTAACGAATTCATTATTCATGGTCGCGTGACGTAAAATAGAAGAGAAGAAGCGAGAAGGGCTTTTTTTAAAGTTATCTTACGTAGACATTAAGTTTTTTTTGTGATATTGAACAAGCTGAACTCTGACATCATCGTTGACTAATGTTGAAAACGATTAATGATAAGAAAGAAGATTCAGGGAGAGATTTGTAAATGTCAAGTGGTACAGAAAAAGAGATAGAAAGATCTAGATCAAGGTTGGCATATACAGAAAGATTGCCGATTCTCTGGACTTTTCCATTCTTATCTCCGAATGTCAACCATCGGAATCGATCCTTGTATGTCAATACAAGGTAAGTAAGCATCAGTGCCGCGAACTCCAGAACCGCCATAGTTGTTCTCGCTGATAAATTGCACCCGATGCCTTCTTAATAACCTTGCCTGTAGTTAGATAGATATTATTTATTTATTTTATCAATTGGACTTATCTTTCAACACAGAGTTATTATGAGAAGATCATCTCAAGATACAGTGGAAACTTCATCTAGGAAGAAGAGGAGCTATGGATAGAAACACTTTGCTTTTGCTTCGTTTTAAATCTTGCATGGTGCGAAATATTCATCGCATCATTTTACGCTTCGTTTCTACTCACAATACATTATGAAAGATAGTACTAAAAAGAAAACGTCGTAGTTCACTTGCAAGAAAAGAAATATATCGAATACGTTGCAAATCATTCCCGGTAAAGCTACACATGACTGAATTATGCTGTTAATACTTTCTTCTACTAAGTCATAGGTAATTGAATTAAGACCAATTCTTTATCTGGACTTCTTCGAGCATATTTCGATTTCAATTAAATCTATTATTAAAGTGTTGTTTCGTGAATACATGCATGAGTAAATGCACTGAAATCTTGATTTGTAGAATCAATTTTGAGTACGACGAAATTGCTCAGATTGCATATATACACTTGTTAAATGTGTTACCGAATCAAAGTTCTTAATTTGACATTCATTGTTTAATATCTTCTCGCAGATGCAACGGACTTGAGGTAATGAATGACATGTGGGTTGGAATGGTTTCATATAAATTTTAATTAGTTTTAAACTAAGCATCACTCTTCCTATACGCTCAGGTTTTTTCAATTAGAATCTTTGCTTTGAAGCATACTTCAGCGTTCAATGCTTTCCGAAACCATGCTGTATTTGCTTCAGTTATTGAACATATGAGTGAGCTTAAAATGAGCAAGTATTGCTGTTTTTAGTTAAATTGTCGAAAGTGAACGCGACATCAGAGCTTTTCTTCTCATCATTTTCAGCAACTTGATCATGTTTTCCTAATGATCTTGTTAAAGTCACATGTTTGCAATTAATTACTATCATATTTTTAGTATTGACTTTTTTGTTCTTCTCATTCTCCAATTTCAATGATATGAAAGGTTAAATGAAATCGACTCTGTGTGCAATCGTGCACAGTGCATCTGAGAAGTAGATTACCGACTATTTTACGTGTCTTCAAAGAAAAAGACTCCGAAAAAGTATATAGAAAGTAAACATTATGTCTGACGCGGAAGTCGGGCACGTTTGTTAGCTCTTTTGATTGGTTTCCAAAAGAAACAAGTAGAGCTTAAATACAATTTGCTCTCCTGACTTGTTAATTACACAAACAAACTTTTGTTCCGAGAAGTGAAATGAAATAATTATGGAGATTTTATTCCCTATGTGTGATTTGCTCGAAAACTTAGTAAGTAACTATATCTTTGCTCGCGATAAAAATCGAGGTTTTCATTTGTTGAATGAGAAAAACAAGAAAAATAGAATTATTTCTTTTCGAGACATATCAGATTAGATTCAATTCTACATTGTTTTTTTTTCTTTTTGTGAGGAAGACAACTCTGTCTAATATAATTACAATCGAGAAACACTCTTTATATATATATGTAGAAGTTTATACTCATAGTCATATTACATTTCTCGATGACGTCTCTTCATTCGTTACTTATTTTCAACATCGCCATTAGGAGCACGTATACAAGACGTGTTCTTAATTTTTGATCATATTTTACCGGGATATTGCCAAACGAGAATAGATTAGAAATATTACTATCTTGCCTTCATGTCTATTGATGCTGTCCTAACGTATACAACGAACCATTCCGGCGAATAATTGAGATAACACAAGGTAACATTTATGTATGATTTCTCGCATTTAACCTGTAATATTCACGGCAAATCAATAGATACGCTTCCGGTAGTACTTCTTAAAATACTATAATAACAGGACTAATTACATAAAAGTATTAGTTTTTCTTTTCTGCTGCGCTTATGTACTCAGAATATTCTGACAACATCGTCGAACAGATTAGTATCGAATGAAGAGAAAAGGCAAAGGTAAAAAATCTTACGACTATTAGCAATTGACTGACGGTTACAGGTTAATGTTTGCTTTATCTAATAGAAGTTCGAATAAATGAAGGAGACTTTCAGTTTTCGTTTTTCTGATGAAGATCAGAAAAGAAATATCATAACGATAATCGATTCATAGAAATTAGGAACGGAGAGGAAATAATATATGTCTCTTGATAGAAGTAAAGTACTAGTCGATGGCGAAACTCTTCTATTGTTATTCATGAACAAACAATGTAAGTTCTCCCTTCGAGAGAATTCTAGCAATCTTTGAGCTTCCGATCTAATTCAATCAATAATACATCATCAGACTTTAAATACACACGAGGCGTATGAAAATAATAATGAGAACATTATTCATCTGTTGCCAGTTGTTGTTTACAAGTGTGCAAATGGAAACTGAGTAGTTTCTATTTCTCGTTTTATGTTAAAATCTATGTTTTCATTGCCAATTAGTAAATAGAATATTTATCTTGTCAGACGATAACCGACACCGGAACTCAGATATATGTCAGACGATCCGATGCTATACAATGACGACCTGTTCGGGAGAATTCTAGCAAAAGTGAACCAAATATCCGATACTACCGATGTCAAGATAACCTTCGCATTCTATACTCGTTTCGTTTTAGATTGTTTTCGAGCTATGAATACGAAATGATCCAAACAATTTGCACATTCAATGGGCAATAAAAGTGAATTCGATCGTTTTGAATCTCTGGATGCGGCTTTGTCATACGTTGGCTTAACATCAGGTTTATATATTAATGAAACATTACTATCGCCACGATCACCATCGAATTGGGCATCAGCAACGAGTATTCTTCCGTTGGTATTAGGTTTCATTGGTTTAGTGTTCAACATACTTGCTTTGTTGATATTTACGGCATCGAAAACGTTTCGAAAGAATTCATTTCGCTGGTATATTTATGCATTAACACTTATCAATTGTGCAAGTATTCTATCGTGAGTAGGAATTCTTCCATTTAGGTTTGTTTCACTCTTCTTTGCACTTTTTCTAGTCATTCATGGCTTTATTTGAGTTTCTACATACCCGATTCTCTGTATCTTTGTAAATATTTACGATATCTTCAACAATCCACAGCAACAACGTCACTTTGGATCATCGTTTTATTGTCATTAGAACGTTCGTTTACATTTTCACGGCCATTCGCTGTGAAAAAGTTCTTACAGTCTCACACAATCTGTTTTATTCTTATCTTCGTCATATTTTTATGCTTTGCCCTACATATTGATGAATTAATATCCGTTGATGTCAAAGCGTTTCGCTGGGTAAATTTTGCCTATGGGCTTTGCTCAGTTAAACGACATTTTCGTTTGTCAACTGATCGGATTAAGATCGTCACACATTCGCATTCATTTATATTTCCATTCTTCTTGAATTCAATACTTGACGTGTATATTTGTTACAAAATGTGTCAACGACGCAAACGCTTGGCCATGCCGACATCCTTCTCGATACGACAACATAAGAATCGGTTTCGACGTTCGAGAAAATCGGTGGCGCATGAAATCACATTAACACTCTTATGTCAATCATTATGGTTACTTTTCACTTATTTTCCTACCCATCTTTATTATTTTCTCTTATCATTTAAACTCATTAATGACCATGATCGAGATAATTCGACGCTGACGATACTTATGCGTATCAATTTACTTGTTTATCTGGCGTTTTCACCTACACTCTATGTTATATTAAGTTCAACACTTCGACGAGAAATTCAATCGTGCATATGTCGATCGTATAAACGACATCGATCAGCAAGCTTGTCGAACATGTCGAGCACCCAAAACAAAATTCGACATATTTTTTCATCGTTCGATCACTACAGACATCACACGACTCAACGCACGCATCTATCAACATTTGTTACCATGAGTGAACGTACTGGTCGAAAGGCAACCTTACCACCTATCTGTGTTCCATATAAGATTGATTATCTATCGAAAAGTTCACCTTGTCTCCTGATATACAATATCAAAGATGAGCAAACTCTACCGTTCAAATCTGAACGGTCTACTACACTTCTTGAGTGATATTTCTTTTTTTTTCTTTGTTTCGTACTTATGTTGTTATGATTACGATTGTAAAAAATACCAAAGGAAACTTTTTTTCGCTACGTCAAACGTAGATTGTTGTTTATCAATTGAATTCAATAAATCTAATGAACAAAAAAAAAACGAACTAAACTCGTCGACTGTTGTGTGGGCGCATTTGTTCCTAATAATTTTTCGAGAATAGAAACTTCTATCGTTTAATTGCATATGATGCTATCAAAATTAAGATCAAAACGTCCCTTTTATACAAAAAAGACCATATATGAACTAATTAGAATGTGTAAAATGCGGACGAGATCGATAAGTGCACTGCTTACATGTTCAACTACATTTAGACGTATATTATAATTTATACACTTTGAAATAGATCATATAATGTCAATTACAGGCACATATTTCAACACGTGCGTTTCTTGTGCGTCGTTTGTTTTCGCAGTGGAAATAGAGGATTCTGGAATTTATCAATGCACTTGCTGTCTGATATTTTATTTCGTAATGGAAAGTAATTGTATATTAAAACGTCGTCACTCGATGAGACATGCTGATAGAACGTTATTAATATAGATTACGTTTGTGTTTTCCGTAAATCTCGGATACCTGATCGTGAAATGCTTCATGAATATTAAAACCGATGACGTGAATGCTACTAGGTCTTACGTAAATTATATTTAGTTAGGTTCGACGAATATAATTAGTACTTTAGACTTTGTTTTATTCTGTCAACTGAAAAAAAGTACTTTTTCTTTGATCCATGACAAAAAAATCTGTTTATCCGTACGAAGCTGAAAGAATCAGGATATGCATCAACAATTCAACGATGAAACGATCTGTAAAACAGTGATTTAGTCAGAACAACTAAAGCCTATTTCTGTTATATCATACGATCGCTTTCGTTCAAATTCGAAGCTGACAGACGATGGCAAAGACACGCTAGAAATTCGCAAAGTACAAACTCAGTTGGGTGACGAACGGCGTCTAAAATATGGCGGTTTGTGGCGCTCTCTACAGATTGTATTTTTCTATGTTGCTGATATGATCCTTCACGCAATCCAATCATTATATATCATAATTATCAATCAGTAAAATTGACCTTAAGATTGTATTCGCATCGTGAATGATCATTTCCATGTGTTTGCTTAACCTATATTCTAGAGTTTTGTAGCTGTATGGACTCACAACCGATCGTTCGTGACCTTGTCTTAGCGAACCTTGTTCCATCAATAGGGCCGTCTACCGAAACCTGTGTGCAACTAGTTGAGAGTGAGAAAAATCCATTTGGCCACACAATAGTGAACACACGAAATGATACCGTATCCGATCCTCAAGATCTTGTTAATTTAGCTCGACAGATTGAAACATGCGATGCATTCGTACGCGCCAATGTTTCCAACCGTTTGCAAGTCATTGTCAATCAAATGAATTATCTGAGACAAGAAGCGCAACGTACACTGTTGAAAGCACGGCGTGATGATGAATTAAATCATTGTGCTTGCAACCTTGTACGTCGACCTGGCCAAGTCTATTACCATTATGAAAGGCAAAGTGGCCAGAGATACTTATCGATTATGCATCCACAAGATTGGTCATCACCTGTGAAAAGTAGCGGATGTCCGCATCGATTTCTAGGTGCTTACAGACTTGAATATGACAATTCTTGGACTCGGCAACCGACCGATTACGACGAAGGGTTGGATGATCCATTGGATGAATTGAAAGCACAGAAAGCCAACGATTCGAAACAAAATCAGAAAATGCTTGAATTTCTTATTAAGCCATAAATTGTTTCTTCTTCTTCTTCTTTTTTGCAAAACGTACGAATAAAATACATTGAAGAAAATCTTCTCTTTTCAGAAAACGAAAAAAAAAACCATGACTGCTAGTGATGACGATGGGCTCGAATCCGTTCTCGGAGATGATGATGAATTTCAAGAAGCCGCTTTGTTTGTCCAAAATAATCTTTCGTTATTCTCTCGTGATGATCTTCTATATTTATATGCACGTTTCAAACAGGTAAACTATTCAATTCGTTTGCACATAAACTAATATATACACGATGCTTTTGTTTTGAAGATAACTGTTGGTGATACGAACATTCCCCGGCCAGGTTATTTCAATTTCGAAGCTAAAGCTAAATGGTAGTGTCTTGATGTTTCGTGCACAAATAACTTTGCTTCTGAAGAATTTAGGGATGCATGGAACGCTCTGAAATCTATGTCGAAATCTCAAGCGTCAGAAGAATATATTGAGCGTGTGACCAGTATCAAAGACAAAAATCACATTGAAAATCAAGTGGGTAGCCGAATGGAAGTTTCACGAATGCACTAATATCTGTTTTCAAATAGAAATCGACCAAAACAGGTCCAAGTGTCAGTCGACTGGTAGCGCATAGTGATGAACAAATGCCCACTGATGATAAAAAAACTATTTATGAATTCTGTCAAGATGGTAACGAAAAACGCGTCGAACAAATGCTTAAAAATAATTTCGATGTCAACAAGCCAGATGAAATGGTAAATGAGAGGATAACCTTTAAATGTGCACTCTTCAACAATCGATGCTCTTTTAGCAATTAACGCTATTGCACTGGGCAGCAGATCGCGGTAATGAGTCAATGATCAAGTTATTAGCTAAATACAAAGCTGATCTTAATGCGCGTGATGAAGATGGACAAACACCATTATTTTATGGTATACTACAGATTTGTTTGTCTATAAAATTTCAATTATGTTTTTCTTTCGTTATTTCAGCTGCGCATTCAAGCAGCATTCCTTGTATTAAACTTTTACTTGCACTTGGCGCTGATCCGACCATTCCGAATAACGATAACGAACTACCATCATCCGTAGCTGAGACAGAGGAAGAAAAAGCTGTTTGGAACAAACACTAACAGTTTTTTATTCTTGTTTTTCGATACATATACTAGGATCTTTCACAGTAGATCGAACGATAAAGATATATATTTAATAACTAAGCAATCAAAAATGGAAGACAAATCGTATCCTTGATGAGAAGAGGTATTTTCAATAGGTGGAGTACGCTTTGTAATTATCATAACGAGTTCAAAAGTATCCTAATGGTCACTTCGAACAATAATTATTTCCTACAAAAAATGAAAGTAATAGATACCCAAGAATTTACTCGGCTAACAGCACTTGATCATGATTAGAATAATCTGTCAAAATGAGTTCCACTTCCAGTCGATCATAAAAATTCATATTGATTTTGTTTTTCAAAGTGAAACAAAGCAATTTATAAATAGCATTCAACAAAAAGTTTATTGTCATTTCAATGACTTCAAACTGGTGAATCATGAGTGTAAATGTATAATTAGGATCAACTCATCAGTTAATGAGGCCATATGTTTGAGCAATTTAAATGCGAGATGCACTATTTACAATGTCTCCGGAGGATGACATAAAAACGTTAGTGGGTATCGAGAAGCAAAAATAGCCTGAAGAATGTCAATTAAGTATGAAAACAATCACTTTGAAAATGTTTATTTCTTCTATTCGCTCTATTAACCTTTTGCCGGTCAACAAAAGACACTACCCAGACAGACAAGACTTTCAAAAATACGCGTAAAAACGCTTGAAAATGTGCGTTTTTTGCGAATTTATTTTCGTTAGAACTTAACGCGTTTCTACGCGTTTTATTCTTGTAAAAAACGCGTAAAAACGCGTATTTTCATGGAGAAAACTGTAAAATATATGGTAAAATTTTAACGCGAATAAACTCGTTAAAGTTTTACTACGCCTTTTACAGTATTCTCCATGAAAATACGCGTTTTTACGCGTTTTTTACAAGAATAAAACGCGTAGAAACGCGTTAAGTTCTAACGAAAATGAATTCGCAAAAAGCGCACATTTTCAAGCGTTTTTACGCGTATTTTTGAAAGTCTTGTCTGCCTGGGTAGTGATGCTCTGTTTGTCTTCTATTATACGGACGAATTTCGTACTGGCCATACGACTAACTTAACTTGACCGATCAACAAATATTCGTCTTCCTGTTCTTCTTCATATTTTCGCTCATCCACAATACGCCATTCAATTAGAATAATGGCCATCCTTTTTCTTCACTTGTTTCCTTTCTTTCACTCTGTATGTGTCTCTCGTCGACCCTCATATGTCCGTATATGGTAATCGTCGGTCAAAACATACAATGATGGAATAGTTGAAATATACGAGAACGAAAGGAAGAAAATGTGAGAGAAAGATAGAATAAAAAAAGAAAAAAAAAATAGTTGTGAAGAGTTAGAAGAACGCGCGCGTCATTCGTCCATCGATAGAGGCAAGAATAGGCAACAAGATATACAGACATTTACTTTCGTTTTAAATTTCATCCGATAAGTTTCAATCATGTGTGACGACGACGTAGCAGCTCTTGTTATTGATAATGGCAGTGGTATGTGCAAAGCTGGTTTTGCTGGTGACGATGCTCCTCGTGCAGTATTTCCATCTATTGTTGGTCGACCACGTCATCAAGGTGTCATGGT